AGAGTCCTTGCTCTCAGTGGAGAGCATTTAAAAACAAGCCTCAAACACGCCTGATCCTATGTCTGCACTGCGGCACCTTGAACATTAAATGGCGTTTTCTCCTAACACTACTTTTCGTCAGAAAAGGAACATTTTCTCTGTAACCGTTGAAGCTATCAAATGCCAACTTTTGTTACCTTTTTTCTTAATACCATGTGCACTTTCTGAAGCAAAATAATGTTGTTGCCACGAGAGTTGCATTTATTACTGAAGTTTTTCATCAAGAAAAAAGTCCCATAATTCCAGTCATTAAACATTTACATTTTCAACTAAAGAATGGCCTACAATTATTATTTTGGTTACAGAAGGATACCCTGGGAAAATGTAGTAACCAGAGGTTATTTCAGCATTTTACATGCAAAATCTTTTCCACAAATGTTTCTTCAAGCATAAAAACAGGCAATTCATTTTTTTATCATTTTTTGAATGGCTTTGTATTTTCTTAGCCAAATTGACAAACCTATAGTAATATCCCTATTCAAGAAACGTGCAAAGTTTTGTAAAGATTGCTTTGAAAATAACAGAGCAATAGTGCAGTAATAGTTGTACACCTGTTGGTGCTATCCATCCCCTCTTAAAATGTTTTAAATAAAACACGCACATGGTACCACGAGGGGGAAACAAACATTCTAGTTTTTCTTCAGGGAATGCTTCTTGCGTAACTAGCTCAAGAAAGCACTTTTGTGAGGTCCCATTGCAACTACAGTAAAATCTGCGTGTTGAAATGGCTATTGCACTGGAAGTGGGGACACTGATGATTGTTGGGGTTTAACATCCCAAAACCACCCTATAATTATTAGAAATGCTGTAGTGGAGGGCTCCAGAAATTTTGGCCACCTGAGGTTCTTAAACACGAGTACACTGGAAAAAGGGACTCCACACAAACCTATGATAAGGTGTGAGCAAACATTCGAATACTGAATATTTCTCCAACAATCAGCACCAATGCAAAAACCCCAAAGGAATGAAGTACTGAAACAGCGAGGCACCATTTCTTTTTTCTAAACATTCAATTATCAAAATATAACTATGACAAGCAAGCTTTCATGGGAATATCAACGCTATGTTGCATACTGGATGAAAGAGTTTTTTTTTTTTTTTTTTTTCATGTTCTGCTAAGTGGCCTTGGCACCGAGCAGTTCTCGCAGTTTACTGGCAATGTTCTCGGTAAGTTAACAAGTAGCCAGTGCCATTTGTCTCATAAGATAAAGTTATCTACATAGATGATACACTTAAACTTTTTTTTACATTTTCATAGAAAACAAGTACTCATACAGTGCTTCCAGTACCAGCAATTTCAGTGATGTGTTTGTCTTACTCTGTTAGGCTTCATTATGTAAATTGCTTACTAAACTGCAACTGCACTGCACCAGTCTGTTCTCGTCTTCATCTTTTAATAACTGAAGATCAAGAATATGGTTGTATTCAGCTTCAGAAGAGCAACATTCATACGCAATTACATGAATACAGCAAACAGCAAGTGTCACGTTCATGCAAATTGTTCTTGTCGGTACAGTGTTCAATGCTGCTGCTAGGGTGCAAGGGCCCAATTTGCGATAACTACTCTGTATGTTTTGTTACATATTTAACTGTATGTGTGCAGTTTGGTTCAGCATTACCTAATTTTTATGTCTTAGTTCAATATAAAAGCTATGAAAAAGTACAGTCATAAGACTGTAGTCATTGCTATATGCAAGGTTACGCCAGTTTAATCTTGAGGTATTTTTTGTTTGCTAAAGGTAATCAAGATGCTCTTTTGATAAAGCTTGTGAATTTCTGTTTCAAATGAAAAGTGAAATTCAGGGACTGTTTCGAAATGGTTTCCTTACTACACAAAAACTCAACTCATGGAATGACTACAATACTTGCATTTTATTCGATTCTAAAATATACTATTCGTGCACCCCTATACAATTCATAATGACACAGATATTGTTGAGATATAAGAAAAAAAAATGGAAGACTTAGGCAATCCTTTCATTTTTGAACTGGTTTACTTCGACAGCACGTTTTTCTGTAGTGAAGGTAACATGATACGGCTATGTTGGGTTCCCAATACTCTTGTGGTCGGCTTGTATCTCAAGCAGAGGATCACATCTGAGCCTGCGGCTTCACCAAGATTACGTCCCAGAGTGGTACAGAAGATTTGATGGCTAGCTCCTCTTTGGTAAAACATGTCACACTATCAATGTACTAAATTTTCAAATTCTAAAACAGTTACCTGTATTACATGGGCATCCCCATCGACCACTACAGTAATAAGTGGGGCACTCTAAAACGATGACAGTGAAGCATGCATTAGCCAAGTACGCAAGGCAAACATATTTAATTGCACAGTGTTCCACAGCATAATACTATTTGGATTTTCTTATATCAACAACATTCAGAGCCATTCCTAGTATCAGCCTACAGGAAGCAGTTCAAGATTAACAGCTTGTGCGCATAAAGTGTTTGAATATACGTGATGAATAAAGTGTTTGAATATACGTGATGCATAAATAAAGTGGTTGTAAGACCGGCAACTGTCAATGAATGAATGAGCCTCTTGTGCATCTTTGCCCCGAGTTTCGCGGGTGTTTTTTTCCTCGCACGTAATATGAACCAACCGATCCAGCTTTTCATGCTTCCAAAGATGAACAAGTACGCTAGACTGATATAACTTAACATATATCATGCTGGCCTAGATCCCTCTGCACTGCAAAGTATAGGTCAAAATAATCATTGCAACTTCATAAAGTTCTGAGAAGCTAACGAGGTCATATTTGCAGGACACATTACATTGGCTTCCCAACGCACATCATTGTAGCAAAACCTCGGTAAATTCTCACCATATTTGGGCACAAAAGTCAGTACTGTCCAACTCGTCATTTAACAAAGCTGAATGAACAACAACTATTTATTTACCTGTGTGGTGTAATTCACAAACTGCAAGCATATTGTGCTTGCAAGCATGGCGCCTAAGTAAGTGAAAGATGATATGATGTAGTAGGATCTCCTTGTGGTGTCGACTCCTTGCTTAAGAAAAGTGGATAACACTAGAAAATAGAGCAAACAAGCACGTTGTCCAAGTCAACACAAGCACCAGCAAGAGTCGGGTAACAAAATAAGTAAGAAATTTCACTCAGTTTTAATCCTTATTTATGCATGCAGACATGTACTTGATTAAACTGCTACCATATGTAGATAAGGTAAACCGAAACAAAAAGGATTGGTGCATCAAGAAAACATGCTCTGTGGAGTTCTACTCTCGCAACAAAACACGTGCATTAACATTACACATACTAAGTGTGTCACTTATTATCAGTATTATCTGAAGTTTCTATTCTGAAAACCTCAAATATATGTTCAAGGCTTTTTTTTTTAATTTTCTTCATATCTACAGCGAGATAACACAGAAAAAATGGGCAGTAGACTATCAGATGCAAGTGGCAATTAATGTGCAAGTATTCACTTAACTAAACTTTCCACAGTGTTAAATGTCAGCATCATATCATTTCATTATCGGCCTTGATCAATGCGCATGTGGCAGGCTAATCACTATGATGAACGCAATACGAACAATCAAAACCACAAAAACTCACTCAGTTTTGCAAAGAGGACATTCATGACGCACGAAAACAAAAGCAGCGACTGCGCATGAACAAACATTTCTTTCTTGGGCCCATACTTGGTCCTGGTTCTACAAGAGTAAGAAAAACGCAAACACGCACACGAATGAATGGTGCGACCAACCACCACACCGCGATATACTGTCAAAGTTCCACACGCTCACATCTCGCAAGTGAACATCAACGAGATCGCTCAAACAACGCGAGTAGCGTTAGCCAGCTCATTACAAGAGCAGGAACAATAACCCAAATTAACGAGCGTCTTCGGCAGCTACGTTGTGGCATATGCCGACAATGAATGGTGCCCGATCCTGAAGAATCAAACGACACGTGTAAAAAAAATGATGGTAACAGTATAAACATGGACTTACATCTCTTCGTGTAACACTCCGTAGTAGAAGTAGGTCAGGAATATGCCTCCAGCATAGAAGAAAAGCTTGACGGGGTTCCCCATAGGTTGTGACAGCGGCCCCCTGAAATCAAACACGTTCGATTTCGTCTGCTCGCGCACAACCGTCACACTGCTACGTTGGCGGCACCTTGAGCTCCGATAGAAGGCACGCTCATCAAAGAGATGCTCGCTAATGGAGCGCCACTTCCCAAGTACGGGTAAATTGGAAATTAAAAAGCCTTGCAATAAAAGCTGCGATTAGCATCAGGCGAACAACAGCATCGCATGGATGCGTGCCGATGCGCTGTACAACAGCAGCTTGCGAACGGAAACGTCGTTCGCTGACGACGTCCGCCGGTGGCGCCTTTGAAGTTCAAGGCGTCCACTACGTGCGCTTGCGCGATTCGTCGATGCAACGTGTAAAAAAAGGCGTCACCGACACACCGCATGTTTCACAGCCTTCGAGCTCAAAGTTTGGCAGAATAACTTTGTCCCATGTATACTGCGAACATGTCACACCACACCGTAAAGGGCGTTCGAGTTTGACAAAGCGTTGTATGTATCGTACGAAAGAAGGTCGTGGTACAGACGTACAAGTTCTGGCGCGTGATTTGAAAGCCCTTTTAAAATGCATACAGGCAATACATGCAACTACCGCGACGCTACAGCTCTGCATCAGTCGTAAAGAAATGCGAGTACTTTGGTACCCCACAAAGCGTTCTGTAAATACCTCGCAGGCAGAGAATCGGTGTGATGTGCACTGCAGTAAGTTGTGTTGCAATCGGACAAGCACCGCTAGGCTGTCGATCACCGACGTGGTTACTCTGTTGCCATTCGGCAATTGCTACCGCATCACCAAGGTGTCGCACAGCGTCGCAAGCGTTCGGCGAAAAAGCCAAAAGCTGAGCACACGGGCGGAGAATGCACGGGGAGGGTCGCGGAACCAAAATAAACTCCCCGAAATAAGCACGCCGCCTATCCGCAGCGGTAAGGCAGAGCTGGGCCCGCTTGCAGAGCATTCGAAGCTCAGTCGCAGCGCGGAATTCATTCAGCTACGGAAGACCCGCAGTAAGTCCACCACTGCGCGAATATTTTCTTTTCATGCAAAGTAGCCATTTGTGTTCACGGATGACTCATGTACCACTAGTACTGCATGTTTCGCATTTTAAAGAATTCTTTTCGAGTTCTCAAAGTGCTGTAAAGAAATAGTTCCCATGAGTTTGGTTTTTTCAAAAAGATCAAGTTGTACTTCATGTTTCTACATTAGAACCAATAATATAATTAAACAATGGCGTTTACGTAAATTGTCATTCATTAGGACATTTCCCTCAGAATAAGCTTGAGGCATTTTAACTCCAGGAGCACGTGTTTCAACTGAACTGCCTATGTCAGGCCAAGCTGTCCATTCAGTCCATTTGATGCGCGTTTAAGTGGAAGGCTGCCATATTCGCGTACCTGAATTGATTCTGACCACTTGGGTTAATTATTTCGACAACAAAAGCGCGCTAAGGCATGCCGACGGAGCCTTCTAACAGTTGCTCCAACTAAACCGCACTACAGTCTCCGAAACTGCGTTATATATTCAGAAACCCGGCGTAGGCGTATGTGTGATGGCTAGCGTATGAAGGAATGTTCGGCGTACGTGAACTAACCGCTGATTGTCTGCCCATATTTAGCTCTCTCGCAGTTACACTGAAAATTCTTCGCGTAGACTGTCTGAACGTTTATTCAACTGTTCAAATAGGACCATATGAAAATTGTCACATATTTTCCTAATCCTTCCTCTTTCGTGAGTTCATGGTTATAAATTTGAGCAATCGTGATAGTCGCCGGCTGATTGACTGAACACCCGTGATCATCGCAGTTTCTTGCGTCGTGCAACGTATATATGGTCCCGAAGTAAGGCAATTTGTGAATGACTGTGCCCAAAAATGTACAAGGAATGAAAAAAAAGTAATAATGGCACGTGAAGGGTTCCAGCAAGTTTCAAACATGTAATCATGTGCCATCTCGCCCAGGAAACCCAGCTGCTATAGAAGCAATAGTTTCTTCTTCACCAATTTGCCAATTAAAATATCCAGCTTGTTGACATGCACCGTAATAATTCAGTGACTAACGCGTGCGTGTATGACTGTTTTAAGATGTTTAGAGGTATACCATGATATCCGCTGTTCTTCAGTTGCTATTGTTACGTCGGTTGTTCCGTGCATGCACGGGAGCGGAACCGAAAGCAAGGCTGACTGTATCGTGATTCGCCTTAGCAACTGTAGTTCTGTGCAGTGCTACGCAAGCGTGAAGCCTCCTACGAGGACGTTTATTCATACGAGCGGTGGTGTAAATACAGGCAAATCACAGGGGGCGGGGGGACAAAACTGACCATGGCGGCCATTTTAATTTTTTAATATTGGTTGTATTTTTAGCTACTTATTAAGTCATGCTTTGAAACAAGCTTTTTAAAAATGAACCTCGGGTCCAAGCTCAAGCAAATGCGTTGTATTCCAGTCTTCCTTGAACCAGTCGCGTGGCATTCGCGATTTTCATAGTCCCAAATAAGGGTTATTGAACACAGATGTAGGGTTCAATCTAAAGATAATAAGCTCGAAAAAAGTTGAATGCGCTATCCTTAACTGTGAACTGATTGAAACATGGGACGCTCTAAACTGATTCTCGGGAGTGGGGGGACACTGTCAAAGGGTTCCTTCTCCCCGAGCATAAGGGGGTCCGGACCCCCATGACCCCCCCCCTTATGATTTACACCAATGCAACAAACCTTGAAAGAAGCAATAAAATAGAAGTCTTTTGCTTTCAAACCGTATTCGTCGTGCCAGTGGGTTCCAGGAAGACCAATTACCAGCCTACAGTCATGAATTAAAAAGGACAAATAGATCGAGAGTCCCGTTCTTTAAACAATATGAAGAAGCACGTGTGATGTTATTTGTAGAGAACGAAGCAACGGGAATTGATCTAGTGCTCGTTTTCCTTGTGATGTACAACCTAATGAAAGTAACATACAATGATGGAAGCAGGGGACATTATTTGTACCTTTAACTATGTATATAAGTGTCGAGAAATTAAAGTGGATGAAAAAAAAAAAAAAGGCACGAAGCCTTCGGATAACGTGGAGCGTATTTGAAGTGTAGCAGTGATGGTGTAAACGGAAATGCGAGTAAACGAAAGAAGCAACACGCTACCGGCCGGAAGCGAACCCGCAATCATCGCATTACGCGTGTTAAAACCCCTGGTCAGTTTTTTTTTTTTTTTTTTTTTTAACTGGCATACGTCGAATGGCTGACTCGTCACCCTCAGATCGTGTATAAGACACAAGCGGGCCACTCGCTCACGAAAGAAGCTATTGCACGGAATCGCTGAACGTGGGAGTGGACGCGTGCCAAGGGCCACGTCAGGCCTCCATGGTGTGACTGCGAGGCGCGGCTGGTTGAATTTCTCGTGTCGACAAGGCGCCGAAATACAAACGCACACAAAATCACCGCCCACCGAGGCGAGATTATTCCTGGATCGCGCATTCTGTGTGACGCTAGCGATGCGAAACATAAGCACCCTGCGTTTCGTTTTCTTCTCCTTCTTAGATTCCTTCTTTCTTACGTTTGTTTTCACGACTCGAACACGGTAAACTTACCCTGGCGCGCCATTGAAAAAAACGCATACATCCCGTAAAGCACATGTCCAAGAGAGAGAATAAATGGTAGAGAAGGAAAGGTAGGAAGTTTGTTCAGTCCAGGACAGCCGGTTTGCTATCCTACACGTGGGAATGAGAAGGGGGAGGTTGAAAGAGAGAGCGGAAAGAGAAAGACATGCACTCACATGTCCAAGCATTTCGTAATAACATAACCTATGTTTTTTCTCGTTTATTTTTAGACAATACAGAATTTAAAATAAAAATTCACTGTGACAGTCATCGAGTTCGGTTGCACGAAGCGACGGATACTTTCCGAAAAATCTATATACATAAATTGTAAGAGAGCTGTTTCTTGGGCGAGTTGGAAACTCATACTTGGGACGAGCGCTTCCGTTGCTAAAACACTTCCGTCTATGTGTCAGTGCGCCTTTCTTTCGTCCATGCCCACTAGCACTAACCTTCCAATCAAAATACATATAATCTACTAAGTAAGTAATATTCGCGGTTAACATCGTAATGTAATCACGTTACAGTACTTGTTGCAACTGACAAATTGTAGTTGATGAGATTGCAGGGACATGCGCTCACTGACTACACAATTAGTCCTAAAGCTGATTGGGATGCTTGTGAAATGAAGTACTAATTTAGATTTGTGCGCCATCAGACATAAGATAAAGAGGTAAACCATTCCTTCGGTTACATTTTTTAATGAACAGCTGTTTTGTGCACAAAAGCATTGAGGTAACATTGACGCCCACCTACTTTGCGAGTCAATATGTCTAAACCAGTGTCATCAATAAATAAATAAATAAATAAATAAATGTTTAAAATTAACAAAACAATCGCTCAAGTCGAACGTGCCCGAAAAGAAAGGAAAGAAAAGGACTGAAACGTAAGTCAACACAAACATGAAAACACAATGCGAAGTGCTCAATAAAGGTAAATGACAGGTGCACGAAAGGGCCACAGACTACGGTAGTTTATAACAGGCTTCAGTGCATTTGCGCGTTATTCAACTGAGTAATGACTGCTATATCTGCTTCTAGCAATCTATTTATCCAGTGCTCAATGTCAGTGTGAACTATAAAAAAATAATAATAATATTAATAATAATAATCATCTTGCTTTGAGAACCAGGCCAATTATACGATTTGCAGGCATGCCGTACTAGCTGACTTTGGACCGATTTCAACCACCTTGTAGTCTCTCTCTTTGTTTTACGTGCACGTAAATCTAGCCGACGGCTTTTCTTTTCGCATTTCCCCCTCTCCCATAGAAACGTTGCCGCCATGCCCGGCATACAATCTCGAGCACACGATATCAACATCACGACGCACGTGTTAGGCTACCACGGTGAGTCAACTGAATGATAGCCAACTGCTAACAGAATTATGCGCATGAAAGTTGCGCGTGCGTAACCCGTTACAGAGTCAGTAAAGCTGGCTTTTTCACACTTAGGCTTTGTCTGAGGAGAAGCACGCTTTACCATCATATTTCGACACGTGCGTGTGCAAAACGAATGTGCTGCCATGGCGACGGTGAACATCGCCACAAGTGAAACGTAATCAACGAAAGCACGGTTATTTTACTGACCCCAACCCTCGCACACGTGGAATGGGATAATTGATTGATATGTGGGGTTTAACGTCCCAAACCCACACGTGGCATGGGAGCCCGACGCGCATCGGATGTACTATGCATCACTTTGATGATATTGTCACGTGCCTGCGGCAAGAAAGGCGATGAGTTATGCATGTGCTATAACAGACTACGGAAAGGACGAGGAAGAAGAACTCGCTTGCGCGCTCTATTAAAGAGAACCACCTGCTTGTGGTATCTTGATCTCTGCGGCAAGACCTCTGTTTTGACATCGTGACAATATGATATGTAGAGTTTATCGTCCCAATACCACCATATGATTACGAGAGACGCCGTAGTCGAAGGCCCCGGAAATTTCGACCACCTGGGGTTCTTTAACATGCACCCAAATCTGAGCACACGGGCCTACAGCAACTATGCATCACCTTAACGGCGCAGTTCGTCATTCAGCAAAATTCAAACGCCCGACCTTCTTATCTAAAATGCACTTCTATTCCATGTTCTCTCTGATTAATATACCCACATATTCCTAGCGTAAAGAATTTGGTGCCCCGGTGTTTTGGTACACCGTCACTTTTATAACGTTGAAATCTCGCACACGAAACGGGCTGCTATACTGCAGCGGTGCCTTTTACGAAGATAATTCCTTCTCGTGGTTCCTACGCTATGCTTCTGATTCGAGCGACCACGCGTTCACCTTATTATATCAGCCGGCTGTGAATTGAGCGCAACGTATCAGCACAGTATACTGGCCCTAACGACTGTTACACGTCTGTTCTGGAGCTACGCGACGTCTCTTAGTTAGCGAATTATTACGCATTAAAACACCACGTAGCTTGTAATGAAGGAAATAAGTGTACACTTAACGGTTCGCTTTCTTTGTCAGACACATTATAGATAAGATATAATTGACAATCATGCCAAGGAAAGTATAGAAGATGTTATATGAGGTAGTTGTAATGTAAATGTGAAGAAAGAAAAGTGGACGAAAACATCACTTGCCGTGGGCAGGGAGCAAACCTGCTACCTTCGAATAACGCGTCCAATGCTCGACCAACTGAGCAAACACGGCGGCTATCCGCCATCTCATTTCTTGGGTATATATGTGAATTAAACGTGGGAGCGTCAGTCAGCGCCACCTGTAGCCATAGCAGCAAGTGTGGAAGACTTTTTCTGTCTGTTTTGGCGTCACGTAGCCCGTGATTTCATTACGAGCCGGCCGTTTTTAGTCACTTACAAGTTTCATCATCATGACTCTTACTGCGGCCAATGCAAGGCAAAGGCCTTTCCCATGTTTCGCGAATCAACCCTGGTTCATAGAGAGCCATACAGTACTTTTGCAAACAATTTTGTGCGCATGTCGCACAAAAACCGTAGTTGATAACATATAACAGCGCCTGCAGTCACTTTACGAGACACAGGTGAAAAATCATCATTCATCGCCAGCGTTATTTTTCCTCATCTGTTTTAGAACACGAGTGGCTGCTCCCTTTTACAAAAACTTGTGATAGCTGCGTTGGCAACCTACTACTATAGAGGCTGGAACTTCTATAGCCTCTATACTACTACTATGCGCGTCCGCCGTCAACACTCATGAAGAAGCGGTTGCGAAACCTTCAGTTTACAGATGGTCGTTCGAAACTCGAAACGGAACACTGTTACCTCATTATCTCTGATGCGACAGCAATACAAGCAGTGAAGTCAGGACTGGCAGGTCTGGCTGCTGGCCACGGTATACTCAGGTTCTTTTTGCCAGCTCTACTGCTATTTGTGGCTTAGATGTCGCACGGTCCGTCCAGGAAAGCAAACCGTGCACACAGTTTGCGTGGGACGCCATGGAGCACTCGTTGGACTGCGGCACGTTGCAACAATCGCGGTGTGATTAGCAAATGGCATGCACACGCGCAGCATCAAAAAACCAAGGCCTCGACAGAGACCGTGAAAAAACCCGTTACGACTCTGCAATAGATGTTTTTTCAGCGTTGAACGGCATATCACTCTTGTCATGCATAAACACGAGGGCACGCGTATTTTAAGTATTACTCATTGTGCGTCTTTCTTTATACGCTTACGCCAAGTTTTGTGGATGGTGAAATGAATGCTTAGTTTGCACACCTGACAATTCTTATCTCGAATGACAGAGTCAGACACTCTGTTTATAGACGTGCTCTAACTAAACAGTCTGTCCGATTCCGGCAGAAACTCAAACTACTGGCGCGTCTCCAAACGTGCTTTGTGTGCCGTAGTTGCCACGGGCACTTGAAAGCTAGGTACGCGGTTAGCTGCGTGGCTCATACCCTTGCTCGTCTTTGGGGGCAAAGCGCATGAACGCAGCGCCGAATGGCCATGGAAACGCAGTGGTTGCCATAGAAACGGAGCGCTGGCTCTCGCTGTGAGGAGGTTTAAACGTGTACAAAAGCAACTTCTTGCGTTGCTATTTCGGTTGCTTACGTTAGTTGCTCTCTTATTTTGCCGCGCAAAATGGTAAAACGGAAACGACAAGACAGATTTCACGTTTGTTTCGCGTGGCTCTTGCTTAAATCTGTGCCCATTTAATTACTCTCAATGGTCACGATTGGTAACGCAAACGGTCTTCTCGGTGATGATGTGAAAATATCCAGGTGGCCACACCAGCAGTTCTATCTTAAACAGAGCGGCGTCATGCTTCGTTTTTTCTTTGTCTTGTACTTCCAGATACTACTGTTCCGGAAAATATCGTTTGGTGCGTTTCGCAGGCTCTGCCGACATGTCTGTTTTCAGGCACCGGCATCTGTACACGTTTCACAATTTCTGGGGTGAGTGACTCTTCAATTAAACGAAATATGCGTGCGCACACGCTGGATGTTCGACAGTTGTTCATATATATGCGAACCACAGAGTACACATACGGATGGAATGCGCGCTTTTATGCAACTTAGCGAAAACAAAAGGGTGCCGACATGTGCAATCAAAACTGCAATTTAGGTACCGATCACGGTCAAGGCATTCGGGACACTGAGTAGATTTTAATATTTGAGGCCATAATTTAATACTTGGAGCGCATAATTAGCTTTTGCGATATTTTGATTGACTCAGCTTTGCCTAGCTCTTTCCGACGTGTAAAAACAGCAACAAATGAATTTGCTATACCTGCGTGAAACACGCAGTCACAGAGTAAGGCGGAGGAGCTACTCCTATGTGAGCCTCCACCCCCCACCCCCGCACAGACATGCGTTAATTTGATACTACTGCTCCCCACGCTTGTAATTAAGCTGTGATGCCTAATTAGGTACGCTGAAGCAACAAAAACATCACAATAAGTCAAATCGCCTACGCTCGGAAATTAGAATTGCCAGCTGATCCTGTGTTGTTGCGTGTTGCATTTTCCTTCTCTTCATTGCATCGTTTGTGTGTGCGTGCGTATGTGCATGTCTGTGCTCCTTTTACCTGTTAACGCTAAGTCCTCGTTCTCGGTTGGTTTTCACTCGTGCCGTTGTGGCCAAGAGCTCAGCAATCGATATTATCGTGGAACGCTGCACGGTAATCCGATCTGCTTGTGATCTCCAGCTAGATTATCTCCAAAAGCGCGCGAGAGACTGTACTTCTGACGTACTATTATGACTATCGTGACGCCGCAATATAACAATATCTGAGATTTTACGTCACAAAAGCCCGATATGATTGTGAGGGACACCGTTGTGGAGGGCTCCGAAAATTTCGATCATGTGGCGTTCTTTAACGTGCACCGAGATTACACAGTAGACGGGAGTTCATCATTTCGCTTCATCTCGGTGGCTGAGATCAAATCCACGACCTACAGACCAACAGCGGAGAACAGTAACTACTGATCCACCATAGCAGACTTTCGCAACGCCACATGCTAGCCAGTTGGTTAATTTTCAAATAGAAATATCATGAACGTACTTACGAAAAAAAAAGACGACCAGCCTCGTAATTTTCATTGATAAATCGCCAATGCTATAGGTACCACGCCGTTCTTTAGTAACTCTGTTCGATACAGGTGTTCAATAAAGAACTAATCTCCCACGTTCAAACTATTTACGCGCTTTTGTTTCTCGTTGTCGCGTGCAAATCTTGCAGGTGGCAACGCTGACAGTGTATTCTGGACGTCCTTCGGTAACTGTGACATCGCGTATATATTCAACTACATGCTAATAATACATGTTGGCCTAATTTGAAAGTTTGAAGCTGTCATAACTACAGTCACCGGGTGTTTCGTGCCTGCCTTTATTTATTCGTTTTGTATTTCAGACTTTAACAAAGACGGAATATTGACATGGGACGACTTCAACATTATTGCCGAGGTAAGCCGGCACAAAACGTGCTCTAAGTGACAGAAATGTAATGCTATCGCAATGCTTCGGAGAATGTAAAATCAAAATCCGATGGCCGACCTGCTATCGAATTCCTTCTTTATCTCTTTCATTACGATAGCAATTAATGGATCGTCTCGACGGGTTTGTGCCGTCATGTCGCGTATAAGGTCCAAATTAATAAGGTCCCCCAGCACATCGTACGTTCTCCCCACCGTTTATAGCGCGCGAGCGGGAACGACGAACGAGCAGCCACTGAGACGTTTGATTTTACGAGCGCGGTCGTCTCAGGCGCGCGTTTTATCTGCAGCTATCTCGGCAGCCGGCAGCGAGCGTCTCGCGCCTACGTGCCGCGCCTTGTGCGCGAAGATACTGTGCCAAAAGTGTGCCTGGAGCGGCAGTACTCTCTTACAACAGCGTTTTGTTGAGTTGCGCGAGATTCCATTCAAAATAATTAGCGGACAGCCTCACTTCGCATAAAACACAATTTGTGGCTATCGCATTCATTGCTTCATTCTTGCGGTGAAACTGTGACAAGTGTGCCTGGAGCGGCTGTACTCTCTTACAACAACGTTTTGTAGAGTTGCGCGAGATCGCATCCAAAATAATTAGCTGACAGCCTCACTTCGAATAAAATTACAATTTGTTGCTATCGCATTCATTGCTACATTCTTGCAGTGAAACTGACCTTTTTTTCCCCTCAGTACTACACCAAGTTGCAGCGCCACGGCAAGCTCGAAAAGGAGGTCTACGAAAGGTGGAAGTCGATTCTCGAACGATGGTGGAACGAACTGACGGAGCACGCAGACTTTAACAAAGTAGGTTGCCTCGCAAAGAAAGCGAGAGTGCTGTAAATGTCGCTTTCCCTCAACAAAACCGATGTTGCGGGAAAGAACGCTCGCGAAGAACGATTTCGGGAGAAAATGCGCATGAACTAAAGGCGTACCACCAGGATGTGTTTTGCATGCCCGTTCACTGCGTATTTTATACGCACACCGTTTCGAACCAACGAATTTTAGCAAGCTCTACTGAACGAACACATAAGAGACAGGACAGCCTGTGTTGAACCTGTCTACAGTTTCGGAATAAAACTCCATAATTTAGGAATTATTAAATCATTCCAAATATGTTGTTTCTCAAGTAGTAGCTGAAAGACCACTCAAAACAGAATGTGTTCTGAGTGTGGTGAGAGTGGAACACGACTATCTCCATGACGCAATTGGCTAGCGCGTTCGGCTGTTAACCAAAAGGTTGGAGGTTCGAGCCCTCCGGAGAGCGGTGTGTCTCTTTTTTATACGCAGTTCGAGCGACTATTGACGCTCGCAAGGAATTTAGTGACATAGAAGTGTAACTTCCAGCAATGAATATCATGGTCTACTAGCCGGATTAAGTGTAGTCGTTCAGTCATTTTTATAGCGCAGTCTAAAGAGCGCCCAACGCAACTCTTTCACGCAGGACCGTATCGTGGAATTCGACGAATGGCTCAAGTTTTTCACTAATCTTGGAAAAAGCACCAAGAGCGTCAAAGACCTGCCGGACTTTTTGCAGAAATACCTGCATTTGTTTTTCCTCATCATGGACTCGAACAGTAAGGGCGGACGTTACTCGTAGTAATTGCCTTTAAGTGCTCGAAACAGTAGCGTTATCGAAGCGTGATAATAAATTGTAGCGCAGACAAAGGGCAAGGGCACAAGAAGGCGCATGCAAGACAACGCCTTCTCTTGTACGTGCCCTTTGTCTTCGCTACCATATATTATCACGCTACCATACCAACAAGCCCAAATTGCCACCCTCACTGACGTTATCGATGCGATTTTGTTACACACTACGGACTCTGATTCGTAGAGTAATATATAGCATAACGAACCGGCAGCAGTTCCACGGCAGCAGCTCAACAACTCATAGATTGGATGATTACTTAAGCCTTCAATTTTTTTTGTTTTTTTATCAACTATTCCTGTTGCAACTATTCCAAAACAGCCAACGATGGCACCTGTACGCCTCTATGGACATAAAGAGTGCTTGTGACAGGTAGGATAATTAAAGCGAAAATTAACATACAGTGGCAATGATACAACGCAGAAAATCCTAGAAAAGAGCTTGCAAACCATAGAAACACTTGGAAAGATTCTAAAAATAATAAATTTTCCTTACGAAGGGAGACATGATCAGCTTTTGGCAGCTTGTGTGCGTGTAAAATGCACGTTGACGCAATGTAAAGTATAAACCAATTAATCTTTTATACATTTTCAAAATCGGACAGACGCACAGGAATACCCCGCATTTCAACTACATAACGTGATTAGATAATCACCTTTTTAAAAATTAGTTGGAATGGCATACTCTTTTTTTACATTTCCAGAGGACGGCCTAGTATGTGCCAAGGACTACAAGAAGTACCTCAAAACTCACAATCTCGACATAGGCAGAGCGGATGAGTGCTTCAAGGAAATGCTCAATGTGAGTGCTTACACCTGCTACAAAACTCCATCCATTCATATAAAAGTCATTCGGCACCAAGGCACAGCCTTTCGACCACCTACTCTACTTTGCAGCGTGAGCAACAATGTAATGCTTAGATAAATCATTGCACACTGAAGTCAACCCACAGGTCGCGGGATCGAATCCCAGCTGCATTTCCGATGGAGGCGGAAATGTTGTAGGCCCGTGTGCTCAGATTTGGGTGCACGTTAAAGAACCCCAGGTGGCCGAAATTTCCGGAGCCCTCCACCATGGCATCTCTCATAATCATATGGTGGTTTTGGGACGTTGAACCCCACATATCAATCACACTAAAGTCAGCACGTTAAATAGACTACACTTCATGAGCTCTAACCATTGTGGTTTGTAATGTAATGCAGAACTGTGCTACTTTATTGCTTTCGTGAGAAACGCGCCATACCCCAACACCAGCTTTTTTTTTAGCTTGTTCTCCGCCACAGAATTCTCAAGCTGTAGTTTCTATGAACCTTAGTTCCGAGAATATGTAGATATGTGTATGATTTCTTAGTTCTATCACAGTGAGGTACCTCAAAATCAACATTTGAAGAACGTCTTTCCCTTTTTCAACACATTAAATTCCACAAAAGGCTTTCCTGGTTATGTAAAAACGACGAACGCATGCGTATTCATGAAAACATTTCATTAAAAGCACACGGGACCGTATTTCTCAAAGGTTTTTTTGCTGCCATCTTCAATTTCGCTCTGGGACCGAGCAAACAACCCCTTCAAACTTTGTCCGATTATCTTTCACCATGGGGGGGGGGGGGGCTTGCTTTAAATTTTACATACACAGTGATATGATGTGGCACCGCAGTAAAAACGTGGAATTGTGAGAATTCAGATGTTTTTAGTACAGGCTGCAAGTTAGCAACATGTTTCTTTGTTGGTGTTCGATAACCTTACACAAATTTTTGCCTTGGTTGGCGCAGGAGGAAGATGCTGAGAACGGAAACGCCATGACGTCGGATCGTTTTACGGCCACCGTCTACGAATGCTGGGTATCGCAAGACAACAACTGCAAAGGGAAATACATATGCGGACCCTACGACTCAATACCCATGGAAGAGCTCGAAAAGAAGAACAAGAAGCGACCAGTCTGAACACTGCCGTACTTCTTACTATTATTATTTTGCACAAGTTCTGCCTCGCTAGCCAAATGCTTCTTCGCACGACCACTCTCGCAGTGGCTTCACTTTCTCGCACCGAGGGGCACCTCTTTTTAAGCAGCACACTTTATCAAGTACGACTGCGAAATAATCAAATAAAAAAGCTTCCACGACTGCTCACAGTGGCCGAAGGCTACTGTGCTTGCACGAGTACAACGAATCCTCCCAATTATTTTGTTGTTGTTTCCTTAAACGTTTGGGTGACAAGGCATTTAGGGTTTAATTTGGAGTCATGCAGAGCTAAACCTCCAAATATAGTGCAATCAGCCCTCTCTCAGAAATTTTCAAAGCTCAGCCACATTGCAACAAGGCGTTGCAGAAAAGCTAGCTTCTAGATGCCATGGTGGGGTGGAATACAGACATGTATTCGTGCGATGTGTGGTATTACGCAAACGAACACCAAGACGTGAGTAATGAGGAAGGTGACCCTCTACATGTATGTACCTGTTGTGGCCCATCACAACTGGTCCTTTTGAAGCGTCATGTCCTTTAAGAACTAGTTCAGTGACAGTTCCTTGCAGAATCTGCCAGGGACTTTGTGCACAACTTTTAACTAATGCAGGGAATGCTGCAAACTAATTGAGCACCTGGCTTGTGCTATGCGAAACAACTGGCGGTGACATACATATAACACCACGTCGCATTGTGGTGAAACAAAAAAACAAGGTTGAGCACTTACTAAACTACAGTGAAACATTGCATTGATGTTAAGTAGGCACTTTTCAAACTATACTTGCAAAAGTGCCTAAGCAACTTAATGAAACATTTCATTACAATGCACATACTACTCAATGGACACTTACCCAAGTGCTGGTGGACAAAAAGAATGACCTGTCATGTAGCAATACCTCCGCTCAGTATGATGCGCATCAACGCAGTCATACTAACAAGAGCAAACACACATCACTGTAGCCGAACGTGCACCAAGCGTCATACTCCACACTCGATGAGCATGTGTATGCATAAATAAAAGACACACGGTTGATACAAAATATGTGTATTTAATCGCTACTACAAAAACAGCGAAATCGTGTAGGCATAATATAAATAACGAAGCAGTTTGTTCTTGAGGGTTGAGGGTTATGTATATATACAAGGTCTTGATGCTGATTCGAAGATATGAAAAACAGGTGTATAAAAAAACATGAGTGGAGACTGATGAACACATAGGGCATATGCATGCATGCACAATGTTTACACAATCTTTTTTTTGTCACATCCGGTTTGTTTCCAATACTACACAAGCAAGCACCAGATTCGCATAGATAAATCGATGCAAGATATTCTCCCCAAGGCTTTCAATGGTACGATGCTCAGTCGACATGATGCGCACAATCCACTCACAATGATGTTGACGTACTTGGGTATCGTTATTTACACAGTGCTCAAGAACATAATAAAAAATGGGCAAAATGTGCCTGCTGTTGTGGAATTCAATGACGAATGATGAAAAGAAGTACTGTGAGACGTTAGTAATAACAGTGAATATAAATTAATGAAATAATAAACACAGATGAGTAAACTGCTATGACAAAACACATACATCATTATCTCGTGCGATTCAAGTTAGAAAGTAGTGCTCGTGTTAACAAATTGCAAAGATAGCAGATCTACTCGTCACAACCCTGCATACTTGCAATAATGCTAAAGCCATCAGGGTACCGGCTGTGCAGTTTTTTTTTGTCGATTCAATCCCTTGTTTCATTCAAAGAAAGTTTCCTAGTCAGATCGTGGAATAATAATTCGTTTTCCACTGGAATAAAAAAAACACGAGAAACATGGCGGCCCTGGCAATGGCGAATATATCAAAAGCCAAAGTTTTCCTTTTCTGAACTCTGTGATTTATGAAAGCTGTTACTTTAGCAAAAACATGCATGTAGAAAATTATTCCAGGAGTCAAGTATTACCAGAGAGTTAATTACTGTGTCAAGTAACAGGTGCCCATTGTGCAACATTAATGTCGAGAGACTTACAATACCTTCTTGCTTCACACTTTCATTTTTACAAGCTTTCCCTGAAGTTTTACAAGCTTGATCGTTTCATTGCTTTGCAGGAGTGTGAATGCCGACCATGCCCATTGCCGACAGCCTTTCTCTCGCTCTCTTGTATTCTCTTGTTCCCCTACTCTCTTATCCTTATGAATTAAAGCAAACATTGCCATCATTTCCTAACAATAACCACTTTAACCCATCAAAAGACACCTGTATATAATCCTTTTCTAATGTTTCTGTCTGTACCTGACTGTCTACCTGCTACTTAGACGTCGCTAATAAACCTCCTTGCAAAGTGGTGGAAGTGCGCTAGGTAGTTAAATCTAGAACTTTGAAGCTGGAAGTTGCCCACTGCGCCGACAATACCTGATCAGATCACTGAGCAAGGAACCGCCTAGGCAAAAAACGGCCCAATCTCTACTGGTCATCGTGCCTATTACGCTGCGCCAACGTGACTCCCTCTTCTTCCGCGGGTCCAAGGACCAAGATGTGGAAGGTTGGCTGCTGCTCTTTGAAAAGGTGAGCGCTGCCAACGAATGGGACGACCTCTCAACGTTGAAGTATGTCCCATTTTACCTCAAAGATGCCGCCAGCTTGTAATTAACAAACCACCGTGTCAAATTTTCCACTTAGGCCGCATTCAAGACCGCTCTTGCAGCTGTGTTTGGTCGCCGCACAGTGCGCAAGCTCGGCGTCGAACAGTGCCTATGCGGACGTGCACAAAGGCAGGGCGAAAACTTCATGAGCTATATTGAAGATGTCATCGGTCTATGCAGGCGCCTGAACCCCGAGATGGCCAAACAAGACAACATCAGGCATATCTTGAAAGGCATACACGATGACGCCTTTTAAACTGTTGCTGGCGAAAGGCCCATGTATCGTGTCCGAACTTGTAAGCTTGTGCCAGAGCTTCAAAGAACTTTGCAAGCAACGTGCCTCAGTTCGAAGGTCGACGACAGCAGAACGGGCTCAGCGTCCACAGCCCGTGCACAACACTTGCTATTCGCACCCAGAGACGGCCCCACTGGTGATCGCCTTGCTCCTTCACCCTTACACTTTATGATAATGAGCATTTATCCACTTAATAGTAACTCTCGCCATGAATTACCTTGAATGTCTTGGTCATGACTAAGAGCCCTCGTTTGAACAAACACATACCAAGCAAGCTATGTAGGAAAATGTTCAACATTTCAGAAGCTTGTGTAGAATGTACAATATCCAGCCAAAATCACAAAGTGCGCAATAACCAACACATTGTGTTTACTATTGCCCTCATCAAATGTTGTTAGCTTCTTATTTGCACTAGTTTTATTTGAAGAGCAACTGAAGTCAGGCTAGATTATTTTTCGAAACTAAGATCGCTTATAGACTTGTTGAATTCACGGCATTACTTTGTGAAATGGGGAAAAAACTTTCCTGTGGTTCATGCTTCGTGCAATGACAAAGAATATTGTATACGGATTCACTCAGGAGTATTTCCAGTGATGTCCTACTCCCATGAACAGTTCCTGCAAAGTTCAATTATCAATTACTTGAGAATTTTTCAATTATTAATACCTAAGATCTTATGTCCCAAGACCATGACATGATTATGAGATATGCTGTAGTGGAGGGCTCCAGAAATTTTGAGTATCTGGTGTTCTGTAACATGCACCGACATCACACAGTACAAGGGCTTTTAGAATGCACCGACACTGCACCGCCACAGCCAGGATCGAACCAGTGACCTTTGTTAGATCAGGGTCAGCAACCAATCAAAAAATTTTTCAAACGGTACTGCAACAAGAACATGCACATGAAAGTGTGTATACATGTTGGTTGCTCTCCGATATTTAACTGGAACAAATACTTTTGCATCATTAGGGGTGCCTCTGCTAATAAGCATGAAAAATCAGATCAAGGATGCAGCAACAAGCACACCTCAAAGGAAGTATGTATAATACATATACTAGAACTTCGCCGTCGCTGATGTAATTGCTGTTACTTTTGTAAGGTTTGCATGTGTGCACTGATATATGCTGGCCTACCATCGATCGTTTGCGTGTGCATGAATTAACGCCTTTCTCAGTGGCAGCAGCTGGTCTGCTTCCGTTAAATTTCCTTTCGTGTCCTTTGTATATACATTTCTGAAAATGCAGTCATATAAAAAATAACTGCTGGCACAAAATGCATTGCCTCCATGCCTTTTTTTTCTCTAGAGACATATTTCTGCAGTATTGCTAAATTCATTATCCTAACGGCATGTCACAGTGTGCACCTTTCTCATGTTACTCGCTTCTACAACAGCCTTATGCATTTCTTATGCACAAGGAAGTTATAGTGCCTGTATCATTTGTTACCAGGCCTTGCTGACAGCAAGTCTGACTAAACTGAGTTCATTGTGTACTGTTTTTCAATGTGAATGAATGTGATGTGGAAACAGGACACCTTATAGGGACACTAAAGAGAGACAATGACTTGTTTTAAATTGGTAAGCTGCACTCTGAAAACTCCAATGCAATAAGTTTCACTATTATAAACTCATTATTAGCAGAGAAAAAGGTTCGAAGTTTCATTTTTTAATTTCATGCCAAAATCTAAGTGCCTGAAATTACAAATTTCACAATGTATTCTTTACATTTTCAGGACATTAGAAGATTGAATTTTCTAGCATTTTGTATGAAAAGTCTATGGCACACACAGATTACAATACAGTTCAATTTTATCGATTAGAAGCTATGCAAGACCCACCAAACACCTTCAAAATCGATGACTTCGTGGTGTTTGGTATGGGAATCTCAAGGTAGTGTGGCAACGCAAAGCGGTGCTTCTGTGTGCGGTGCAGAGAGTGCATGCGCCCGCACGAGAAAGTTATCTTCGAGAGGAAGGGTGATAATAAAAGTCAGTTGTTGTTTGGGATGCGAGTTGTTCACTTGCGCAGCTCTGCCGAGCGACTGCGTCTCAACATTGGTGACCCGGACTCGGAATACAGACACAGCGACCGGAGTGTCGAACCAGCCGCAATATGGATTCATTCAACGTCCACGACCGACGCCCCTTCGACAGTCTCCTCAGTCGACGGTAAGCTGCCCCCTTTTTGGACTGCGGACCCCGCACTTTGGTTTCATACAAGTGGAATCTCAGTTCGCAGCCAGACGAATCACCGCAGACCTTACGAAATACCACTACGTAGTCAGCAGTCTGCCGCCCGCCATAGCCAGTGAAATCAGGGATCTGTTGCTCGCAGCACCTGTCGAAAACGCATATGCAACGCTAAAAGAAACCCTTATTCGCCGAGTTACGCCCTCCGAACCACAACGACTGCAGAAATTTCTTCGCGGCACGAAACTCGGCGACCGTACTCCTAGTCAGCTTTTGCGGCACATGCAACAGTTGCTTGGCGGAACATCAAACACGATAGATGGAGTATTGCTCCGAGAACTTTTTTTGCAAAAGTTGCCTGCAGGCGTCCGCATGGTCATCGCGGCCTCAGAGCACAAGGATTTAACCGCAGCCGCCGAACTTGCTGACAAACTGGTAGCAATGACACCGCCCACACCCATGGCTGCCGTGCAAGCGCAACAGCCTCTAAACAAACTGCGTGAGGAGATTGCTCAACTTGCCGAAACATTATCAGCTTTGCACGCTAGCAGGAGAGCGCGAACGATAACCGAGCCTAACACGCCGCTATCGCAAGAGCAGCACGAGCATATCTGCTGGTATCATCGGAGGTTCGGAAGTAGTGCGGGTAAATGTGTCCCACCGTGCGCGCACTCGGGAAACAGCCGCGGCAGGCACTGAGGGCGACCAGTGCTACTACGTTGCCTCCAAGTCGTCGCTCAGTATTTTTTATTACCGACCGCAACAACGGAGTACGTTTCTTAGTGGACACAGGCGCCGAGGTGAGCGTTATACCGGCGTCACAAGCTGAAAGAAAGAAACCTAGTACATCGCCCTTGCAAGCTGTCAATAACACGGTGATAACAACACATGGCCACCGTTCACTGTCACTGAACTTCGGTTCCGGCAGAACGTTTAGCTGGGTGTTCATAGCTGCTGATGTGCAAATTCGCCATACTAGGCGCAGACTTTCTCCAGTTCTTCGGTCTGTTGGTCGACATCCGCAACAAACGCTTCAAGATCCCGTTTCTCGGGGAGCGGTACAAGGCACGCCGTGTTGGCACCCCCCTATCAGCCCGGCCTTGCTTAGTCAGCGCTGGAGAAGCATACTTCACCGCAATACTACAAGAGTTCCCAGAGCTGACACGACAGCCACAGGCATTTCCAGAACTAAAGCACGGCGTTCTGCATCACATCGAAACCACAGGCACACCGGTCTATGCGCGACCACGGCGCCTGTCACCCGAGAAGCTGCGGTTGGCTCGACAGGCGTTTGCCCACATGATGGAACTCAGGATAGTACGTCCTTCATCCAGCCCATATGCGTCGCCTCTTCACATGGTCCCAAAATCAACAGACGGTGATTGGCGCCCTTGCGGGGACTATCGAGCGCTGAACCGGGTAACCGTGCCAGACCTGTTACCCAGTCCCGCACATTCATGACATGACCTCCTTCCTGCATAGTGCTACCATTTTCTCTAAAATAGATCTAGTGCGAGCATATCATCAGATACCCGTAGCACCGGAGGATATCCCCAAGACCGCAATAACAACGCCGTTCGGAATGTTCGAGTTCCTACACATGCCTTTCGGCTTACAGAACGCCGGACAAACTTTTCAACGATTCATGGATGGCGTTGTCCGTGGCCTCAACTTTTGCAAGGTATACCTCGATGATCTTCTGATTGCTAGCAGCACTCCTGAAGAGCACGAGCGGCATCTGCGCTACGTACTTCAGCGACTGACAGAGAACGGCATCGTTATCAATACGGCAAAGTGCGTGTTTGGGGTACCGACACTATCATTTTTGGGCCACAGCATTTCAAGTGCCGGAGTACAGCCCCAGAAGGACAAGGTGGAAGCAGTATGGCAGTTTCCACAGCCGAAAAACCTCCGCCAGCTTCGAGAGTTCCTGGGACTCGTGAATTTCTACCGTAGGTTTATCCCGAAATGCGCCAACATCCTTCACCCTCTCCACAGCCTACTTGCGGCATCTGGATTTAACGCAACTGCCATTCAGTGGAACGACCAATCCACACAAGCATTCCGGATGATAAAGGAAGCTCTCGCAAATGCTACCATGCTCACGTACCCGCAGCTGGGTGTTCCTCAGTGCGTCATGGTGGACGCCTCCGATGCAGCGATTGGAGCCGTGTTGCAGCAGAGGGTGAGCGGAGTGTGGCGACCAATTTCCTTCTCCAGAAAACTGAGCCCGTCCGAACGAAGGTACAGCACCTTCGGTAGGGAACTCCTGGCCATATACGCGGCTATCCGGCATTTCCGACATTATGTGGAAGGACAAGAATTTTTTGTGCTCACAGATCACAAGCCACTCACCTACGCATTGCGCGCGAACTCCGATTCTGGTGCGCACGTGGCACGGGAGCTCCGCCAAATGTCGTACATCGCAGAATTCACGACAGATATACGCCATGTTAGTGGCACGGATAATGCTGCTGCCGACGCTCTTTCGCGTGGTCCAGTGAATGCCATCAGCCTGCCGAGCGGCGTAGACTTCACCAAACTTACGACGGCTCAACGCAGTGATGGAGAATTGAAGCGTCTACTGACGTCTCCAACCAGCGCCTTGAAGCTGCAATGGTTGGCAGAACCCACAGGATCCGTATGCTGCGACATGTCTACAGGCAAGGCCCGACCGTTCGTCCCCTCGAACCTCCGTCACAGTATTTTTGATTTGCTGCACAGCCTGGCGCATCCCGGGATTCGAGCCACACAACGGCTATGCACAGCAAGGTTCGTGTGGCCAGGAATAAACCGGGATGTTCGATACTGGACACGAGAGTGCATCGCATGCCAGCGCTCCAAAGTTCAGCGACATACTGTGACCCCCTTGGGATCCTTCCCTCTGCCGGACTGTAGATTTGCCCATGTGCATGTTGACGTTGTGGGACCACTGCTGTTGTGCCAGGGGCAAAGCTACTTGCTAACCTGCATCGATCGCTTCACGCGATGGCCGGAGGCCGTGCCCATTCCAGACATGACTGCTGATACCGTAGCCCGCGCATTTATCTTCCACTGGGTGGCCCGCTTCGGAGTGCCGGCAACCGTGACTACGGATCGCGGAACACAGTTTGAGTCCGCCCTATTCGCAAGCGTCACCCGACTCTTGGGTACTCACCGCATCAGAACAACTGCCTACCATCCGATTAGCAACGGTATAGTGGAAAGGTTCCATCGCCATCTGAAGACGAGCCTGACGGCTACTGCGAGTCACAGTTGGGTAGAGGCGCTGTCGTTTGTTCTGTTGGGTGTTAGGACGGCTCTGAAAGCAGATATTGGATGCTGCTCCGCTGAACTGGTGTACGGAACAACGCTTCACCTCCCAGGGGAGTTTTTCACTACCAGTAAGGACGAAAACGTGTACGCGAACGCGGACTACGCCATGCGACTGCGAGACATCGTGAGCAAGCTACGCGCTGTTCTTCCGCGTCCGCCCGTAGCCCGGCCAGTCTACGTGAACCAAGAACTCTCCTCCTGCTCTCACGTGTTTGTGAGGCACGACGCCGTACAGCCTCCACTCCAGCCCCCGTACGATGGGCCTTTCAAGGTGCTGCGACGGGCAGACAAGCACATTACAATTGACAGAGGTGGTCGTCACGACGTGGTTTCTCTAGACCGCGTAAAATCAGCACATGTGGACTCCGACAGCGAAGCACCTGCACCACCTCGAGCTCCATCTTTGCAGGCACCCCCGGCAGACCACGTAGCGCAGCCCCAACAAGTCCTCAAACGGTTTACGCGGAGTGGACGGTGTACGAGACCCCCTGTGCGCATGAACTTATGAACCGCAGTGGGTCGTCCGAGTGCGGCCGTTGTGCGCGCACTCACTAGGGGGGGGGGAGTACTGTGGTGATGCAAAGCGGTGCTTCTGTGTGCGGTGCAGAGAGCGCATGTGCCCGCACGAGAAAGTTATCTTCGAGAGGAAGGGTGATGATAAAAGTCAGTTGTTGTTTGGGATGCGAGTTGTTCACTTGCGCAGCTCTGCCGAGCGACGCGTCCTCAACAGTAGCATCTCTACGTGCATTTTCTTTCCGTGACCTTTCTCACTTATCAAGCGTCATGTCATGATAGGAGCGGTTTTTCGGGATTGTGAAATTGTACTTCACCAATACATGAAAAATTGTTTTGCTTTTTAGTGTCCCTTTACACGAGTGTGCAGATTCTAGTGCTTTCCTTGTTTGTAAATAACTACAGATGTCTCATCCTATCTGTAGTGAAACAGGAACACAATAAAATGAAAAAATATGCCCTCATAATACAATATACAGATGAACCCCTTTATAAGAGACATGCACAAGGGAACAATTCCTGTGCTTTATATAAGGTGCGTCTTATAAGCAGGGCACCCCGTATACACCTTCTCAAGTGTGTGCACCTTCTCAAGTGTGTGTTATACCCATTTGTCTGTTACATCAGCGTCTCTAACAAATGGGTTCGACTGTACCAAGAACGCATTGTAGGATAGCAAGCAGCACATAACACAATTCCTAAGGTAAGCGCAAATGACCAAAGTACAACCTCTTGAAAGGCCACTTCTCTAAACTTCAGTCATCTAACCAATCGTGCAGGCCCCATAGTGGTTAAATTAACCGCAGCCGATTGCAACAAGTCAAGGACAACGACGCTCCACCAGTTTTTGAAGTTATGTAAAGTCTTCTTCGTCCACATCCGGCAGAAGCTCTGCTCTGCCGACCATGTCATCCTCATTGGGATCTCCAGTGAGTAGGGTACCAGTAACTGCAAAGCTTTTCTGCACTGCTTCGTGGCTCGTGGCTTGCAAATGGCGCCAGGCTGCTGCAATGCACTCCAACATCTCTTGGACTGTTGGTATGCTTCTTGAAGAACCCCTGTCAACTGACATCTTGTTGACTAAGGCCTGGAACTTCCGTCTTAACCAAACAAAAACGGGGTGAGTCTGTGACGAGCAAGCCGGTGGTGTTATGGCCACCTTGATGTCGCTGCCAGCCGAGGCAGCGAACTCGTTGTGTGGCTCAAACGAATCCAAAATGAGGAAGCTTGGCGATGGCACAAAACGGCCCCAGACGTGGTCCGCCCAGTATTCGACAGTACTCCTGTCAACTTTCATTTCCTCCTGACAGAGGACGAACATGCCATTGACTTCCGATGCACTGCTGGAGCCTTTGAGAACAGCGAGAGGTGGCAAGACGCCGCCGTCGGAAAGACAGGAGAGAAACACGATGGCCTGTGACTGCTCGAAGCCGCACCGGCGAACAAGCAGTGAACCTGTGCCTGTCCCACCACCTGCACCGGAGGAGAAATAGAGAGGCACTTCGTCCATGGCGCCAATAGCTGCGCTGGTCACACCGCACTGCTCCTGGAGCCTCTGTACTTCCAGTCGGAAGGAGGATATCTTCTGTTCGAGAACCGCTGGAAGTGGGGTGTCCTAGTGTAGGCATCTTCTGCAAAAGAGCCTGATGCCGCTTACAAAACCGAATAGGCCAACCTGCAGAGCACTTGAAACCTGCTCTTGTTTGAGATAAAGTTGCTATGGCACGTGTCTGGATCTCATTGTGCGTAACGCTGCGGTTTTGCTCCAATTGAGCTAAGACCCACTCGAGAATCTCATCGTCCTTTTCATATCGCAGCTGTATGCCAAAACGTCGGGACCATCTAGAGTACCAGCCAATGCTGCATTTCATTGTAGTGTCACCGTACTTTCGGTAAGTTTCTGCTGCTTTGGCACGGACTTCGTTAGGCCCTGGCTTGAAGCCACTGCTTCTGCACTGCTGGTACCACTGGTATACCTCTTTTTCAGCCTCCAAGGCCTTTTTACTTTTTGACACCTCCTTTTTTCGCACTTTGCCTTCTTTGACCATTGCCTTGAGTTTTTCCTGGGTCTTGCTCCAGTCTGATAAACTGTTTCGATCAATCTGAAAGTACTTTGAGGCCTCACTGAACTTGAGCCTCTCGGCTACCTTGACGATTTCTAGCTTGACAGCGGGAGGAAATGCAATACGGAATTCCTTCCCTGAACTAGACTGCAGTTCGGGAAGGTCCTCAATCATTTGTTCCATTTCAAGTCGCTTCTTGTGCCACACGTACAACCAACGGCAGTTTGTTCTAACTTGGTCTTCTCCAAAGTATCGAATGATTTCTTTCACCTTTTCCTTCACCTGAGCAGCATCTAGCTTCGCGTTTGTTGCATTGCAGTCATTAAGCCACGTTATGAACATTTGCTCTGCAGGAGATACGGTGGAGGACTCTGTGCTCTTGATGAGGCTGCCTTTCTCATGCGGGAAAAGCCGCTCCAACTTCTCCCGGTCACGGCACCATTCAGCTACTGTTGAATGGTGACACCAAAGTGCTCGGCAGTCTTTTTAAACGTTGACTGCAAGGCATACTTGACAACCTGCAACTTGAAGTCGGGCAGGTATCGCTCGTTCTTCTTTTTCTGTGAAGCAGCATTGCTGCTGTTGTTGCTGCTGGTACTCTCCACAGCAGGAGGGGCTGACGACGACTGCCCATAGTCTGTGTAGGGTTGGTTAGACACTTCCAAGGTGCACGCAGGCGTCATGGCATGGTCATAATTGGCATAGCCATCATAAAATGGAGGAGCAACAGGCTGCCTGCCATCCCCTTTGTGCATCTCACTGCCTCTCATATGAGTCTGGTCTGTCCAATACGAGCCGTAGAACATGTGACTGTTCTGGACAGGCGGTGGTGTCATTTGATGAAGTTGGTAGAACGGGCGCGAGAGGCGCTGAGGGTCCAATCCCATGTCTGGAGTAGAATACGGAGGGCCCGCGTGCTGTGCGTGCTGCTGAGATTGGCTACATAACTGGAGTGTAGTGTGGATTACACAGTGTAGCGCCGTGACAGCTACCTCTATCAAGTGGAGGTTGCACAAGATGGGGGCTCATCTGCTGCGACGTGTGGACCATTCCCCGTGGTGGTTGTGACGATGTAGTTACCAGGAGTATTTCTCATTTCTCTCGGCAGTTGGACTGATGTAGTTACGGGATGCATGTGGTGAGATGGCGCAACTGTGGGAAGCACCGGCTGACTTGATGGAGTGTTACAGTCTGTGCGTGTGTCAGAAACGGCACGAGGCTCGGAAAGCGGATGATTGATGAACTGGTCGATCAGGCACAGATGGATGGAGGACTGGGCAAGGGGAAACCATGGCTTGGGACTCGGCAGAAACGGGAAGCAGCAGCGGCGTGTTGATCCATGCCACCTTGTTCTTGGTCTGTAGCACTGGGCTGATGATGTTTTTCTTGGCTCTGTTCTTTGGCGGGAGCTACAGTGGCATCTGATTTCTCGGTTGAATCTTGACTCTCAGCATGACCCTGCATTAAAAAAATGCAGACATTCGACGCACTACCTCAACCCTCACATGTCCTCAAAAAATAGCACTGAAAAGACAAACTTCTCTAAGATCAACGCTTTGTACAGTCACAAGCCTGCACAGAAAAAAATAAGCAGACACTGACTAAGGAGGCCAAATATGGAAGTTGCACAATATTCTGTACTCACATGTGAAGCCGTGCTCGATTCGTCTTCAACGTCCACTTCCTCTTCCTCTGCAGAAAAGTCCTGCGGATACATTTGCTCACAGCGTCGCTTCCACGCTCGGTGCCAACCGTCGCCTGCTCTGAACTCGGGATGACCGTGTTTCTGGGACAGACGCTGAGCACGAGCGCACACGATAGCTTTCGTGAGCTTTCGGCCTGAAGAAAGAGGAAAAAGAGGTAGCAAGATTTAACAATAAACATTAGAGAAGTCTTAGCAAATGCGGTACCTTTCTTTTGCATTTTCTTGTACCATGTCCACAGCTCCAGATCGATTTCACTCGCACCTCTTGGTCTCGATCGTCTTTGCCTTACTAGTGGGGGAGGAGGTGTTGGAGGAGCAGGTGGCGGTGATGCTGGTGGTGGTGATGGCGGTGCTGCAGGGGACGTTTCTTTTGCTCTTGGCTGTTCCCAAAAGAATGGTGCGACTAATTAGGCCAAGTGGCCCAGTTTCCACAAGTAAAAAACCACAACTAACGCACAAGCAGTATTAGTCACGCCAAAATAGTAAAAATGTGGAAGTTACTCATGATTGAGTATTAAATAAAAATATTGACAGGTAAGAGAGATAGAGATAAAGAGGGTCAAGAACACAAGTGTTACCCCAGACATACCATTTGATAAAAATAGAAATGCAATACATAATCAGACCTTGATATAATCTACATAACTTGACCTTTTCGCTATCGCTGTCGAATATAGTCGACATGAGATTTTGTAACAAAATGACCAATGACAACTACACTTACCATCATCAAACATTGGTCCCACACGAAACTGTTGTGATAAGCACAATAAAAAAAAAGAAAATGAAAGCTTCTCACCCTCACACATGGCGTAAAACATGTCATTTCTGGAGGCAACTGCAGCAGAGTTACTTCATTCAGCTCCTGATGCACATGCGAAAAAGAGGCAGATTAGAAATGGCAAGACGCCATCAAATAAGTTGCAAACACTTTGCTGTATCTTGTACAAAATTTACACCATGCTACAGCCTTTTCATATGCTTCACTGTGGTCTATATTTCAGTTCTGCTGATCGCTGAGAGATGCCAGGTTTTTCTTATGAAATTACAAAGTAAAGAGAGAGACAAAGAAATATTATAGCCCTAACATACTTGTATAAGGCCAATCACTAAATTTCACCGCAGGTCGCGGATCGAATCCCTGGCTGCGGCGGCTGCATTTCCGATGGAGCCTGAAATGCTGTAGGCCCGTGTGCTCAGATTTGAGGTAAACGTTAAGGAACCCCAGGTGGTCGACATTTTCCGAGCCTTCTACTACGTCGTCTCTCATAATCATATAGTGGTTTTGGGACGTCAAACCCCACATATCAACCAATCAATCAATTAATAAATTTATTCTTAGAAAAAGATCCTGACAACGTAGACACAGAACGCTCGCTTAAGCCACTTCTAGCAGACCTCCACATTAGAGCTGGCTAAACAAGACATGATAAACAGAAATAATAGATTACTGGCTAATACAAACACAACTACATTCTTTTTTTCTTTCTGCATGTGCATGATAAGATTTTTTGCTAAAAATCAATTTAAAAAGGGAGTATGTTTCGTAGCTGTCAACAGTTTACAGAAGAGTAAAACTAGCACAAACTTGACTGTTGCAATGACAGCAGTGTTCATCTGGTTGAGCCGTGGATCCCCAGGTGACACTACTAAACAGGCTGTAATTCACAATAACGCTAGGTTCCACAAACTAGAACTCTTCAGTGCGACAAGTGCCTACCTTTAACCCACTTAGGCGGAGAAGTTCCCTTGAACAGCACTCCAAATCGCTCACACCATCGCTGCGCCCACTGCAAGTCGATCTTTGTCTCGTCCACCTTTAGCGACTCGCCCCTGAACATTAGATCGGACACACTTATTTCGTGGCCCGCAAGTGCGTCTCTTCGGACACCAACAAACACATCTGTCTCCCACTGCGGAATGTTCTCAGAGTTTACTTTCTGGCTTATTTCCCGCTTCCCTTTCACCCAGTGTTCCATGAGGCTTTCGTCAACAGAAAGTAGCATGCTGGCTTCCTTGACACTTTTCTCCTCGGCCACAGCAATGGAGAAAAACTTGAAAGAGGCCGGGAAGGGGTCGGGAGGAACACTGCAGGTTCTTTTAACCTCGGGTTTTGGGGCTGGCGGGGGTGCTACGTTCTGGTCAGCTTTCAACCAGTGCTTGACTTTGTGCACTGGCACTCTAAACTTTTTCGCAGCTTGGTCAACCGTGTTAGCTCGAGCGTAGGAGACAATCTCTTTCTTGAGTCCTTTCGGCGTGCGACTGCTCTCGTATCCTTGGGCGGTGGTGGCGTTTGGGCTTTTGATTTGGTGCTCTTGCGGGAGTTGGACTTCCTCGAGGAAGCAGCGCGCTTTTTCCTGCGCTTCTGCGCCCTCGCAGCCCGGGGTGAGAAAGTTTCATCGTCGGCGCGCTCCACATAAGCTCCCTTTGCTGCCACCCCTTTTAATCTTGAGCTTGACGAGCAGCCTTTTCTGGCCTTGGGACCGTTTCTGCCTTGCTTGTGAATTGTTCGACGAGGCACTTCTAGGCGTGGGAGTAAAGTCAATGTCTAGTATGTCACTGGGCAGGTCATCGTCCGAGTCGTCGCCGCTGCCTTCGTACTTTAGAGGCACAGCTTGTTTGCGTCTCGGTCGAGTTGGCAACGTCGATTCCGACATCGCGGTTATTTTATTTTATTTCTCGTGTGGACGTCATCACGTGCCCATTTCCTGAAACATCAAAAATTTGGAACGAGCTTGACACTCGATGCACATCAGGTCGACACAGAATCGCCGATTTCTCTACGTGCTTGCAACAAATAGCAGCAAAATATACCACTCTTTGCCCAGAATACCGCCTTCTATTCTGAAGCACGTAAACAGTAGCGATTACTTGTTATAATTGCAGCGTAAAATTGAGGATCATACAAAGACGGGTGCCGCATTTCTCATCGTACAATAAGCAAGCGATAAAACGTTGCGCTAACTGAATCGGAAGAAGAAAATCCCTGTAAGCGTAAGGTAATAACGCTAGCCTCGCCTTAAAGGTGCCTGCGTCAGAAATTTGTCTCTAAACAAGGTCCCCTAGCGCACCAAAGCTCCCGTCAGATGACAACGAACAGCGCCCGTCACAGACGCGATGAATCGAGCATTCCTCCAAGCAAAAAGCACGCACAGTACAATGTCGGTGAATATTTCAAAATTTTTTGTGCTTTACCGTAACCGCCACGGCGCGTCTGATGAGAACACGGCGTATAAACACTGGCATGGCGGATTTTTGAAGCGACAACACTAATGGCGCTGAGGCCTGTGTGCACGAATATACGGGACACACTGAAGCTGGAACACAGTGTTTTGAATAGCGACGCTGAAAAGAAAGTTTCAGTTTACGTTGCTGTAGCGCAAAGATATAGATAATGTGCTTGAAAGAGCTGCAGAACAAACCACTATCGCAGTCACGAGGAAAAGCAAGAAAATTGCGATGACAGAGTGCAAAGTGTGCATGTGAAAGTCTCAATTTTGTGATGCACGTTAGTATTCTGATCATGAAATAGTATTTGGCTTCGACAAAGAAACAAATATTTGCAAGTGAACTCAAAAGTGACTGCTGCAAGCTGAAGTTGATGATGGCTTAAGCACAGAGATAAGCCCTCTGACAACTTAAACGTAAGATAAGTCATCTTTAGCAACATAAATAATCTATGCTAGCAACACTGTTATAATATTGACTTAATAGCCTTTGAGATTTAGATTTATAATCTAAAAGATCTGAAAATTCATCTGTAACAGCCACGGTAACAACAGCAGTTAAGCAGGTACTGCCCGTGTACACGCATGACCGTTTTATCTTAATGTCGCTCACTTCCTCTGCGATGTCGCTAGTGTAGCCAAAACAATAGAACCAATCACGAAAAAAAAAAATGGCCAATCAAACAAACTGCGGCAGGTCACGTGGCTTACTGGGACGACCGCGTGCATTTAACTGTAGCGGTTTGGCCAAGCTGAGTGACGGACCGCCTGGATCGCCTGCGACCACGTCAACGACGCCCCTGACCACGTCTTTGGGTGAGTGGTCGAATATTTAAACCGCGGTGCGTTACCGCAGTTGTGGTGCTGATGGCTGCCGAACCGACCCTCTTGGGTAAACCTGACAGATTTCCGCAACGTTTCGGTTTCGTGCGATTAGCACGGTATGTGGGAACTGCTTTAAACGAAACTGTTTTTTGTATAATGTAAATGCCAGGCAAAAAGCGGTAGCAGCGTCAGGACAGAAGCAGCAACAGCTGGTCAGATATACGGGCGTCGTCGCAGCAGCAACCAGGCAGTCCTAGCTTGCGCCAACGTGTCGATGTCGCTGCGGTAGTGGCCATTCCTCTTCAGTACATTTGTTTCTCTTTACATTTGCGAGAAACGTGTTTTCGTTTCAGCACCCATTTCTAGGCATTTTAGTGCGTGAAATTGGCCGCTTGCAATGGAGACGAAGCACGGGACGGATTAACACCACGGAGCTCGTCTGGGCCAGGAACCAGAGCATATATTTTCTTTCAATTTTGAGCTTGACTGATCAGCCTTTTCTGGCCTTGAGACCGTTTGTGCCCTGCTTGTGAATTGTTTAACGAGGTACTTCTAGATGCGGGAGTGAAGTGGAATCAGACTTGTCTAGAACGCCCAGCCGGCTGCTTCAGCTGCTGTTTTCTGTAGAAAATAATATGTAAAGACCGACGCCGTAATCTGATACCATGCTCATCGTGCTCGGTTAAGCATGAACCGAAGCTTGTAGCTAACATGAGAAGTACAAGCCACGGCCAACAACAGTGTCGACAGCCACGCGTTTTGGTGCTCTACACAAGTGTGATTCTATCTGTACTACGTATACACCCTCACCCCTCCGATTCTCTGAAGGTCCTCCACTTGCGAGGCGAAATTTGCTTAAAGGGCGGTCTCCCATGTAATTTAAGGCTTCCTTAAGACCCATTTTCTCTGGAACCACTGCATGTGAAGAGTTCGGGTATCTTATTCGTTTACGTCTCTTCTTGCAATGGAACTATAATTGGTTGTAGTCTAAATCTTCTCCCAACTATAATTATATTTCAAATATTTATATGTCTGCAATCTTTTTTCCGCAAGGATTGAAAAACATTTTTGTCATATCTTTTTTTTTACAAAATAGGCTTCCAAAACAATGAACTGATCCACATACATACACCTTTCCAGTTCAGTAGCTTCGTATTGATGTTTTCTCTTCTAGTGAAAAATCGGCAGTATGTTTCTCCCTGGTCTGTTTTTTCCAGTTCTTTTAACAATGGGGCAAATGTAACAAAAAAAAACGATTTTGAGATAATAATAGTTAGAGAAAAAACAAGCTTATTTCATGTTTTGTTCAAAAAGATGTGCTGAACAATTTAATTAATAACATTCCATGCAGCCATCCGACAAATCAGCTTTCCACTTCTTTTCTTGGTTCCCTGGCTAGGTATGTCACATCTTCTGTCTCTCTATTGGACAAATATTGCGAAAGGTGGTTGATATTTGTTGCAAATTGTGTAGAGGACGAGGAGGCAACAATATTACCCAATTATATGACACTGTTGCACCTCAGTGATACGCCAAATGGTCTTTAAAACGCCTACTCGGGCTATGCAGGCATTTCGAAAGTTAGGACTGCTTAAAAGGTGGTAGTTCTGGGGGTTTTACTTCTAGAAAACGCAACTATGTTCTCAGAGTACCAATGTTTCTTTCGCATTCCATGCATACAATTGCTCATAATTGCAGTTTATAGCAGCTCCACATTAATCAAAGCATAGCCATTGTCATTACAGTTAACATTTTGTCCTTGTGGTGATGCATAACGAGGGCAAATTTTACTTGCTGTAGAGCTCGCATGGGTGTCCCCAGTCTTGCTTCTGTAAGTAGCCAAAGCGTGTCAATTTCAAATCGTACTGCTCTTTTTAAACAGTTGCTTTGATTTGTCAACACGAGAATATATTTTGCCGTCACAAAATCATCAAAGACAGAACTAAACTTTTAAAATTAATGCACATGTCACACGCACAAGCCAAGTAGACTCTGTAAATGCTGCCCATTCTAAAAAATAATAATAGACTCCACCATGTGTTATAAGTGCAGAAGCTGGACCAATCCCAATTGTATAATTACTCAAAACGTATCATAAAGGAATTGTTAAAGAAAGAAAAAAAGGGGAAAAAAAAGGAGAGGTCTGGGGATGTGGCCTCTTTGGCGGCCATCTGCCGGTAATGCACTCTCTCTCCAGAGCAGGATTGGCCATTATGGTACAGTACTTGGCCACTACCTACCTTATGAACGTACCAATTACTCTTGGCCCGTCAGTCCCCTGCAACTGTGAAGCAAGTGTCCAAGACGGTGATCAGACTTGTGATGCAGTGGAGGGTGCTAGGAATCTCTGGGTCCGGACAGACCTGCCATTGGAGTCTAGAACTTGGCTACGTTCATCGCTAGAACTGCTATCTTGTGAGGCTAGTCTAGCTGTGCCATTTGATGAATTGGAGATTGTTAGTCTGTAAATTAAGGGTTCAGTGGGCCATCAGGCGATTCCCTGTGATCCATTTGGATAAAGGCCCACCCTTAGTCGAATCTGTGCCTGCATTGCAGAGATTTCAAGTGTCGCCCATTACTTCGCAAAACAAAGGTGTTGTCCCGGCACACAGATAGGACATAGAGAGAAGTTGCTGACGCTTTTATGTCCACAAGTATCGCGTCACGTGTGTCGGGAAGCCTCCGGTCACATTTCACCAACTAGAGATAGATTATCCAACTGCCAACCTCTAATCTTTTACGTCACTTTTTTTTAATATTTATATATGTATTCTTTAATAAACTTTCAGTTGATAGTCTGTGCTTGTGTGTGTGCCTTCTTTGTTTCTTGTATCTTTTTCGGGCAGTTTTTGTAGTTATGAATTGCCAACTCGCCCAGTATTCAGTCCTCGGTGGATAACATGCCCAGCATCTTTTGTTGCAGACCCAGAGGTTTGGGTTTGATTTCCGTTGACAGAGCCTTTTTTTTTCTTTGTATTCTGATCGTGAATAGTTTTTATGCATCATTTTCTTGACAGAAATACGTCACTGAAATCTCGGTGGACCGTGGCATAGAACACTTTCGTGTTAAAAAGTAAAAAAAAAAAAAAAAACAAGATTTCACTTTTCGGAATTGTACCCTACCTTCCATCCTTAATGGAGCCATGAGGACGTGGGTACACTACCTGTGGTCATACACATTTGTCTAATTGTGTGCAGCAGCCATTAATTCTTTAATTATGTTCTGCAGCTTTGTGTGTTCATACGTACGATATTATTCCTACATAGAGTGCACATGCATCTATTAGCAATCCCAGTCACAATGTTGGAGTCAATATTGCTAGTTCTACACAATTTCAGACATGAAAAAAAAAAAAAACTCTTCAATATAAATATATTTCTTGAGAACTTGTACCCCTTCCACCTGGACATTTAGGCATATCCCTCAACTAAGGGCCTCGTCGCTGTGGTCTAGTGGCTAAGGTACTCGGCTGCTGACCCACAGGTCGCGGGATCGAATCCCGGCTACAGTGGCTGCATTTTCGATGAAGGTGAAAATGCTGTAGGCCCGTGTGCTCGGATTTGGGCACACGTCAAAGAACCTTAGGTGGTCGTAATTTCTGGAGTCCTCCACAACAGCGTCTACATAATCACACGGTGGTTTTGGGACGTTAAACCCCACATATCAATCAATCCCTCGACTAGAGTAGTTTCATAGTCTACACATCATAAGCGAACACCTCCTCCTTGAAGCATTTCCGAAAGTTTTTGGTCATGCTCGTGATAATGCGGACAGAGCCATCTTTTTTATTGTGGCTGTTTTTCTATGCTTTGCGATTTCACCTTTGCAAGTGCACCCTTTTGTTCCATGTCTGCGATGCTTGGCAGATAGGCAAGGAAATCTTTACTTTGAACAACTTCCCAATTTCAATTATGTACCTTTTCTCAAAGTGGGATTTTCTGTTAATGTTTACTGTTAAAATATGCGCTAGTGACGACTGTGACTGACCAGCACAGCACATATACTTTATGCTGATATGCTTCAAATTCCACTTTGCAGTTACTACATACTTTTACTACATGACATGGATGCGCAAGCGAGCAGTTCCAAGGATTCAGAAGAGTCTGCACAGAGTGACGAGCTGCCGTCAATAGAGACTGTTTGTAAGGAGCTGGATGACAAATTTCTAGCGAGTGTGTTTTCTCTTTTGCTACTAGATCTAAAGTTGTATGAGCCTAGATGGTCTGCACCTTGCACAGCTTGGTGTCAATGAAAGCGTAAATGGTTAGTGTGAATGGTCAGAGGCATTCCTATGTGAGAAAAACCCGAAAATGTTCCTTCTCTTTTTCTCTAAAACAAATGTGGAAAACCTGCACCTTTGTGACTAGCGACTTAGACAAGACAATGGCACCTATATAAGTCTGTAGGTGGCCAATGATGTTGCATATGGAAGGCGAAACGGTACACATTTGGAACTGAATATTGCCTAGTAAAAAGCACCAAAAGTTAATTTTTTACCACGGGCTTCTTTATTGATCCTAAAATGCCAAGGTAGTGACTTCAGCCAATGAGCGTTTAATATAGAGTCTTGGTTACGATGGGACTTTCATGAATGGGTAATCAGGGAGGCTCTGCATTTTTAATAGTTTAAACCAGCAAGACACTGCAGCACTTGTTACCGCGACCTTTTTTTGTAAAGTTAGACAGAGTTTGTTGGAAACTTCATGGCTGAGAGACAAGTGTTTATCTCTGTATATAGTATGAACTAAAATGCAATAGCAAGCAGCATTCACTGCCAGCAATGCTTTGCATATACTTACTATCGGACACCACAGTCGTGTTACTAAGTTTAATCATAATTTCAATCGTACATCTGGAACTTCTCACTCGTTCGCAATTCCTACACGGCACTTGGAGATCTTTTATTTTGGTAGTTTGGTTTTGGTGGCAATTGTTATGGCAAGTAAAACCAACAACTTAGAAGACGCTTGAGTTTTGCTTCCAAGAGTCAAGTTCGATACTGTAATTGGCCACCGTATGCATCACCTTCAATCATGATGCGAGCAAAGGAACGTTCTTGCATTTAACATTGGCAGTTTCAAGCTATCCCAGAATATTGCAAGTTGCGATGTGCCACTATGGTACAATTCTTCCTTTTGCGAATTGGCGATTTATCCCCTAAGCGTTCATTACGTGACGCTTGCTCCCGCACAGTTGCACACTTTGTGTGCATGATTGATGCAGTGCTACAGGCGAAGACGAAAGGAACACGGAGTGCACAGGACAAGCCCTGTCTCGCAGATGGAAGATTTATTTGGAAAAACGAGACCTGAAAACAATGCTGGGCATAGTAAACACGCACATAAGTAAGACAGTAAAACATATTGCTTTAGCAATAACATGCGTGCATCCTTAAGAATATTCAAACATGTCACTTGATATCGCATGAGCCAAGCAGATAAGCAAACTTCTTGTATGTCAAGAAAATCGACGCATGGCTCTCTGTGCACTTTGCAGTGGGCGGGCAGCTTTAAATCGCCCGCTCCTTGTACGATTCACATGTTTTGATACAAGGTGAGATTCTAACATTCTGCCATACCAAATTACATCTGTTATTTTTATTGCATTTTTCTACAAAGCAGCTTCAAAAAATGGTGCAGCTGTGTTGTTGCAGACCTAGGTTGTGTTCTCACTTGGACCAAAGATATTTTATTTGTTTGCACCTATCTCGAGTTTTCACTTACCGACAATGCCAATTTTTTGCTCAACCAACTATGTCAGCACCAGACCTTCTGCACAACAAGCTCTTTAAGGCTATCGGGTTAAAAATCTTTTTCATTGCATATTGTTCATATCTAATGACATGTTACAGTATTAACTGATTTTACAGTTCAAAGCTTGAACTGCTTTCCCAATCCTTTACTAAACTCAAATTGGTTCCCTCAGGTGTCATCTACTCATCTCTCAAAGGCTAATAACTTCCCTTTACCCAAACCCAGGACCAATTATGGCAAATTTACCATAAAATTTTCGTGTGTATTCTTTTGAAATTCTTTACCTTTGGAGATGAAAAGTAGATTCTTTGTGATGTTTAACAAAGGCTTGCATTCGCTCTTACTAATTCTATAGTGCTTATTATTATACAGAGTATTTCATTACATATTTTTGTTCTTTTGTGCTTATCTGCATTTTTTATCTGTATTTTACATATCTCAATTTATTTTCATTAAAGTCATAATGCTTGATATTATACTCTGTTAATGTTATTGCATTTTTGTATTAATTTATTTGTGTTTATCTACACATTTCGTATATCTTATATTCGCTATTTCATACATATCTGTACATTGATATATCCTTATCTTTATATCCCTATCACTGTTTACTAGTATTGCATTGCCTCTCTGATGGATGATTTTTTAGGAGGTCTCACTCACAGTCTGGCGACTTTGAGGCCTCCTTCTGTATTTGTATTCAACACATGTAATTTACCACTTGTATTTCAATTTAAAATAAATAAATAAAGAAGCAGCATCATAGGAAAACTTCGTTTTCATGTTGTGGTGTAATGACAGATGTTTCTAGAGCACTAGATTTCTTTCAAGTGAACATCATTTCTATGAGATGTCGTTTATGATAATCCCCTCTACAGCAAGCATCTTATCACTTGTATATGTACAGTTACTTTAATGAACGTCGATACTGTCACCTTTGTCATATGCGCATCTACCTGTTGGCCGCAGAAAATATGTCAACTCGTTTCTGGTTGCGCTTCATTGTTTCTGATAGCTTCATGAGGCATGCAGGAGATGTGCAGTATGATGCATGAATCTTGGGAACCAGCTCGGAAATCTAATCTATTTTGAAAAGGCCTATAATTTATTTGGGAAAAGGCACTGTTACAAGGGCAAACAGTTTTTATTACAGTCTACTCTGAATTTTTTATGTAGTTTAAACATTGGATTTTTTAATTTCAAGGTTCAGCATTGAAGGTCTTTCTGCGTATTCGACCTCGAGTTGGAGGGCGGACATTCACAAACCCGGCATTCCAACCTTGCGATGACAAAACTGTGGAATCCACAGCGGCAACTCTGGAACATCAGCACCAAAAACGATTTTGCTTCACAAAGGTTTGTTTCACAGCCTGTATATGCAGAGTGCATAACATCGCTGTGTATTATAAATCATATACTTTGTGCATGTCTGCATGGCGTTGCTTATTTTCGGTGGTACTGTTGTTTTTGTCTGGGAAGTTGAATATAAATTAGTGCTATGGTTTAAGAAACGGATTTGGATTACCACATAAATATTTCTGTCTGCCACTGCTACTGCTAGCACTTTTTACGCAGGTTGTAAAACACTGCACAGGGGCAAGTCTTTTCTCCAGTGTACTGAGCAATGAAACTTTAGTCAAGGGCCTGCTATGTTAGCCATTTGTTTGTCACTAAGGTGGAAGCACATTCTAGGAAGGTTAGTTGCTATACTAAGTTAACCTGATGCTGCAACAGTGAATTTTAAAAAGCACAGGCATTTTCATATCTGTCATTTTCACGTCGAATCCATCGAAGGATTGAGGAATTTTTACTTAAACATGTCTATGTATTGTTTAAAAGCTGTTGAGCCATTTCATGCCAAACGACCAAGCCGTTTTGATGACAATTGAAACGTATTAAAGAACAAGTCTGTCTGATTTCTTGCTTTGAAAACTGCGAAAACATAGAATAATTTAAATAGAAAAATTTTTGGTCCCGTAGGAGCCTTCTTAATTTTGTAGAATGTTGTCGGTGTGGTTTGTTAAAAAAAGTTTAAGAGTATTGATTCTTGTTTCAACACAAAATTTAGTTTAGCCACCACGTAAAGGCGTTTGTGCAAGGTGTTTGAGGCTCTATAATCTTACTAAAATTTTTCGTGCTCCAAAAGTTCTGACAATGTTTTCATTAAAAGTTTGCACATTTTTTCCTGATCTCATGCTATACATGAATATCTGAGTAATAAATATGTACTCATATCTGAGTAATAAATATGTACTCTATGGAAGATATGTTTTTTTTTTAGTAAAAATGTATTCAGGCCACTGAAGTTATTAAACTTTATGAGAAAAAAATTGCAACTTGGAGAAAATTATCGCCTTGGGGGTCCACATTGTGGTGCAATTTACGGTGCAAGGTGCTTCAATTAAAATGTTTCATACATAAATAAAAAGAAAATGAATAGTTATTATATGGCAGGCTTTATAAATACAAGTTTGGCTCTAAGGAAGAAAATGTTAAGTTGCCTATTGACAGTAATTTGAAACTTGAATGAGAAAACTGCAGTCTACTAAATGGGAAGATAGATGTCAATAGAGAACATCGAAAATACATTTCTTGTTTAGAAGAAAAGTTGTAATGAAGTTTGCTTTTTAAGAACTACCTATTTATTTTTCCTTTCGATTGAGGAGTATAGTTATAGAGATAACATATTTCACAGAGCTTTATATGAAGTTGATTCTTAATTGGAGTACCACATAGTGTAGATTACACCTGAATGTAGATCAATATGATTTAGAATTTGTTTTGTTTGGTTTTGTCAAATTTAGTAACATAAATGGCCTGTAAACATATTTTATGCACCATATTTAATGCAACATATCTTCTGTACTGTATGAATTCATTACTCAGATATCTATACATAATGCAATTTTATAAAAAAAAAACATATAAATAGTTCGTAAAATTTTTGAAAGCATGTATGACTGAAAAATTGCAGTAATGCTCCTGAGCCTTGAACGGCTTATACAATCACCTTTGCTTAATATTTAGACTTAATTTGACTTTGAAACTGATATTTTTGAATAACTGATAAAAAACACTTGGACGGCTTTGTACAAAGTTTGAAAAACTCCCACATTGCCAAAAAAAAATTCTCTGAAATATTCTAATAAATTGTTGCTTGCCATGTAAGAAATCTACAAGATTTTTTTATAAATGCCAGGATGGCTGGGATGTTAGGTATGGAATTGCTCTGGTGACATACTACCACCTCAAACATTGAATTAACTGCTATATTCATCCTACATCGTTTACTCTATATTGCTAGCCACCTGAACCTGCCAGTCACTGCTGTATCTGAGCTTCCGAATTCACAGAATTGTGGTATCTAATGTTACTTTGTTAAAAATTGTGAAAGTCTGTGAATATTTATTTGAAATAAAACGTTATACAATTCCAGGCTTGTCTTGAAAATTGTTGCCTACTCAAATAGAGTCCGAGAATTATTCCTATTTTATTCTGTTCTAAATTTTACTATTCATGCAGCATTAGATACTTAAAAGAAATGTGTATTACACGAAAAATAGTTGTGTATTTGAAATTGGTATGTAATGTAAATGGACTGTGTGACAATCAAAATGGGAAGCGCGGCATTTCTGGAATCCGGTGTAAACTTTCTTGAGCCACTAATGCAAGTATGCTTGCAGGGCATTCACTACTCCGAAAAACACAATTTTCGTCGTGCTCGGACGCAACCACTACGCCATTATTTTTTATTTTGTGGAGAGGCGATGTACCCACTACATTAGTATGTGCACTTTGTTGAAGCAGTAGCTTATGACAAAGAAGGATTATTTGTAATGAGTTGGAAGCATTAAACTACCCAGTTGTTGCACAATTTGTATTGTGTGATGCCTAGTTACACAATTCGCATTGTGACACCTGGTTGTTAGTTTACTCTTCTACCATGCTATATTACATCTGTTCATGATTCTTGCCAGATATAATGCATGTATAGGGCCTTTTAATTAAGCAGTTTCGTGCACAGTTTTAGTTTTGTGGTAGAATACTGGACTGTTACGAAGAGGGCCTAGGTTAGAACCCTGTTCCATCCTGGAGATTTTTTTTTTTTGTACGATAGCGGTTACGGACCAGCGGCAGTGGAGGACAGCTGCAATGCCTGAAATGGCCCTTGATGTGATTTCATAACAGCTTTGGCTGTAAAAATACGTAAGCTGGGAAAGTTTAATAGAAAGCTTGCTGAAGAAAAGTCCGAATCTTGTTTGAGGTATCACACCAGCAAGGGGACTGGCAGGTTGCGGGATCGAATCCCGGCTGCGGTGGCTGCATTTTTGATGGAGGCAAAAATGCAGTAGGCCTGTGTGCTCAGATTTGGGTGCATGTTAAAGAACCCCAGGTGGTCGAAATTTCCGGAGCCCTCCACTACGGCGTCTTTCATAATCATATGGTGGTTTTGGGATGTTAAACCTCACATATCAATCAATCAATCACCACCAATGCGAGAACACGACAGAAGTGAATGAATTTTACACTTTCTTGCCTTCCATTGTGCCCTGTCAGTTTATGCTATTTGAGTGCACACAGCATTTATCTCTGCAGTATGAAGAGCTTGGCCATCGTCTAGCTGCAAAACTTGGTAATCAGACAAATCAGGTCTGCAGCTGTGGTGCAGAATTCTTAGTGTTTTGCTGCTGACTTGAGGGTCACCGATTAAATCTCTTCCACAGTGGTTGCATATCAATGGAAGCGGAATGCTAGAGGCCGGTGTACTGGTGTGATGTTGGTGCACGTTAAAGAACACCAGACAATTGAAATTCCCAGAGCTCTCCTATACAGCATCACTCATAATCATGTCGTGGGTTTGGTACTTACAGCCCCAAATATTATCTCCCCTCTGTTTCACTTGCATTTCTTTAACATTTAGGAAACAGGCCACAATGTGGAAATTTGAAAATTAAGTTGTTCCTCAGTTCTACTTCCAACAGTAGATGTCCCGTGTTGGCATTGTTTTCTTATTGTTCTCCTCTATGTTCCCAGGTGTTCCCAGAGGGCAGCAGTCAGCAGGAGTTGTTTGAGGAGGCTGTGCGAAATCCTGTGGATGCATTCATCGATGGGTCTAATGTGCTGCTCTTTGCATATGGGCCAACTGCCGGTGGAAAAACATACACCATGCAGGGCACTCCAGCTAACCCAGGAGTGGTGCCTCGTACACTGGACAGACTTTTCAAGGCACTTGGACCTCAGGTTAGGGGCTCCCTAGGAGCTTCATGATTTCATCCGTGCTGATTATACGCTACAGAAACTTCTAGAAGCCAACTCCGTAAGTCTAAACACTGGTTGCAAAGAACACTAGCTGGTCAAAATTAAAATCTGTAGTCCCTCACTGCTGTGTCCTACAAACATTTTATAGCTTTGATACAAAGACGCCATTGACCATTTTTTTGGTATCTGATTGTCTAAATGTCTGTTGCTTTTTTCTTCAGGTGTGTAAGGGGGCACCAGCCCGTCCTGAATGCTTCAACGATGTTGCCTTACTTAGCACAGAAGAGGAGGCCTCTGCATTGCTGCTGAAAAACAAGTTGCTGGGTGAGAAGGGAGCTCGTGGTGCTGAAGATTTCAACACCTTCAATCTGCCCGCAAGTGACAGTGATGGTCCGCTGACGCTGTCACGCGATAGCAACTACAGCTACGGGGGCAGAGTGCAGGTGTGTTGTATAGTGGTGGTCTCAGTGTTATTCTGTGTACTCTGACCCTGGCTAAAATCAATTTTAGGCAAATCTCTGAAGTCCAGAGATGCAAAAAAAAATTGGGGCATGTCCCTGGTGCGTGTTTTATATTTCATGATGTCACTCGAGAATCCTAAATTGTGGATTGCTGCATTATGATTGGTAAAATCGGAAGTGGCTTGTGTTGGTGAAGGTTCCTCATATGGCTGTATTCTGTGTAGTGGGTAGCATGCTTTAAATCACAAGCACTTTTGCGCGTGAAACGGTTTCAAACTTTCTAGGCACCCATTACGTGGTTTTAAGGGAATAGGTGCAACAGTGAGTGTGCCTTTTATGGCTGGCTTTAAACCATTGAGTCCTTATCATAATCACATCTTGTGAAGCCCTAAAGCAATGTATGCTTGTAAGCATGCAATACTACTGCGATATTGTTGTATTGTGAAGCCTGTATACAAGTCGCGTGTGTTTGTTAAGGCTGAAAGTTATTTTCACTGTATTTCTAAGCAGACGCATGGTTATGTATTAGAATAGCTATTTGCCACGCAAACGGCCTGGACTCGATCCTCACTAGAACTTGGAAATTTTTATTATTTACTTTATTTGCATCTTCCTTGATTTATCGGTCACGAACAAGATTATTTTCCGCTCACAACTAAGGACACCGCCAGAATTTCTGCGAAGTGAGCTCTTTAATGTTATCACATTAAATAGCACACATTGAATGTAGGCCGAAAAAAATTAAGCGAAGCACTGGCAAACACAGACAGCACTTATGCTGATCCTAGATATATGGAGATGTGAAGAAACTCTTAAAACAGTTTAATTGCGAATGTAAAGTATGCCTGACTGAAACATGCATCAGAATTTTGGGCATCTCACTCTCTGAGATAATTTAGTAATTTACCAATTTGTTTCTCTACGTTCGCATTGTGAAGGTAAAAGTCATTGCATTTTTCGTTCGTCCCTTGTGGAACAAGTCTATCAGACTTGTCTTTGAAACATGGTAGGCCTTTCCAAGAAAGAGTGCCACAAGTATGCTTCATTCACTGTTGTTGGCCCTCTCTATCTGTCCTCTTTGGTGTTATATTAGTGTAAAACCTTCATAGTACTCATTTTCGAAGAACACACTAAATTTGTGCACTGCTAGCGTGGGTACCGAATAAATAAGTACAAACTTGACCGTGCTGACATGTACCACCACTGCACAAAAAACGCAGCATATCCACGGAGTGAATGATGATTGGTGGTGAAAAGCGTTCGCCAGTCCGTCCGTGCTTCCGTCTGTCCATTCATTCTTGTTTCCGTCCGTCCATGCGCCCGTCTGTGCATCCGTCCATGTGTCCGTCCATCCGTGTGACCGTCGGTGCATCCGTCCGTATGTTTGTTCTTCCGCCTGTCCATTCGTTTGTCTGTCTGTATGTCCATCCGTGCATCTGTTCGTGCGGCCATCCCTCTGTTTGTCAATTCGTTCGTGCGTCCGTCCGTCTATCTAGTGAACTCTACAAATACAGGCGACTCGCATCTTATCATCATGTATTGATCATATGCAAGGGCTGCCATCCAGCGGACATTCTAAGGACCGCTCTTTCGGTATGTGCCACCGGTGGTTATGCACTACAATGTGCACTACACACACAAGCCACGCCATAAGAAGCTTTGCCCCTTAAAAAATGTTGTTTCATTGTAAATGATACCTAAGGTGTCTGCTATAAGGCTTGAAATGTTGCAGCCCTCTTTCCTGACCTTGCAAGAGCGCAAAATTGCAACACCACAAAGCATTTTGACTGTGTAACGGGCAGTGCGGGCAAGGCATACAGATTTTTGCGCATTTGTTCAGAAATCTGCTATTGAGTGAAACGGGTGTCGGTTCACTGGAAAGCGGTAAATAATCATGAAATTGACGGAATATAGAAATATTACTTTCATCTTAGTTTTTCTCAGAAATTCGTAAGTGACTTTCAGAACTTCTATCGTGAGTGGCATGACTGGAGTGATCATTCTTCTATTTCAATTGGCTACCAGCATGACTAACAGTGGCTATGACATGGCTTTTTTGTAGACGGCACTAGGTGTATGTCATTTTTCTCGCTTCCGATCAGACGCTGGTAATATTTAAATCCTCAAATCTGAGCTGGCCATGAAATTACTAGCCCACTTTCAAATGTAAAAGCTATACTAAGCAATTTGTTTTATACACCAGTGGGCTGCTTTTCGAAAACATTTTTGTTATTTTAGATGTGAAACATTGATTATAAAATTTGATGCTGATGGATCCTTTGTAATTTTCTTACCTTTGGCAGGTGTTGATTTGGCTTTCATTTTATGAAATTTATAACGAGGGCATATACGACTTGCTCCTCCCATCGCTCGAGGCAGCCACAAAGAAGAAAAGGGGCCAGCGACGCCCCACTCTTAAGCTGGGCGAAGACCGGGCTAAACGCTCTTTTGTGCGTGGGGTCATCGAAGTGCCAGTTCACTCTGCCGATGAAGCGCATCGTCTCCTCTGTCTGGCTTGCAAAAACCAGAGCATTGCGGAGACTCAGCTGAACCACAGTTCGAGCCGCAGCCACTGCATCTTCACTGTGCGGATTGTGAATTATAATGTAGACAGTCGTGACGGCAGAAAAAGCTGGCACGTCAATACGTTGATGCTGTGTGACTTGGCGGGTTCAGAAAGGGCCTCCAAATCGGGCACTGATGGGCAGCGGCTTCGTGAAGCTGGCCGCATCAACACGTCTCTTTTGGTTCTCAGCCGCTGCCTGGAGGGCCTACGCAACAACCAGGACGCACCGAAAAAGGCCCCTGTGCCCTTCAGGGAAAGCAAGCTGACAAAGGTACAGTCGTACTATTATGGGTTTACAGGGTAGCTCACATCTTATGTTCCCGTTGTTTCAGTCATGCCTTGCTTGAAATAAAGCAACATTGTCAGTTCTTGCTCTTAGCAGCATGAGCAAGGACAAAAGGGCAGTTGGTTTCTTGCATTGCGAATGTGAAACCTGGGTGTGGCAGGAAAGCACATGCTGCATGTGTACATACGTAGCGTATGTATCGACATGTGATGGCTAATGATGCCAATGCTGTCATAATTTCGGGTTCAGTGTTAATCATATTGAGAAGACCGGGATGCTGGAAAAAAGTTTGCAGGCTACTAACCTCACTGTTATTAGATTTCTCGCGGCTGACGAGAAGTGCCAGGTTGTTCTGTTGCTCTGGCTACGCCTTACTACTAACGCCATGTTTACGTCTGCCATTCGTAACAGATGCGGTATATCATAGCATCAGTACACATCGGAGAACATCTTTCATGTCACGCTGAAATGACATTTTTTGCACTGTGTGCTTGCAGGCACAGACAAACCAGCATCATGTATAAGCTTTAAAGCTGCATCATGGCCACCAGTGCGTGCCCGCGCTGCTGTTGACACCATTATTATGTTTATTGCATTGAGATAACAATTAGATGTTTGACAGGTGGCTCGGGTGCGTCATTGATTCTCAGCGAACGGACAGATTGTCATGATACATGTTGTCATGATACATGTTGTTTGTGGTCTGTTTTTTATTGTGGAGTTTAACGTGGTAGAAATTTGTTAGGATGCGTATATGAATTGCTTTACTATGCGTATTTTTCAAGCATTTCATGCGATATCGCTGCCACCATCACAGGACAAGCTCGTGTAATGTGACCATCCTCTCCCCCCTCCTACTTTTTTCTTTAATTTGTGCCCCAAGCTGGACACACAACAAACTCTCTAGGTTCTCCCGAAAACAGATTCCTTTTCAGAAGAATGCTGTATCAACCTGTGCGTGTAATTAAATGTTAAGATTTTTTCTGTAGCACTTTTTGTAATATGCAACTAAAAAAATAAAAAATGCTGTTCCAGCAAATGCATGACATTCGACCTTTAGTGCGCCATCATTGGTTATTCCCTGAAGCGGTTTCGCGAGTATTCAATCGATGATACAAAGCTGCCTTGCTGCAATGGGTTGAAATTAAGGGGCCAGTAGGCCCAGAAAGGGATGATATGAACGGAATTATTCTTGGGTATTGTGTTACTAATGAACACATTTTGCAAAATATATTAAGAAAAATACCTACTGATTGGCACTTACTTCTTGGCGAAACTAACATTTTTGATGTTCACTTTTCACGTGCATGAGAAGCAAATCATTTTTACGTTTTAATCGTGTGGCAATTCTACGATAGCGGTATAATTTCTGGTTCAAAAATGAAAAAGGAGACGTGTTACACAAAGCCAGACGCACAATACATTAGGTCAACGTAGGCTGTCTGTTGCCAAGTACGCTTGAAATAGGCCAGCAGCATTTACTTAGGTAGTCATCGCTGTGTCTAGTCTTAATGGGCACTAAAGCCTTCTCCCAACAATTCTATCCAATATGCATGAAACTCGGATAACCTGTAACGCAAAGCTTCATTTTCAATGATGACAAGCTTACTTGCGACTCGACAACAGACTTGCACCATCTTCTCATTTGGAAGCAGTTCTTTACACATGATAATTACCAATACAATAACTGGGATGTGTCGGTAACACTAACGTGTACCTATGTGCTCATTTGGCATTTTCATGTCCCAATGGCCCGTTTTTAAAGGCAAGCAGTGATAGCAATATGATTTAGACACAAGCTTTTAATACGATGCCGTATCGTTAGCTTTGCAAGACTCCGACATATTGCAACAACTTTGAATCGGGTCTTTATACGAAATGTCTCTCATAAGCACGGTACCATGTATGCATTTTTTTGTTGTCTATTTCGCTGGGCGCAGACTGTTGTCTCTTATACTCAATTGTTTCTTGCATCTGTGTCTCTTATAAAGGGGCTGACTGTAATTGGAAATCGACATGCTTCTGCAAATAGAATCAAGACCAGCAGCTCGCATGTGGGCACTTTGGCAAGCAAGCTTTGTCCTCATTTTGCGTTGCCATAAGGACAAGATATTATCTCTAGTGACGATGGCTATGCTTTGATGCAAAGGTTCTGCAAATTATGGTTACGATTAACTGTCTGCACGTAATGCAGAGGAAACAAGGTATTCGTAGAGAACATAGTTAATCGTGCTTATTGGAATAGGAACCCTCAGAACTGCCACCTTTCATACCGTTCTATCTTTCGAAAAGGCCTCCATAACCTGAGTAAATGTTCGCAAGGCTGTATGGCACATTACCGAGGTGCAATACATAGATATGGCTGGGTGAAATCAACCGGTATCCATAGTATTTGGTCAATAGAGAGACAGAAGATCTGACAAAACAAACTAGTAAACCAAGAAAACAAGAAAAGCGGAAAGCTGGTACATTTAACAGCTATATATGGCAGGTTGGTTGAAATTGTTCAGTATATTTTCTTTTTTTTTAACCAAACGTAAAATATTTTTTTTTCTTTTGAACTCGAAGTGTATAGATATCAATCTTTTTTTTGTTAGATTCAATTATTCAAACTACTTGAGCCAACAGAAGGCTGATTCTTTCACTACAACAAATCAAACATCAATGTGTCTCTCCATTGGAAGAGACGTCGACGACTCAAATGAAGCAAACCTGTACGTTTTACATATATAGTAGTAGTTTCAGATTAAAGAAGCCTTAAAAAAGGTGATTGTCTAAAGCCTACTCTATGCTTTTAAGCAAATGTAGATTCAGTTTCCAGGAAAACCTGAGAAGTAGCTACTGATGTCATCTGCAAGATGACAGGCTTATTCAAATTAAATTTATGGTGGTAATCTTAAAACCGGGCTTTCTCGTGCAGATACTTGAACTCAAGTTATAATTCTTGCATAGATTGGCATGTTGCAGAGATCCACACATCATGAGGTTATTGTTATGCACCGCTTGCTTTAGTCTGACAGAGTATTTCTCTGAGCTTTATTGTTAATTTTACTGTCATATACTTGCAAAGTGAAACACCTGTTCAGTTTAGTCTGATAGAGCATTTTTTGATAGCTTTATTGTTCATTTGACTATGATATATTTATCCTGGAAGAGAGAATGATTGGTTCTGTTCTTGAATTTCATGCTAAATCTCCAGCCCCCGAGTGCAGTCGAGTGTTTGTCTCAGGAATAGTTTGGTCACATTGAGGTGTGTTTCACAAAACTTGAAAGGACCCCTGAGCCACCGTAAACATAATTTCAGCAGTTTCAAATAAATGCTTCTGTCAGGCTCAAAATGCGGCCACAATCCCCCACACAGAATATAACAACAGCTGTGTGCCACGAGAGTGCCATATCAAAAGATACTTCCATGCTTCTCCTGGTGCTTTTTCAGCGGCACCATTTCTCATAGCTCTATCAACTGGCACATGTGGTGGCGTGACCAGGTACAGAACCTTGTCGACTGGTCAAACGAGAGTTCACAACTACTTGTGACTCCTTTAGCGAGTCTCTGTGCATTGGTTGCATGCTTCTAAACCTCGTTGCTTGCTTGTGCACAAAGTTTGCAATTTGTACTGCCGCATCACTCGCACTTCAGTTACATTTAATCTTGAACGTATTTGTGATTGTTGGAGTAATTGGGGAGACTCCCGAATACAACTGCTCATTTAAAGCACGGTAACATTTGCTGCATCCTATTTGCAGTTTGCGATGCGACAGTATTTCCGATTGAGATTGGTGAAGTTTTTATGCCCAATCTAGACTTGGTGCACTAACAGGAAGAAGGAAGAGAGAAGTGCAGTGTACAGGCAAATGTTTCTTAAGCTATCCTGTGCTCTATCCTCTGTCTAGTCTTTCTGCTTGTGGAGCAAGTCAATTTCACTATGAACCAACTATTCTGCAAAAATGTATTATTGCAACAAATTTCAGTGCCAAACAGAAGACAGATTTATTTTTTTCCCCTTTTAACAACATAGCATTGAAAGAAGAAAAAAAAAATCGAGACTCCATCGCTCGATCGCTCTTTGCCAACTGCTTTATTTCATATAGTAGCATTTTTATTCCAGGTTGTCCTGGATAATAATTTTTTTTGTCTGGGCTTTACCAGGTGATGCAGGCCTACTTCACAACAGGTGGTCAAGTCTCGCTTATCGTCAACATCAGCCCAGCCTTGTCCATGCTGGAGGAGTCATTGAATGCACTGAAGTTTTCGGCTGTTGCCATTGAAGTCGTGCCACAGCGGCTGGAACTGCGGCGCACTCGCTGCAAGGAGGCAGCCCGCCGGCTGACCGAGCGTTGGAACCTAGGAATGTTCAGTGCCACTCCATTTCCACCTATTCCAGACATGGACGTGGCAGCAGCTGGAGTTTTGGATGCAGGCGAGGCCGAGGAGCTCTTTGAGACCATTGAGGCACAACGAAGGGAAATAGAAGCACTTGAGCAGGAGCTCAAGGACACCCGAAGCCAACTTGCGTGCGTGTTTGTTTGATTCATCCTGCTGTGGGTTTTATCGCTTGAGCCATTGTTGTTTAAAGGGACACCAAGGCATAAAAAAAAAAAGAACTACCTTCAACTGGTCAGTTATACTTAAAGACTTTAGTGACGTCTGTTGAACCACCTTGGAGTCATTAATAAATAAAAAAATCTGTCGACAAGTATCATTTCCAGATTTAGCACAAACCTCAAACGGTGACATCATGAATTTAAGTGTTCATTTTTTGGCCACATTAGCTCAGCAAAATTTTCTTGTACTCAGTATGTCAAATCTCTGGCTCTTTCAGGAGACAATGTACTTCATTTTTACAGATTAGGAACTGCGTAAACTTTGGTAGACACTGTCCATATCTACGATGTCACAGCAGATGGTGTGTTTAGGGTCAAGAGAAAATAATTTACTCGTACAAAAAAAAATTTTTTTTTCGCAGATGCTAGGCAGTTTTTGAAATGAGAAGCAGCTCCATTTTGCATTTCTGGTTTTTCTAGGACAATGTATTTGTCCAAACTCTCCAATTTGTCTGGATGCACTCGTGTTGCACTCTTGTTTGTAATTTGAAGCCCTGTCAGGGCTTGAACAATTGTCCTATATTTCACAGTGCATTATTTGTGATGCCGTAAATGTAGCAGGTGGTATATGTAGTGTGCCCATCCTAAAAAATTGAGAACATCAGTATCTTCAGCACGGAACCAACACCGTGCATTTCTGGAAATTATGGAAAAGCAGGAGAATGAAAAACAGGAAAATAGAAATGTTGCATTAAGGAGGATATCAAAATGTTTACAAAAAAGGAAAAGAAGCTAGAAGCCACTGTTAAGGAATTAAAAACTACAGCATATGCAGAAAAGGCAAAGACAGTGACTTGACATGCATCACCAAGTCACAGCTTTAGGAAGACTGTCAAGGCCAAGCTGCAGGAGATAGGGAATATTTATATGAAAATTGAGGAAAAGCAACTTGCATAATAATTGTTTCGTAGTTATGCTTATCTTAATGAAAGTTTGCAACTTATCACACTGAAAGTTATCACCTATGCAGCTTTAAAAAACTATGATGAAAGCTTTCTAGGCAGAAAATGTCATTGGAGCTATGTTTTTGACGTTTGCTCCAATGATGGTACCTTTTTTCAATGAATTTGTTATTTCGAGCATTTATATTTTCCTGGTGATGTGTCAATCGGGTTTCTAACAGACGGTGTGGTCTTCGAAAATTTGCACACATAGCCTTGAAAGTCCTTGAATTTCGGTCATGTGAATGAGCGTGAACCTTGGGGTAATTCTTAGGATCCAAAGACATTGTTCTTACTGTTATCATACTATTGCTATATTATTATGAAATATAGTAACTGCACACGTGCCACCTGGAACGAGAGCTCAATGTATAAGTAGGCTGCATTCTTCCTTTTTTTTTTCTTAAAGGAATTCTAAACCACATTATCAAGTAACCATCTAATGACCTCAGTATTGAGAGTTTATGGCCTCATAAATCGACTTCTTCACGAATTTTTTGAATCTCTAGCGAAAGAGCAGAGGTAGCGTGACTGTTGTACGCTTAAGGACTTTCATCTGAAGCTCCAATAAGCATGCTGGAAGCTTCACAGAGATGGGTGGCACGGGGGGAAGGGGCTGCATCAGTACGTGTGATGACCAAGTTTCTCTCTGTCAGGATTCCTGTGTGCACCAGTGTTTCTACTGTGTAATTTTATTTATTTATTACTTATTTATTCATTTATCCACAATACTTCACAGGCTCCTTATAGGAGCATTGTTTAAGGGGGGGCAATACATGGTAAAATACGACGTGTGATAAATACAGAAAAAGATGAAATCTAAATTATACAGTCTAAAAAGTGCACTGTGATGTAAACGAGTGCCAAAAAAAGGAAGAGTAACACCCAGGTAGAAAAACTAAACAAAGGAAGAGCGTGCATGAAACACGAACTTAATTAACATAGACAGTCACTGATTGAAAAATGAAGCAAATTTAGCAGCATTTACAATACTACAATGTGACATACTACATGTTAAACAAATTAAAATCATATAAGATAACACATCTAGAAAAAACTAAATGAGAAATAGCTACGTAAGCTTGAAATGTTCGAGTAGGCAGTCGTGAAAGGCTTTGTAATTTGTTATAGAAGTGATATCGCCAGGAAGATCGTTCCAAAGTTAGCAAGTCGTAGATCTCGGTGTCGGCCCATGGCAATACCCTGTGGCAAGAAGTATACGCAATCTGTTTGCTGATAGTAACCGATGGATGACGTATCGAACGCAGCAATCTGCTGTTTGATGCCATGCAGCCTGCCCACCGAAGTTAAAACCGGCCTTCTGCATGAAGAGAGGGCCCTTGAGAAAATGGTAACGTCACGCTCCACTTGCAAACTGAATGTGCAATGCATGACCACAAAGTTTGGCTGCACTGTTCGTAGCAAAGTTTGCCGTTTGCGGGATGATTTCTCACAAAGCCTGAGGGGTGGCTCAGGGCTCCGTCAATAATGTGTCCACAAGATTCCACATAACGCAAGGTCATGTGGGGTTAGTGTGCAAATGCTGAACACCTATTGTTCTAGTTGCCCTGGCTTTTCAGCAGCTTCTCGCGTGAACATTGAACCATTGTCTTGCAGCTGGGAACGGAAAATGGTTGCTGCACACAAAGCCGAAGTCGGTGACTACGAGGACATCGTGAAAAGCTTGGAGAAGTCTCTGCACACCCAGCGTGAACGATTAAATTATGAGATGGCCGTCCGCATTGAGAATGCTTGTGAAATCACACGGCTTCAGATGAACAAAGAGTTGAAGGTGATCATGCCGTGTTTTTTTAAACATCTCTTTGCATTATCCAAACACTGTACACGGCTTAAATTGTCAATGCAATGCATGTTAGAAGTTTGTCACTCGTATTTATTTGCTAGTATAGGCCTGTAGGCCGTAGTTTTTATTAGTCCAATTTTTCATCTACAAGCAATTTCAATATTGAGAGTTGAGTTTGCTGTTGATCTGTGGTCATTATTTTTGTTCGCCACCACTCTTTCAAGTTCAATGAGTGAACATCTGGACCATGAAATATTGTTGCCCAAAAGATTATATATAGCCTATATTTTGGTGTTCCTCGCTGAAGTCTTTGGGTAAATGCACTATGTATAAATTAGCTGGGACTCCAGATTCATAACATTTACGGGAAATGTCACAAATAAACTAGTCCATATTGTTTCACTCATGAATATCCTAAGCAATTTGAATCTAAATAAGGAGAGGTATTAAGAAGGTATGCATGATTCACATGTAAAACAAATCAAGCAGAATGCAATTTTTGACCATACTAAGCATGTCTGCACTATTGTAAACACGCCATAAGTTGGGTTGATTAGTTGCAGTTTTGAACATAAACATACCTGCCAACTCTCCCGAATTGTTCAGGAGACTCCTGAATTTTGACTTAATCTACTAATTGTATGACTTTTGTCTCGAATCTCCCAAAAAGTGGCAGCAACAGCAGAGGAATTTTTTTAAATTCATGTGCATATGTCGGCTTTTTCTGCTGTGACAGTTGCAGTGCTGCAGAATAGCACTTGTCACTACATTTTAGTTCACTGTAACCATACCGCTAAGCATGTACCAAGCATCTGGGCGAAGGCCGGTGGCCGCGGGACACGCTCGCCAGTGTACCAGGAGAAGGCGAGGGAAAGGTATCGCAACTTTTGCGCCCGTCTTGGTACCCACATTTTGTATGCTAGACCTATAGATAGGCTGCTGACCTGCAGGTCGCGGGTTCGAATCTTGGCTGCAGCAGCTGCATTTCTGATGGAGGCGGAAATGTTGTAGGCCCGTGTGCTCAGATTTGGGTGCACGTTAAAGAGCCCCAGGTGCTTGAAATTTCTGGAACCCTCCACTAAAGCGTCTCTCATTATCATATGGTGGTTTTGGGACGTTAAACTCCACATATCACATATCAAGACCTATAGATACGCTGCCAGCTTAAGCACCTTTGTGTTAAGTGGTTGGGGGGTTGCATATTTTCCAGAGTTCAGTGGGAAAGTCAGTGGTGATTTCAACAGCAGAGAAGTAGTACTTTCAAGTGTTTCTCGACTCGTACACAGCTGAGTTTTCGTGCTTCGCGATTTCGCAGAAAGGTGACAAGTGCGAATTTTGTACCACCTGCATCTGTGATGCAAGAGTTTCGAACGGCGGCAAGTCAGTCTTAAAATGCACATCACTTCACAGAAGCATCAGAACTACAGCCGAATTGTGGAAGAGCAGGGTAACATCGGATGTTTCTTTCAAAAGAGCTGCCAAGGCAGTGCGATCTGTGCAGAATGCTTATTCATGGGATTTCTTTCGGAACTCAACTTGCTGCTACGTGCTACTGATCACGCAGGACTGTTGTTTCGGAAAACGTTTCAGAAGATGCGAAGCAGTAAGGGTGCGGACGTACTAAAACACCTGCCATCATTGAGAAAATAGCTGCAGATGCCACTTTTAAACGCTGTGCTTTGCAATAGCAACAAACGGAAGCAACAACAGTGGGTCTCAAACGCCTCAGTTTGAGTGATTTTAAATATGCATGAATTCATTTGTATGAATTCAATAAGTATGAAATCATTTTGTTCTACAAAGTCGAACCGTTTAGGTGTTCGCAAACTGAATTGAGTTCCCTTCTGCATTATTTATTTATTTATTTATTTGTTGAAGGCTGAGCGAAACTCTGTTATGGAACTTCTTGAAAGCCTTGAGAAAGCGAATGACCGGATCGCCGAACTTGAGAAGGCACTCACTGAACAGAGAACTGCTCAGGATGACTCGACAACTGAAGATGGCTGGTAAGTGCGACCCATCTGGATTGTCATTCTGGAGCTTTTGTGACCCATTTGTTGGTAGATTACATGTAAGAGCTAAACTTTAGTTCAATGGGGTTGTCTTTCATAGCTGCTGTTTTTTTTTAGTTTTTATCATTTGAAGAGAAGCAATTTAGTGTTGAGTGGTGTTGGCTACTAGTGTTTGTCACCTGGCAATAGCCTAATTCTAACAAATTTAAGTGTATTACGGTAAGTTGAAAAAGCTGAAGAACTGCCACATTGTTTGTAGAGCACAGGTGCTATTCATAACCTTCACATTATCTGCTGCCACTTATGATAGCAACTTGGGAAAGTGGCAGCATGAAAAATCAATATTGACTGTCTCTCTCAAGCAAATATACTTTTGAAATGCTTAAGCCTTTCAAAACTCTTCGTTAAGTGGGCCATGTTGAGATTGTTAGGGTGCTGGAGTTGAAGACGGTTACAGGGGTGGCGCCAGGGGTGAGTATGGGGAAGGAGAGCTCCAGACCCCTCCTACCTCGTTCTCCCCCAAGAAAGAGGTAACATAATCAGTCATAACACAAGGGCTAAGTTCCCCCCCCTGCCCCCCCCCCTGAAGGAATTCGCTTATCGTGGGTTCTCCCCCACCCTCGTTAAAATAGTCCTGGTGCTACCCCTGTTTGGTTAGTGTGCACATAAACTGAAACCTCAATGTAACGAGCACGGATATAACGAAACATTGGTTACAACGAAGTCAATGAAAAGTAGTATTGCACTAGGTAGTATTAGGAATAACCTTGATAATGAATTTTGGGATAAAACAAACTTTATTTCTTTTAATGTGCAACTTTGTTATGAGGTTTGGGTGTATTAAAAGTTGTGCGAATTCCTTATCCTCGGCTAGAATGACCGCACATCCAGTGACTTAGAGAACTGCTCCGCATTGATGGCTGTTGTCTCGCATCTCTCTAGACACTAAAAAATCTTGAAAAATGAACTGAAGTTTACACTTTGTTACTATTGTGTTACTATATTTCAGCAGTGCTTTAAGTTCAGCTACATCTGGCCACCCTGTTTCAGGACATGTTGGGTGCAAGCATTTTATGCTTAACGTCGTGCACTTAAAGTTCTCGGCAAGTGTTTTGGGTGCCAGCTATAGAAGTGACATTTAGACAAGAATTGCACCATTAGGTAAAAGAAGCAACGTTGAGCACTCCTGATGCTTTTGATCGGTAACTTGTGAAAACTAAGCCACAGCTGCTTGCTGTGCACCTATAGATTAGTTGGCAAATTTTTATGCTGATGTTAATAACTTCATTTAGTGTTGAGTGTTATTAAGTTGCTGTGTAAGGTAACCACTTTATACACATGCACATTTAGACGTAAATTTGTATCCTTTACTCTGTATATGTTTTTTAAGATGACAAAATATTGCATCACGAGTTGAAAAAAAAAAAAAAATGCCGGCTCCTCATTGAGCTGTGTCGATTCCAAGTACAGTCAGCGTGTCCCACATTTCAATAGTCGAAAGGTGTGCATACTATCCACAGTCTATGCTTGATGTTAATGGTCTTTGTTCAAACTGTAATTGGAAAGCCTAGAGTAAATTGGATAGTTTGTGTGCCATGCCTGTCTTGCTTTCACCTGTGCTCAGATTGCGGTCAGTGTGCTTGTAATTTTATTGTGCCACATGAATGTGGGCCACTAATTATCTTTGACGCATGGTGCAAAGGTACAATAAAACAGCTGAGTTTTGACACATGGTGCGAAGGTATAATAAAATGGCTGACCAGGTTTGTGCATTTCAAATAAGCATAATGTACAGGCCATGCTGTGATGATTGATTTTGTCTCTCCCTCTCTCTGTAGGGGCAAAGGGTGAACATTACTGACTGGTTGCTGCGGAGAAGGAAGCTAGGCAGGCCTTTGTTCTCTGCAGCAACTATGGCGCAATTTTTTCAGTCATGAAAAACCAACTAGCCCAATACCTTGCTTTGTGAACATTACCCAATTTGAATAGGACTGCCGTTCTTCTAGGAAGGGCCGCTGTCTCTAAGCTACCTTCTAGTAAGCGTGAAGGGCAGCCAATCTCTGTGCCAGCACTTAGATGTTGTAAATGCAAAAATACACAAGACAGGCCTCTGCTCATGTGGGGCATGTACAGTAGAGTGGCTTGTGCAAACATAAGGTTTTATGGAGGATGAGTTGATATTCTTAGAAACCATTTGCAGCGATGTCACAGTGCTCTTATTTGAGATCATCGACATTGTCTTCTGGTACTGTCCATATCTATCTGGTTCTGTGCCTAAAAGAATATGACCATTACTATCTTAAAAGCAAGCGCAGATCCACTATCTTAAAAGCAAGTGCCTATGTGTGGACCTTGTATGCATACAAGAGGTTAAAGTTTCCAGGTAGTGGGCAAAAGAGAGCTTGCCATTTTCCTCCTTATTGGTTGATTGTAAATTTCTTCCTTGAGAAAAAAAAATGAATCACGAGATACCACTAGATAGAAGCAAGCTAATGGATGACTCTACCATCACTTTGCATTGCTTGCTTGTGGTAGCTGTGGGTTTTGACGAATGGTTGAACAACCCTGCATGTTTCTGTAATGTTTCACTTTTTTTGCAGTGAGGAGTTGCAGCATGTTGACATCGCAGCAGTGGAAGCAAAGGAGGAAAAGCAGAGTCAACTGCAACAGGCTTTGAAGTCCACCGTTGAGCATGTTGAAGATGAGGGTGCCGACGAAAACTGCCCGCGCCGCTCAACGCGAAGTACTCTGCGTGCTATTCGAGCCACGTGGTCGATGGCCACATCAGGAGCACCATCCGAGCTATCGGACAGCTTTGCCCACTTCAAGGCTCTGCGCCGCACCACAAGTTGTGTGAAGAAGTCAGTTTTGACCCCAGATGATGCACTGGTGAGCAGCTGCCCTGTTTTGGTTTGTCACCGACTTTAAAAAAAACTGAAGCTTATCAAAAAAACATACACCGATGCCTAAAGCTCGCCGTAACAGGAAAGTTTGAATATTTGTAATGTTAAACTTTGAACAACATGAGCTGTTCAAAGACAGTCACGGCCATCCTGACTGGCTTGGCGTTGTGGGAAGTTGCAAAATGAAATGAAAAGAAACAAAAAAGGTCTCGCACCACGTAAGTATTTAGCACATTGAATTCCTTGCACATAGGAAGGAGTACTAAATAATCTCAAGTCTTGTAAAAGGCTTTGCGGTGAGGGCATATTTCGGGAGTGGAGTTGCGGTAAAAGCTTCCTTGTCCAAGGAAACTTTTCACATCGTGACGTAATTCGGCAAAAATATAGGAGCTCGCCCAGACTCACTCAAAAAATATATTTCGCTTTGAGGGCTCACTCACCCTCATCAAATGTTTCATCCGGACTTAGGCGGACTCAACTCATCAACATATTAATCAGCCATGCTCACTCAGACTTAGACTTCGGTTTGACCTCAGTAAGCGAGTCTGAGTGAATCCACTCATAAGTTCATGGGATAAAAGTGATTTTTTGTTTGTGTCCATGCCCTTGAACGCCAATATTATATCTGACATAATCTGTGCTCTCCTATATGCCTCTTGATCTTGTACTTTCAAGTACTGGTTATCAATACTTTCAATCCAGTAAGGACATTTTTTATGAAATACGCCACTCACAAGAAACATGCCAAACTTCCTGTGAAAGATTTTATAAGGGAAAGTCTTGGCTTACCCCCCCCCCCCCCCCCCCCAGCTCAAGCCTCTTGTAGGGGTGACACATGAGCACTTGTCCATTGAGATCTGTATGAATAGACTTGAGTGTAAAACGTGATTCGATATAAGGCTGATGGTAATGCTAAAGATGAGTAGATAATACCACAGGTTGGCACTAAGAGATGGAGCTCACTGAGACTCGCTCAAGAATGTTTTGCACTTGGGGCTCACTTGGACTCTGAATTGGCAATATTTTTGCCAACCGAGACTCACTCGGACTGGCTACATGTTCCCTTCACCAAACCCGCTCGGACTCGCTCGCAGCCCGATACGAGTTCGAGTATGAGTGAATCGACTCCTAAACTTATAAGTTAGCTTACCGACTTATGCATCGTGGACGTTTTGTGCCTTTAGTTAAAACAATCTTGGGAGACACCAAACCAGTAATTAAAGGTGCGCATGTAGTGCTAAGAGATTTTGTACGACAAACTGAATGTACTAATGCTGTTTGATTTGGCACTCTTCAGTATTTTCTAATAAAAAATTTGAGCTGTGTTGTACCTTGCATAATCAAAGTTGCAAGATCAAAAAAGAAATAATTCAAATGTACAATGAAATTCTCCTCATATAGTGCATGAAACTTTGTGCATGCTAACTGCAATGGGCTCCCCCTTTTTTTCAACCAGGAAACATTTTAGGGCCTTTTTGTTGTGCCTCCAATCAAATAGTGTGAAAATGTAGCACTTAGCTTGTTATATTTGATACTGCCAGAAACTTCTATATGGTTTTCAGACCTAGTGTAAGTGTGAAATTTACTGTAGCATCGTAGAAGAAAATGTCAGCTTTGATTATTGCACAAATCATACCCAAAAGCCTTAAAGTTTTTTGCTATTCAATAATTATAACTTGAGGCAGTGCATTAGATTGTGCTACGGTTGCAGGCAAAAACAAACACTGGTTGTTGAAGTTTAGTGGGAAGCCCCCCAAAGTGGGAAAGGTTAGTGTCAACACAAAATGGCACTTTTCATCGAGGCAACGTCATTAGTGTTGGATCAAACTGGCAAGATTTCTGAGTTGATGTTCTTGAAAGATAAGTGCTTCTGTTGGCTATGACTTTCTTCAGTCTAGCCTGTGTCACAGTTACAACAAAATTGCTACTGTTTTTAACGTTGGTGGTTGATTTGTGAGCTCGTAGACATGAGCTCACAACAGCTTTTGAATTATAGCATTCTCAGCGAATTTATTGCCACTAAACTTTGTAACAGTATTTGGAAAGCATACATGCACATACGTAGGTGAAAACTTTTGTTGGCATACTTGTTTCGTTGTAGCTCTTCTTTTTCGCCCCTGTAATTCTCCACACACAAGACACAAACGGTGAGCTCAATAAACAAGCGTAGCTCTGCTATAACAAACGCCAAAGAGCACAGGAGCGGAGGGAACCCGCCCTTGCTTGATTGAACTTTTTAATGGACTTTGCTCAGCTCCACTGGTCTTTGACATTTGTGGTAGCAGAGCCATGTTTCTTTTTACAGGGAAAGCTTTCATGAGATCACGGCAAGGGGGCCATAGCTGTCCACCGTTACCGCTATCAGCGAAATACAAAAAAAAGATTGAATTAAGAACAAATATCTGGGATGGCGCAGTATTCGAACTTAGGTCCTCTCCATGGAAGCCCAGTATTTTACCACGGAACCATGCTGGTGCTCAAAACTCCTGTGCACATAAAGGAACTGTGTTAACATACGCAAGATAGCATGGTAGAAGAGTAAAATAACAATGTGGTGTCGCAGAATACGAATTGTGTAACCAGGCGTCGCACAATATAAATTGCTTGACCAGTGGGTCGTTGAGTGCTTCCAACTCATTATAAAGGGCTTGGCCGTAATTCTTCACTGTTATCAGCCACCGAATCAATTATTGTAGGGGGGGTACCTTGCAAGCATACTTGTAATTAGTAGCAACTGGTTCTAGAAATGGTGCTATTTCGGCTTTCGCTGTGACTGTGCCACTTGTTCTGCACAGGCCTGGCGGTTTTTTTTATTCACTGAAAGAAATTGCTAAGTGAATTTCGCATCAATTCTTTTTATTTCGTTGTGAGAGGAAAGGACCGCCAAAGTGAGCGAGCAGGCAATTCAAGTCTAGAAGTATGACTTAATATGCCCATGCAACGACAACGCTGGAATGCTGGCACAGCGTTGCAGCGCCACCACAGACACGTGCATTTGTGCAAGAGTGGTTCTTAAGCACCTGTGGGGCAAGCCTCGCTGCCACTCGCAGTGGCCCTCTTCATGTGATGCAGTGATGTTGATGTGAAGCACTCGGGCATTCTCTCGTGTAGGCGTTCAGCCACCATGCCGCTCTCTTCTTTACCTCGCTATGCTACATTATGCTATTGTAGCTCGGCGTAAACTGCCCAAGACTACATGAGAAAACTTTAACAGCTCTGCTACTAAACCTTGCCTCCTATATAACTTGGCTCATGCAAAGATGTTTGAGCCCCAAGAATGGGCTGGTCATATTCTAAAGCTGAAATGGCACAGACAGCATACACTAAGGTGCATCTCTTCGAGAAAGATGCGCTAGTATTTTATGTGCATTCAATTCTTCCTACCCAGGAGGAGAAGCAGCAGCAGCATGACCACCGTGCTGTCCTTGCTGATGGCAACGCTGAATCGTCACCACTTAAACGCCTCGCGACTTCGTAGCTGGCAGGCTGTCTGGGTGGCACGAGTGGCAGGTGAGAAATTTTGCAAGTTACTTTCAAAGCCTTTTCTTAAAAGAGCAATGCCACTTATACTAGTGCACATTAGAGGCCTTCATCTAGAACAGTGAAAGACAACATATTCACATTAACTTGAAAAAAATTCTAAATTTTGGGTGGGGCCATACAAGATAAAAGTATACTTGCTGCAGGGGTGAGTGCAAAAAATAGAATGTCTTACTAGTATTATTTTTGAGTCTTGCCACGCAATATGTGACGAGACAGGGGTTTCTTTTCACAGATATGATCATTACTGGCTATTATGATTCTCCATGGGTTACAATGACAGTAATATGTAACTCAATATTGCAGCCAGAGGGAGCCTTTCACGGTTGTGTGGAAGCAGTTAGTCACTGCTTTCTTTTTAGCAATGCGTTTCTGAGGAAATTCGTGGAAGTCTTGATCTTGTTAAATCGAATATAGCAAGGCTGTCCACTAGTCTCCTAGTTAGCTAAACGTGTCTCACAAATGCTCCAATAAGGCATAGACGTTTGTCTTATTCGTGGAATGTCAAACCATTTTTTTTTCAACCTTGAAGCTTTGCCGTGCAGAAAATTTATGTGCATTTCCTTCACAAGTTTGTGCTGCAGATGAGTGGCGGATGTTATTTTTTTCGCATTGTCAACCCTCGCAGCACCTTAAATAATTAAGTACATATTTCTACTACTACTAACAGTATTTCTACTAACAGTTTCGGTTTCAATTCTATTCTGTACTATGCCTTGACATTGTGACGCAGGTCACTGCATGGTAGTATCAGCACATTGCAGCGTTTTGACGCTTGCTGTAGCCTGCTTTATCGTCTTTATTGTTGACAGTTCATTGTTGTATTTCCAATTGTGAATAACCCGCTTCAAACATTACTTACGTGCAGCATTGCAGCAAACCAGCTCCGGCTGATTCCTGCTGACTCGTGTCATGGAGCTCCATGAACACTTGGACAACTGTGTGGAGAAAGGCCAAGCAGTGACATCATGTTTTGAGTCACATTAAATTAGTTTTAGTTGACATGCATCCTAATATGCATATTGCATAACACTTGTGAGGTAATGGTGTGTACCTCTGGTTTTTAGTTGTGCTGAACAAATCTTGCTATGTGCGTGATTATATGTTTGTTGCATAACACTTTTAATTGAAGGACAGTGCACACTGCTTCTTTTTATACCCATAGTTAAACAAGTTTTAACTGTAATATGAATGTAATGTATAATGTGCAATACCTGTCAGATTGCGATTGGGCACTGTTCCCACAAGAGAACGGTAGCCGCTGGCAGTCTCCCTTTAAGCTAGGTAGAGCATTGTTTACTTTAAGTAGTGTTGCATATTAGTATACTTTCATTGAACTCTTGAAGCTGTTTTTAGCAATGTGTAACCCGATATTTTTCACATTAGCCAGTTCTCAATGGCTGTCACTGAAAAAAAGAAGTGTCTGTGTGTCATTTTTATGGGAAGTACATGATGTGGCACTGGCCAAAGTTCCTAGTCGTTCCTGCGCACTACTACAGTGTGTTGGTACACCAGTAATTGTGAGTACTTTACACTGGTAGGCCAGTATGCTAATTATGGCCGCTTGGTTTATCTCCTTTCTTGTAGCTTCTCTCTTTATTTTGTTTTAGCTTGACAAATGGCCCTCGCATAATATGCATGAAAAGAAGAGTTGCAACTTCTTGTGTGTGGTTTCTGTTTCAATTGTGCTATATTTTGATCTCAAGTACCAACCAGAAGCATGTTCATAATGGTTGTGCAGGGATTTATATACACTGCTGCCTGTGCTACCCTCGTTTCTACTCTATTCTTGGGCACTTTATATGTTCCAAGACGCTCTCGGTCTAACGAGGTTAGGTTTTCACTTGTGTGTACATGGCGGCCAGTTGATGGGTACATTTGCAAGTTTTGGTAACTTTGGGAACAAAAATGCTGTTCAAAGCCAATACAATTATATCCTAAGCCTGAATAAAGTACTTAAACCTTTTTTCTGTGATATAGCAGTAGCATGTGTTTAGAGAAAAGCTTGTGTCGACGGCATTGTTGCATACAGCTCCAGTGGCAGCTTTTCGAAAAAGTTGTGTGTTGAGAATGTGTGTCAGTTTTTTAACTGCAATGAATATCAATGAACTACGATGATATATGTACAACGAATTTCAACGATACCTTGTTGTGTGCTCTTTACAGCGTATGTAAACAGTGCAAGCGACCAGGATGAAAGAGCTTTTTTCAAACCCGCTATTGACTGTGTGCACTATTGCACATCTGTTCATCCTAAAGCGGATAATCGGTAAACTAGGTTTTGGCATAATTCCTATTTTTATTGTCCGGATCAAGATTTGTTTTAACTTTTATGATGGGACCATCTCTTTCTAAGTGCTTATCCAGCAGTGAGAAAGAAAAAAAATATTTTGTGAGGGGACGAATGCATGTTGTTAAACTAGTTTCATGACCTTGTATTTCTCTCTGTGAACACATTCGCAGCTGTAAAAGCTCAGGTAGATAATTGACAATAGGTGTAAGCTTATTTGCATGCTTGCGAGCTTCTCAAGTGATCAATGATCTAGTGATGTTGATTTGGCTCATGACAAGCGCCTTTTTATTGGTGCACTTGTGATACTCTACATTTTAATTATATCTGCAGACATATTTGCACATTTTTGTTGCGTTATCAAAGGATGGTCCACACATCAAAAAAGCTAGGCATTATTGACACCTTTCTGAAACAGCCCTTGTTGGCTGGGTTGTAGTAAACCGATTCCGAAATAACATGGTTACTGTGGATTAATGTTATTTTCTGGGGTCTTACTATTCAAAGCTACAGCATGGTAATGGGGCATGATTGGGTGGGAGACTTGTCGGCCATGTTTTTTTCAAGAGTGCCAAAAGAGTGCTGGTGGCATTTAATATTGATCTGCAAGTTTCAGGTCTGAATGTTTCACAATTATGTTTAAAGCCCATTTGCTGGTGCGGTTTTAGTCATTCTCAATATGTGATGAATACTTTTTTCTTGAGTGCACATTAAAGAACATCAGATGGTTGAAATTTCCGAAGCCCTCTCATCGGCACCTCTCATAATTATATTGTGGTTTTGTGATGTAAAACCCTAGGTATTATTATTTATTATTGAATTTAACCATGTTGCAAACTTTTTATTGTGCATATTCACCATAGAATACACTTCTGCTGCTCTTGTGCTCAGCTAGTGTATTGTGTCAAGCGTTATTCTTGAACTGTGATACTTTTGTGCCATCATTGTTCACATCAAAATCAAATATATTTTAACATAATGACCTATATTTTGTTGTTTAATGTCTGGATGGGAACTGGTATTGTACGCAGTGCTCCGAACTACACCTATGCATGATTTTGGTGCACACTTAATGCTGGCTCTACAGAAAACACAGGCTTTATTATATTCAGTTGTAACTGCAAATTCACTATGTTACTGTGGAAAATAAAAACTTCCAGAATAAACTACTCCACAAATAAGTTATCCTACATAGTTCCTACATTACTTAATAAGTATGTGAAAGCTGGCATAGATTTCTTACACTGTACACAGACTCAATTGTGTGATATACACGTTTAGTTTTTAATATTTTCTTGCAGTTGCTGTATTATCATGGTTATTTTTATTTTTGAATTCGGACTTGATTTTTTATACTTTTTTGTTTATTTATTTGTGTTGTTGTTGTTGTTGTTGTTGAGTTCACATTGCTGACTGTTTGTCACTGCTGTCATGCTGAAAGGTGGCTGTGGGCCTTTGTAAAGCTGCCTCTTTCGGAGAGCAGCTTTTACCTGCAGCTGTCCTTCATCAAACTATTGATGAAAAATAAAACATTATTATTATTAATGAGGTTAAAATGTATAGTATATTCACAAGGCCACACTGTACAGCGCCTATGCTGTGCTGATACATATAGACGCAATTGTTTGCAGTCATTGTGGGCTAGTGTCTGTGGCCACGACACTATGCAAGTCTGAAAGCTTGCTAAGCTGGAATGAGCCTTTTTTTTTTAGCTGAACGCCTAGTCTCGTTGCGGCCAAATGCCATCCACTCTGTGCCGGATGCTGTGGGTATGGTCAAGCAGTGTGGAGGTCGATCGTCTCTTGATGGAGGCTGTGGAAAACCTGCGACCACTAGGCGTTAAAATAGGCACAGGCAACATTGTCTGTGCCAAAATATAATCAAATGTAGGGCGCTCGGTGCCCGCCTTTAGAGCATTGCTATTGGAAATGACAATGCTTCATTGTACAAAGAGGTATACAGTGTCAGCGGAGTTGGGAACTGACATTAAGGAACTTGGAAGCAATTTCTTAATGGTGAAGCTGTTCAGGCTGTCGGTGACTACTGTTCTGTAAAAGACTATCATCATCATGAATAGGCATGCGCGTTCTTGATTCTCTCTGCAGTGAGGCTGCTTAAGGCATCTATAACTTGTGCTTTGTCCTGCAAAACGGGCAAGTATGTGCCATGAGAATCAAGCAAGCACCACTACCGTGTACAGCAGGTGCACGTGTCAAAAATGAACACGTGAAAGAGATACAAAGCATTAAAAAGTGGGAGAGATGAGTAAGTAGATAAAGAGAATAAAGACAAAGGTATAAATAAAAGCAGAGGAAGAAAAACTAAGGAAATGGAGGCCAAAATGTACACATTAAGGCCAGAGAAAGATGGGAAGAGGATGGGATAGAAACAAAAAAAAAAACGGAAATGGGGCATTCTTCTGAAAAAGAAGGGTAATGTAGCGCGAGGAAGGAAAAAATGTATAGAAAGGGTAAGAAACAGAGCGAGAAAGAAATTTCATGCTCGCGCATTAAATTTACCTATGTGTGTTCTTGTTTTTCCTGGGCAGATGAGTGTGAATCACCTGTGGCACATACCCGCATATCAGTGGCACATATACCCGCCCGCGGGTATGAGCCACTGTCTAGCGGAGAGTGTTTGACGGCGTAAGCGACTGGATTGTGACGTAATTCATATCTTGACAAGCGTGTCATATTCATCAAACCATCTTGCTATCCCTTACTAAATTTGGTTCACGCCAAGTTTTTGCACCCCCCCCCCCCCCCTAATGCGGTGTAATTATTTCCTAAATTCGGTGGTTCAGTCGCTGCCTGCCGCGCGCGTGCATAATGTAGAGACACACCATATTTCACCATTTGCAGAACGATGCATATCTGCATGCATGCGAGTTTTGGCCCTCTTCAAAATCTTACGCCGGGTGGTAGTAGTGGTGGTGGAGTGGGGGGGGGGGGGGGGCAAGTGCTGCGATAAACATTTGGGCCCTTCCCTCCCCCCGCCTATGGCTGTCTTCACATTGTCACCACGTAAGTATTTGTCGTCAGCGTTTGCGAGCAAAACAATCTTACCCACAATCCAAAAGCAAAATATGGGTGCCTCTTGGACCTGTAGAGTACTAAATTTTTTTTTTTTTTTCAGGGTCGGGAAGAGGTAAAATCTTTGTGTATGTTCGCGCTTGTGCATTTGGGGGAGGGGGGGGGGGTGAGCTTGGAGTCCACCCCCTTCTGGCTACGCCAGTGTACATTCAAAATTCCCGCGCCAAGTCTCCAAAGGCTCAGCGCTTCTATCAACAGGCAAAGCGAACTGCCCAGTTTAACTTGCGGAATAGTTATATTAGATTATCTTCTTTCGCAAACTCCGCTGCTCTTTTTTCGAAGGTACAAGCGCTACAGTTCTTGATGCTCCAGTTCTTTGTTTTGTTTACGTCGCTTTACTTTCGCTTGATATTTTGTGTCCTACAGCCTCGGTACCAAGAGCAAATGCTTAGGACATTTGACGTTCGTGTAGTCGCTACGTCATCTTACGAGTTCTGAAAGCAAGGGACGATATCTGCGGATAGTTTGCAGGCGTGATGTAAGCGCTGCGGAGACGCATTCAAACATGCATTCAAACATTCAAACATCGAGTCCACGTGTCGTTCTACCGGATATCCGGTGGCGAGAGCCCAATCACCCATCGCCACATTAGCGCCACATTGCCCGGCCATCATTAAATACCCCCGAAAATCGTTCGCCGGTGCTTCGGGTCATGTGCATAGTGATGAATAGAATCGTTTAATTTCAGCCGTACACATAGAGTAGTTAGGTAAGTGCTTCGCGTTACTATTTCATGTGCATGCGTGCGCGTAGCTCGCGCGTTCGGCGGCGATAACGTGGTTTCTAAAGCCGGTGTTTTACTCAATGAATGAAAGGGGCCTGCTGTTCGCAGCTGATTGTCGCGCTTAACCGTAGCTCCTGTGGATTACATCGGTATTATTCACGCTGTAACAGTTCTAGGCCGTTCAAGTGTGAGCCCGAATTTACGGTCACGTTTTTCCTCCATGGACTCGTTTCAGGTTCCACTCTAAATCAATAGCAATGGCCTTTTCGCCTATCTCGCGGCTGCACCTCTCCTGGTGCGTCGTCGCGTTGTCAATAATTAGCATGTACAAAGGTAAGTACAAACATCGCCTATTTTGTTGCTTTGGTCATTTTTAATATTTCGTCTTCCGCGACAGTAAGGTTTACGTGATGGTGCATCGCCTGCTGTGTTTACACGAGTCGATCGGCGCTTAATTGCTCGCGCGTTGAACGAAACCCTGTTCAGTTCACAAACTTGACAATGTCCGGATGCAGCCTTAGGCACATAATTGCCTTGAATTTATTGCCACAATCTGCCCGAGTTAGTGGACACCTGTCACCCATGTTGTATCCCGCACTCTGCGGACATATGTTCGACAATGTTTCGTCATACTTGATGCACTTTCAGCGTTACGTGTTGTAGACGCTTTTGTTTTTTCCGACACACGAAACAAAATCTGTTTTATTTGTTTCGTCTAGTGTGTACAAGATGTTCACGACAGCCGTGATATCATGCCTGCATGTTTAAACTTTTTTTTTTCTCCCCAGTCGAATGTATTGCAGTCATGTCTGTGGACCTTGGTGTCGAGTGGATGAAAGTTGCCATTGTGTCTGTGAGTTTATAATCAGACTACTGTTTTCTTCTATTATCTTTCAGCAATGTTACTCGTTTCCTAACTAACTCTCCACAAAGTAGTGCATGGAGGGCATCGCTAATATTGTTCAGGAATGTGGCTTACTAGAAACTATTGTTCTCAACATGCAAAATAGTCCTCTCAGTACTGTTCTTTAAATGGAAGCGCCATACAAGACGACACATAAGTTATAAAATTTGATTGGTGCGAAACGCCACCATTTGTCTGCAAAGGGCTGCTGAATTGACTGAGTGTTATTAGATAGTTGTTAAATATAAATGCTCCTTTATTAGTTCTGTGGCCTATTGGAATGGTCCAGCAATGGTTGTTACCAAACTAAGCACGCAATCTTTCTTTTCAGCCTGGAGTTCCTATGGAAATCGCTTTAAACAAGTGAGTTCCTTCTTCAAAGTTTTTCGACATTGTGGTTGCTACAGATTCATTGCATGCTTAGAGGTTATGTATTGAACTTTGAGCTTACATGGTTATTTTGCCTCTGCTTTAGAGATTCACAGAGAAAAACGCCAGTTGCCATTGCATTCAGAGATGGGGAACGACATTTTGGTGAACAAGCCGTCTCTACTGTAAGTGTTTCTTGCTACGTATGTTTAGGTCGAATTTTCTTGTTACTTTTATTTTAATACTTGTTCTAGCCCTATGACTATAGCCTGTTTGTTAAAGATGCCATATAGCATTGTTCTTGTAGAAGTGCTGAATTTAAAAGAAGCTTTTACGTTCGAAATCTGGTACTGCCTCATGATGAGTGATTTTATGATGCTGTTGTAGCATTTTCAAGTGGTCTTGAAACTAGCAAGGCAAAAAGAAACACATCTCACGAGTATGCAGGTCAAAAATTTCATTAGTCTCCCTGAAAGTGGTAAACGCAACCTAATGAGCTTCTAATAGTTAGTTTCTGTACTGTTCATTGAAATGTGAATAAAGCCTTGAATTAAACCAAAAGAAGCTGTTTTTAGCACGTTTCTATGTGTCCTTGGTCATTTATATAATTATCAACTTTGATATTTGAGTATTGCAACGACACCTGTGCTAACAGTTTGATGTAGCCAAATCGCATTCCACACGCATTCCATGATGTCCACTCAACATAACGAGTAGTAAAAGCTAAATTTCCTGTTAAGATATTCAGTGGCGAGCTTGATCGCGGTTAACTTTAGGAGGTTTCACTTCGCAGCATATGTTTTCTTAGAACTACCACGTGTAATGTATATACTTTGACCAGAGAGGCGCATACAGTTCAATTCCCTGTTTGTGCAGCCAACTTTTTGTGAGATTTTGGCTGCAAATGCATTCTCCGATCCATACAGCTGCTGCACTGCAAACAGGCTTGAACAGGTGCCAGGCACAAAAAAATTGTGTGTTATAATATCGTATTTTATTATATAATTTATTCTTATATTTATAATATCATGCCAATTATTAACTGCTGCTGTTACAAATGTAATATGTGAATTGCGTTTATTTTATGAGGATAAAGCTTTATCAGGTCTGTCTTCATTAATGACACAAAAAGTGGCATTTCAAATGTAGAGCATGCTCATTTAGTTGCTTTTTTTAATTTTCCGTATTTTGGCTAAGTATGAAAATCGGATTGCTTTGATCTTGTACCATTTATAAACTGCATCTTTAGTGGCAGTTATACATCATTGTGATTAATTTACCGCTTTGTTGTTTTTATATAATTTCTGCTGCAAGTACTAGGTAGTATTACAAAATGTATAGAAATTATAGCTCATCTTAGATAATGTTCAACATCCATCTGCTTAATTATGTTTCTTGCAATTAGTACTGGTTGTGTTTGTGCAGTATGTTTATAGTAACTTCAATGCAGGATATTTTGCCATCTGCTCCAGAAACGTCAATAGTTGCTTCAAACTACCATTTTTGGTAGTTTTTTGGCTACTTCAAAGCAGCATTTTTTACTGCTCCAGAATCTTCTCTAAAAAAGCAAGATGTGTCTTCCGTCACTGGGCATGTCACAACTTTGACGTTGTTTTGCAGGGCGTCAGGTTCCCAGACAAGAGCTACTCTCACTTCCTTGACTTGCTGGGCAAGGACAGGAACAACCCTGTGGTGAAGGAATTTGAACGTCGCTTCCCGTACTACCAGCTAGAGGCTGACCCCAAGACCGGCGGGGTCTTGTTCAGGCACCCGGAGAACATGACCTTTAGCCCCGAGGAATTGCTTGGCATGATTCTGGCCCACGCGAGAGAATTCGCTTCGAATGCCGCTGGTAAGTTTTGCCGAAATTCATTCAGCATCTGCAATTCATTTGACTATGAATAAGTAAAGACTTGCAGGACATTGTTGTATGCAACAATAGGATTGGCTTCTGGAAACCCATGTACTTTTTCTTTTAAAAGAGCAGTGATTTTGTTTGTGTTGGTAATTTACTTTCCCATAGTACCGACAGCACCACTATTACTGTGAAAAGCTTGGCAAGCCAAGGAACAACTTGAAAGAGTGGGGAAGTTGCCTCAAAGTTTCCGCATTAGTTTTGCCATCACTTTGCTGACTGATAGCACCTTCCAGGGCCTAAATTGAATTGCACGGTACTCTAAATGAAGCAGAGACTTGACATGAGACATCTCTGTAGATGCGATATGGCCAAAATACAACAAAAAGAAATGAAATTGGTGATGCCATACTTATTTGTGATCCACAGCGTGTTTGGCATGAAATTCAAAAATTATTTCGATGTTTATTTTTTTTATAAAAGTGAGCCTATTGTGAACTCGATGACATTACAGTACTCAAATACTGACTTCTCAGTTGAAACTGACCTACAATTTCATTTCAATGCCTCGTTATAATCGCGATGTGGCATACTGTATTGGAAAGAATTGAATCTAACTGCCCTTTCAGTAATGTGTGGCAGTAGCAATGTTAAGCTTGTATAATTTGATTGAGAGAAATGAAGCAACTTGATGTATCCTCCAGAATTTTCTAATTGCTAGAATTTTCGTACACTTGCCCCTGCCGCCGTGGTCTAGTGGCTAAGGTACTCGGCTGCTGACCTGCAGGTCGTGGGTTCGAATCCCGGCTGCGGCGGCTGCATTTCCGATAGAGGCGGAAATGTTGTAGGCCCGTGTGCTCATACTTGGGTGCACGGTTAAAGAACCCCAGGTGGTCGAAATTTCCGGAGCCCTCCACTAGGGCGTCTCTCATAATCATATGGTGGTTTTAAACCCCACATATATTCAATCATCAATTTTTGTACACTTAGATGCTGGCATGTGCAGCCACATTGCTAGCATTTGTTGTCAATATTCACCTGCGCAGTGGTCAAGTTCTTTTTGCATGGCTTTTCCAGGGCAGACAATAAAGGATGTAGTTATCACAGTTCCTGTATTCTTCAACCAAGCCGAAAGGAGGGCACTCGCTCAGGCTGCTAACCTCGGAGGTCTCAAACTACTTCAGCTTATTGGAGCCAACACTGCCGGTAAGATCTGTCTATTTCGGGGCTTATATAAAATTCTCCTGTGCAGTTATATTTTTCCAAGGTCATCTTGCAAAGTTAAACTATCTCATTTGAACACCCTGATGCTTGCGTGACAACTACCATTGTGGCTGTGTGTTTTTGGCATCCAATTGCCGAGTCGTAACGGAGACCAGTCCTAAGTGTTCTTCCACGAAAGAGGTTCAGAAGAGCAAAGAATTTTTATTTTGTTCATGCTGTAGGGAATGCCTGTCTTGTGAAGGACAACATTGATGCTAGCCAAAGTGGAAGAGATCAAAACGACACGACCTTTGCATGAGACCGTATTTTTAAGAAAGGCTACAGCACGCATATAGACAAAGACGACAGAAGCGCACTCAAACCTCATTATAACGAAGTTTGTTAATTAAGTTTATATCCGAAAAAATTAAATGTTTGTTATATCTGAAAAATTTTATTGATGTATATTTTTAACACTGTTCTTTGAAAGTCTATTGAGTTGCATCATTATAACCAATATTTTGTTATATCCAGATTCGTTATAGCATACACGTCTCCATCTATAAGTGTCCTGCGACCTTTCATGATTTATTACTAACTAGCCCACCAAGACATCCTTTCATTTTTCAGATTGTAGCTAACGTCCCTATGAGCTTTAAAGAACTTCTGGTAACTTTTTATTACTCGTATCTTTTTGGAACCGCCAGGCCTTATCTGACTTGATGGCACTTTACGATAACTTGCAATATGCAGCTTTGTTTGCTGCTCGATAAACAACAAATGCATTATTCCTTTAAACAGATTAGGGTATGCTCCTTAAATTCAGAAACGTCAATGTCTTGGCCTTCTTGTTTAAAATAGAAATGACAAAAAATGGGATATAAATGCAGTGATATCTACCAGCTAACCTGCAAACAGTCTTGTTCTCATAACTTTTTCGCAGCTGCGCTGAACTACGGTGTTTTCGCCGCAAGGAATTCAACGACACCCCAGTCCACATTCTGTTTTACGACATGGGAACTGGCAGCACCACAGCCACTATTGTGGCCTACCAGACTGTCAAGACCAAGGACAAATTCTCGCAGAGCACGTGCCCCAGCTTTCCATTAAGGGCGTCGGGTGAGGCTGCTTTTAAGTTGCTGACGTAGACTATGACCGATTATGCTGGTGGGTACTAGTGCCTATAAGTGGGACATTTTTTATGGTTAATGATGCATTCTAAAAATAGTTTTGCTATTCAGGACAAACGAGCCATGGTAGCCTAGCTCGTAGGGTGTTGCGTTGCTAAGCTTGAGGGCGCATGTTTGACTACCGGCAACAGGGGCTTCATTTTGATTGGGGTGAAACGCAAAAAACAAGCCTATGGGCTTAGAATTAAGTGCACTTTAAAGAACACGTAGCTAAAACTTAATTTGGAGTTTTTTACTACGGTGTGCCTCATGATTGTATGGTAGTAGTGGCAGGTGCCACCCCAGCAGTTATTAGTATTATAATTACCATTCAGGACACCTTTTTGTTGAGCAATAGTGATCATTGTCTGGCTCGCCTGCATATAATTTCCTGAATGCTCTGCGCTGGCTACATTTCTAATAGGGATGCCACGTGGCACTGATGGCATGCTTATTGAAAACTTGCAGGCAATGATGCCAAGAAAAGTATAGGGGATGTTCTTAGAAGTAGTTGTAATGTAAATGCGCAGAAAGAAAAGTGGACAGAAAGATAACTATCCGCCGGCAGCGACCTAATCTGCAACCTTCGAATGTGTTGTGCAGCCCAGAAGACTTTGTCCTGCAAGTAGCTTAATAACGATGGTAATGATTGTTAATGAACATGACAAATTTTTAATTTGATGATGGGGTACTGAAGCAGTGAGCATTTATAGTTGGCTGTTCTCCTTGAGACAGGTATGATCGTTTCCTGGGTGGTCTGGAGTTCAAGCTGCGGTTGGGCGAGAGGTTTGCCCAGGAGTTCAGTGCACTCAAGAAGACAAAGCAGGATGTGTTTGACAACAAGCGTGGTCTGGCCAAGCTCTTCAAGGAGGCTGATCGTGTCAAGAAAGTCCTAAGTGCCAATACTGAACACGTGGCCCAGGTGCGATCATCAAGCCCTTTTCTCTTTTCGAGCTTATAGAACTTCTGTGTCTGGAATAAAAGTTAATAATTTATGTATTTAACAATACAATAACTAAGTAATGGCAGAAGAACAAGAAAACATAACGTTATTTTCTGGCTGGTCAAAAACCGCATTTGAGGCCTTGAAGCAAATGGGCTCAATTAGGGAGGTCATCAGTCAGAGCTTGAGACCGCAGCCTAGTAGAAAGCCTTCTGTGCTACTCCAGATAATTTAAGGCAGCTGACATTCTGTAACTTCAGTGTGAAATAACAGAGTTGTAGATTTTTATTTTTGTGAAAACGAACTTGCCAACATTCTTGGGCTCTGTGCAACGTTTTTTTCAGCCCAGTGTAAATTCATCTTGAGCATTTTCGCAAGAACATGGGCACAAGTGAAAGCAATTAGGCCGACTCGCAGTGTTGAGACTTCAGTGTTACTTTTATGAATATAGGACTCTTTTTAACCGCTGATCGACGCAGATTTCTTCGTGTTCGCTGTCCCCTAGAAATGTGCACTCTCTCGTCTGAGGAAGAATCCATGGCTCTCTCTTGCTGCAGGTTGAAAATGTCATGGAAGATGTGGACTTCAAGCATCCGATCACCAGGGCTGAATTTGAGGAGATCTGTGATGACCTGTTCAAGCGTGTGTCTGCACCTATCCACATGGCTCTGTCATCTGCTGGCATGACTTTGGTGAGCTACAGGTTTTAATGCCGGAGCACGATCGTCCCCATAGTTTGAGCTAGTGTAAAAACTGCTTTAGCTTGAGTGACATGGCTGTTTGCCACTTCTTGCAGCCTTAAAAAAAGCAAGAGTAACTTGCGCTGTGATTAGGAATTTTCATTGTTCCACAGTGTAGACCACTTATAATGTAACTGCTTGTAGTGCAGAATTGGTTACAATGCTGTCTTTTTTGACTCCTGTTCATCCTCCCATAGGACCCAATATATATATGCAAATTCGCTTATTGTGCAGTCCCCCAAGATAAAAGCGCGGTTGTACTGCAGTTGCCGGCAAATCTGTGACAATCGCGGTAGCAAGTTCGCGTCTGAAAGGAGGCATGCTGGGTGTGCCACTCAGGGAGTGAGCGGAGAGGTTGTTACAGAGGAGGAGGAGGGGGCATGGAGTGAGCGAATGAAGGGCGGAGGGAAGAAAAAGAAAAGGAAAAAAAAAAAGGACAGCAGCATGATGCGCGGGCTCGTCGAGGAAGGCTGTTGCCTCGGCGACAAACAGGCCTTTGCACCGGCGCTGACGAATTAGCGTCACTAGCCGTGGCTTCGGCCGGGCACGGCGCAACATGGCAAGTGTGATCCAGTCCTTATCAACTGCACTTAAGTTTCCTGTCGGAAAAAGCGTCATCGTTATCGTGCTTGCTACAGATATTGCATTAGCTTACTAGTCAGTAAATTTTAAATATTCAACGGCTTTATGATGCGAGCTTTCGCCTTTGCTGCCAGTGCGCGCAGTCTTACGTAAGCTTGGCGGGTTTTCGTCATTGTTGATCTTCCGGCCGCGAACGCGATCTTCGTATCACACACGCTGTTCTTGGTTCAGTGCTTGAGTGCGATCTTTTCGAACCCTATTCTCAAGTCTTGGACAAACTTGCCACAACAACATACCGAACAGCAGGCTAGGTCTAATTGGCATTGGTTGCGTTTAGATACTGGTCGCATGCGATTTGTTACGGAATGAACGGCACCTATTGCGGTGGCTGCGCTTGACGGGAAGGGATACATATCGTTAATGAAAACCAGGGTGGCACGTGTAGCAATCGAATGGTGGCTCGCTACACGTTGCTTCCTCATGGGGGTTCGCATTCAGAGTTCGACCAGCTGCAGAAGCACATCGTTCTTGCTGCGTTATCAGCTTCCATTTGTCAACATAGTTGTCTGTGAAATCGTGTGACACCAAATCTGTAGGAAAGTGTGGAGCATGCTTGTGGCAGGAGGGCTACCATGTGCTGCAGTGTTCTGGTACAGCCAAATGTAAGCCGCACTTTGATTGGAAGCATGCCACGAATCAGGCTGGGCGAGTGAATTACGAATAGGGTATGTCAGTTTCTGTTGTCTGCTTTATATTGAACGCTGAGGTTCAATAACTTCCTGTTGGTGTGTGATATATCTCCAAAACTTTTTGGATTCAGTCTTCGAAAGATTAAAAAAACGCATTGCACTGTGAAACTACGATAGTGAAATTTGAGTGTGGGACCCCTTTGAGGAAAACGGATGTTTATACAGTACCTTAGTTTTAATTATTGCTGCATTTTCTCTAGGGTGAAATCGACCAAGTGATCGTGGTGGGTGGCAGCACCCGCATCCCGCGCGTGCAGCAGGAGTTGCACGCTGCTCTGGGAAGCAACAGGGAGCTGGGCAAGAGCATCAACGCGGATGAGGCAGCAGCGCTCGGTGCAGCCTATCAGGCCGCCTACCTCAGCAAAGGTTTTAAGGTCAAAGTTTTCCAGGTGAAGGAGGCCAGTCTGTTCCCCATTCAGGTATGTGTGGCCTTTCTAGTTGTGGTGGGTGTTTTGTATGTCATTTGAATAAATGTAGAAGTGTGGAGTCTCGCAGCAAGCACGATACTTTCACATTTTGTTTACTTGTGCTGTGTCTTTCACTCTGTATATTGTCAACTTATCACAATGCATGCGTAATGCTGTATGTCCCAAATACCGTATTTTCATGCATATAACCAATCTCTACATGTAGCCTGCAACCCCGACTTTAAATACGAAAATAAAAAATCAAGCATTTTACCCCTTCATATCACCAGCACCCTTACTTTTGAAGAGCATTTTATTATTCTTAGATGAGGCTCATATGAAAGAAAATACAGTAATAATTTTGTGCAAGGTAAAGAGACAAGAGCTACAGCAAAAAGCCTCTTGTTTCTTTGCCCTGCTTTGCAGTGTCACATTTTGCACAGCCTGGACCACCTAGTCGGACCGCGTGTTTTAGTACAGTGGTCTAGTGGCTAATGCGCTCGACTGCTGACCTGCAGAATCAAATCCCCAGATCGAATGCCAGCCACACCGGTTGAATTTTCGATAAAGGCGAAGGTTGAGGTCCATGTGCTTAGATTTATTTGCATGGTGAAGAAGCCCAAGTGGTCGGATTTTCTAGAGCCCTCCACTAAAGCATCTCTCATAATCATATGGTGGTTTTGCGAGGTTAAACCCCAACAATTATTATTATATTAGCATGCTTTAGTAATGCCATGTGCATGCATTGCCACAGTAAAGCATGTTGTATGTGCCTTACCTGTACAAAAATTTGCTTGGAGTTTAGTATAATGGGGCTGATGTTCCGATACAGTTGCTCTCCTTAAGGTCGAAACTCTATGTATTATTTTAGGGCCTATAATCGGGTACAGCTTTAGAAGGCAGCAGTATATTTACCTCAAAGGTGGATACACACAAGTCTGCGACAATGGGCTCATGTGCTATACTTGCCATTCATTCCCGTCTGAAAATGTCGTGGAGTATATTGCCAGGATTATTTCTAACGGCAGAGACAATCTGCTGCTGCTCCTCGGCTTCTTTATGGTGCATTAGACTATGAGCAAAGTCAACTGAGATGTGTGATCTGTCATATCCAAAAGTATTGTATTTAAATGTACAAAGGCTCGCATCTTGTAACACTTAACCACTTGAAGGTTCAATAACTTCTGTTGATGTGTGTATACGTATCTCCAAAATTTTTTTGCGTTTGTCCTCGGTCATCTTCGTCATCAGCTGCAGGCTTTGCAATATTGTAGGGTACATTAACACATTAACTAGTGCCCTGTAGTAATGCATCGTGAAAATTAACTAGCATGCACATATGCATGTGTTGCTTGATGAGCAGTATAATCTCAGTTTTCACACTTTATAAAAAGAGGCTCTCTTTGTTAGTAGGTATGGTATGTGTTGGGTACAAATTCAGAATAAAGGGCACAAACAATAATTGAATAATTTGAGCAGCAAATGTAGACGTGGGAAGCCTTATACCTGAACTTTATACCTTCTAAATTTGATTTTTGTTTATACCGAGGTGTTTTCGCTGTGTATAAAACCAAAATTACATTGTCTACTGATAATATCTTGGAAATACAGTCGAGCCCGCTTGTAACGAACCTGAGCGTAACGCGGCATTCGTTTGCTGTATCCCGAAGTTCGTAGTAAATGAAACACAGCTCTTAAAAAAAGTTGCGAGTGAAAACGCAAACTTTTTTTGCCCCAAAAAGTCCATGATACACATGTTTCGAAGAGCAAATGCGATAAGGGCGGTCTCGAGTTAATTTAAAACGGCAGGGTGCTCGTTCGTCGAGGCCCGTGGCTTAAGCTGCATGAGGCACAGGCTCCAAAGTTTCAACGTTCACGCAATCTGATTCTTCCAAATCACTCTCGCCACGTACTTCATTCACAACGCCCTAATCCATGCATGATTCTGCAGTGTCCGCATCATCGGCCTTAATTAAACCATCGCAACAGATGTCCCACCCGCTCTCCCAGGTCGGAGTCGACGACGCGCTGCCACAAATCGCCGTCGTAGTGGCCCTGTTCGGAAGCTTAAGGCTTTGCATCGAGCCCGACGTCGACGAAGTCAGCCTCGCAAAAAACAGTTTTGTGCGCATGTAGTCGTCACGGCCACCTACGAAATATTTATCTCCACAGCTGAATACCGGGACGCCCGAAGCGGCAAGTTGGCTGCCAGATGGTCAACAGCTATGAGAAAGCGCTCCACAACGCGGCACCTAACGCGCGGATTACGCTCAAGCCAAGCGGTCACGCTTTTGACATCTTGTTGAGCGGCAGGAAAAAGCGTACTAGTCCTTTCGTCACTCATCATGACCACACACGCGCACCAAGAGCGAGCAAGACACGCACACACGACACACATGCCAGAATGCGTGGAATAGCTGTGGGCTCGTTTCCAGTCAGAAAACGAAACTATTTCGGGCCAGCGTGGCGGGCGTTGCGGAGCGGTGGAGACGGGCGAAGGAGTTGTGATCAAGAGAAGAGAGCAGACTTGCGAGAGAAGAGCTAGGAGTTGCGATAAAGAGAGAGGAGGATGCGGCGGGAGGGCAACCTTGAAAACCAAAACAAACTGGAAAGAGGTAGGTTGGGTAGCTTGCTTGAAAAGTCCGCGAAACTCTCACGTAGAAAAACTTGGAAAGAGTGCCTGCGCGCGCGGAAGTCAGAGCATGGCCGTCTGGATCGGTGCGCGCGGCGGTGTTCGAAGAATCGGCGGCCGTGGTCAAAAAATCGTTTTGTTGTACCGGCGGGTTTGCGTGGCCTCACGAACTTTTATATTTCGCGATTCGTTCCATGCAAATTGACAGCCGTTTTCACACTTCCACACGCGCACGGAAGGCAGGCCGAGTCGAGTGTGAAGTGAGCGAGAACAAGTCCTAAACACGAAACGAATCGCAAATTATCAGAGTCGGTGGGGTAGCGTATGCGGGTGCACTAGACGCAGACTATTGGATATAGTCGATGACCGAGGATGTTGGAAAATGGTCTGGTCACTCCAGGCAGGCGACGCCAACAACATACCAGTGATCAAAAACAAGGTAGATGCCCGACCGGTCTTCGAAAGGTCGGTGGCAGTGTGAAAACACTGGCCTCATCTGGCGATGCGGGGTGCTCAGGATAGCGGGGGGACAAAGGATGGAGGGGTACGTAACAAAAAGCAGTGGGGGCATGGAGGAAGGAAACAACTTTCCTTCCTCCATGGGTAGGGGAGAGCGGCAACTAGAGGGTCGCGGAGGCAGGGTCGGCAAATAACAATACGAATGTATGGGCACCTTGCCGATGCCTGATATGTGGCCAAAATTGGTTTCCCGGGAAGTCGGCAGACCGCTGACTTTGGTCGCTGTAACTGATCAGCGGTGCTTGGAGACGTTCGTTGTAAGTGCGACTGTGTCATTGAACCAATCTATATTTTCACGGTCGCGCGGATATTGTTCGTTAAGCAAAACTTGTAGCTTGGCAGCTTGATCCAGTGCAGTTTTCTCAATTTTTATGGCATATTTTGTTCCAATATTTTACGATGACGTAAGGAAAATTCGAGGGTCTTGAAAAAGTGAGAAATAAGATTTTGGGATCAAATTTTCATTTCCCCTCTTCAGTGGTACTGCGCGCATGCATGAAACATAACATAAAGGATGATTTGACGTCAAGTTTCTACTTAAACTCTAGATTTTTCTTTGGTTAGAGACAAAAGAATTTAGTTTTCTTGCAAATCTCGCTGTATTTGAATATAACCCTTCAATCCGTGTTTTATTTGATGCTGGATTGGTGCAGGTGGACTTTAGCCGAGATGTGGACACGGACGGCATCAAGAGCACGAAAGTGGTGCGGCGTGTCCTGTTTAACAGGAATAACCTCTACCCTCAAAAGAAGGTCATGACCTTCTCTCGATACGCAACAGACTTTGACTTCGATGTCAACTACGGAGACCTTAGTTTCCTACCTCACGAGGAGCTTGGGTAAGACTTTTCCCCCTGCTTTTCGTTGCTTTGTTTAAATTGTTGTTTTGGACTGGTGGCTGTTGATTTAATTTGTATGGCAAAGCCATGTCACATAGCAAAGTTTTAACACCAAAATAACTTTACTCTTACAATGTTTCGGACAGATGCTTATCAATGAATATCAGGTAATGAGACAATTTGATTTTGTTTGTTATTGTTTTGTTAGTGTTTGCTAGGTGAAAGTTCTGCAGCATATACTCGGCGTTTATTCAGGTCCTTGAAAGCCTTGAAAGCCCTTGAATTTGAAAAGTGCACTTTCAAGGCCCTTCAAAGTCCTGGAATTTCTCGCCATCCTTGAAAGTCCTTGAATTCCCTGAGCAGTGCACTCTCATATTGACATTGCAACCTCACAATTTCGGTACATTGATGTGTCAACCTGTCAAACTCCCCAATTCTGAAGCAGCAACACGGCGTGGGTGCACATGATCCCATTTTGCAAAACTGCATGTGAAAAGAAAATTAGTTTGTGGCGTGGGTGAAGCAGTGAATGTGATAGCAAGAAATTACATTGTCACAAGAAGGACAAGCAACCCCATACATGCAATGCGCAGCTCAAGCATGGAGGACACACAAAAAGAAAGCGCACAGGAAGAATGCTGATGATCAACTTTCATAGCTCGAGATTGGAAGCGTGCTGCTTAAACAAATCAAGAAGTGTGCTAGAAAAGAACACGCGTGTATCCAGAGGATGTCTGTAAATTAACCACTGTCACAGTTTTTACTTCTTGGTTGCTGAGCCACGTGCTGCGAGTGTGAACTGTGCACAAGCCGACACTCTTGATGGGGTGGTGCCATCAAATTTCAAGGCTATAGTAAGCACCGAGTGGGTTTAAGAATATATTTAAGTCACTTCCCAAGTATGCCTAAATGTTCATTCTCCTAATCGAAGCCCATCGCGGGCGCATTCAGCTCTGACATAGCTCTATAGGAAGGGCAACGAAAGTTCTAGTGACGTCACACGTAGTCAGGCGAGTGAGCTCTGGACTTCTATCCCATACATACCGGCAAAGCATCGCGGCTGGTGCAGGTAGCCGCGAGTTTAAACGTTTTGCAGGTGCTTGTGTGGCACATGTGTACGAGAGTTAACAATACTCAGCATGACGCATGCAGGGCTTTGTGATCACGTGACTGTCAGCTACACTGATACGGACCTGCCCAAGTCGGTCCCCACAAACAGGAACTGAAAATTTTCATATCAAAAAGGCGAAAAATTATATAGCAAGAATAAAGTAATCTTGGTGCGTGTATCGTGCTTACTGGAGCTATGATTAAAGCTTGCACAAAGAGCGTGCAAGCCACAAATATTGTGGCACGGATCCTTTAATGCCTGACTACACATACCGTGGAAGCCCATCAGTGCATAACTTCTAGACATGGCATCGTACCCTCACTCTGTGTAGAGTGTGGGAGAGAGTGCGAGAAGTTATTAGGACTATGCTCTTTTTTTTATAATTGCGACATCCATATATTTATCGTCAGTGTAGTAAAATTGGTAATTTTTGAAAATTTTAGAGTAAAAAATTCCAACTTAGCATGCCGCTTTGAGTCCTTGAAAAACTTGCAACAGGTTCTCGAGAGTCCTTAAATATCCTTGAATTTTTGCTTTGGAAACTTGTACCCTGATACTGTATTTTTTTGCATATAACTCGCACTCACGAGAAAACGATGCAGTTGTGCTTATAAAGTGGTGGTTGTGGGTTGCATGCATGTTTTTTTCTTTCTTTTTCTTTTTGTGGAGTTAAAGTTAAGAGTGCGGGTTATATCAGGGGTGAGTTATATACGAGAAAATATGGTGAGATTTTTTTTTTGTGTAGACATATTCAATTCAGTTTATCCAAGATGATGTGCATGATGTCATGCCACAGATGACACGGCATTCCAACGAATAGCTTGAATAAGTGTTATGCAGTATTTCCATATCAGTGAAACTTCATTTTCACATTTTGCTGCTAGCATGGTGATATTGGGTGCACATAGCTGTAATATCAATGCATTTATGCGGTGTGAAACATATCTTGTGTGATTTACCAGAGATTAAAAAAAAAAAACACTAACTAAACACTAAGGTGTGCTTTTTTTTCCTGGTCATTTCTAGCTTCACTCTGGTTCAATGCTTAACTGCTATGCCGTAGGCTATTATTGTTCTGTGTGCGAGTACACATTTGTGAACATCAATACCTTGTCCCCTTCTTTCTGTCGCAGCAACTTCGGATCGCTGAATATCAGCAAAGTGTCTTTGACTGGGGTGGCAGAAGCAATTCAAAAGCATGCTGACAGTGCTGAGCCCAAGGGCATCAAAGCTCACTTTAGGCTGGATGAAAGTGGCCTGCTTCACCTAGACTCTGTAAGTGCAGTTTTTTTTTTGTAGCAAATGGCATAAGGAGCATGTGGTGTTAATCTCTAGTTACTACAGCATTTTTAACCTCCTGTGTGTGTCCTGTTGAAACAAACTCTATCAATCTAGTCTTTTATATATTCGCAATTATGTTTAAACGTATGGTTGGTTTTCTTTAAGCTTTTTGTTTAAAAGTAAAAACCCCGTTTTGCTTCAGACAAAAGTTCTGTGTACTAGCCAGGACTGGGCCTCTTCGATTTTGGCAATCCTGATAACTGGCCAGTCTTTGTCGCCAGAGGAGGTGGAAAACATTGTTCTAGCACATGTGGCCACGAAGAAATCCAGGAAGCTGCTCGGCCAAACGTGCCTCCTCATAACTGTCCTGTTGTCCCAAATAAAAACGAAGACGTGAGGGTCCGTGCAACAATTTACTCAACAGCAGGAAGCACCAGTGGCACTATCGGTAAAATCGTGCGAGATTGCCTGAACCAGCTATTTTCAGCCCAATACATTCTCCCTTCCTAATCTTCTTCCCATTACTTTTTTTTTGAGTAGATGATATTTGGATTTCTTTATAGCCGACATGTTCTCATTTTTTGAAAGGGAACACTTTTAGTGTGTTATGTTAACATGTTTTAATGGCCTTTCTTTAGTTTGTTAGGGAGTGTGCATGTATCTGTTAATAAAGGGATACCAAAGTGAAATGCTAACTTGATTTAGATTGTTAAACAGTACTCTGAGAACTCTATTGTCACAAGATTCCCTGTAACAAGTTCATTATTGGCTGAAAAAGTTAAGGTTGAGTTCTTATTTTGAAATTTTGCGTTGAAATCTCAGTGTCCATCACGAAGTTCGAAATGTATTTTTGGGATTTTCGCGACATGGGCTTGTTGAAATTTTCTGAAATTTCGTGCATTAGGTCTCTGGCACCCACAGACGACAATGTACTTCATTTGTGCTGATTAGAAACTACACAGGACCCAGTGCACGTCGTCTCAATCGATGACTTCACAATGTTTGATCGGGGAGTCTCAGGGTGGCGTCTCTACCCACCGCATATTATTTATAGCGCGTTTTCTCGCTTGCCAAGCGTTTTCTCATGGTAAGAGTGGTGTTGTAGATATTGTGAAATTGTACTTCAATGATATGAAAAAAATATTTTCTTACTGTCCCTTTAAAGGAAGAAAATAATGCATCTTTACTGACACAGCTTCAGGTGCCTGTTGCTAGCCAATTGGGTTGCCAGCGATTGTTCATCCGATCAACTAGGCACTTTTAAAAAATGCAAAATTTATGTTGTGGCAGGAACTGATAAAATTGTTCGCACTTCTCTTCCTTATTTTTTCTAATTTTAGAAGCAATGGTGTACTATTTATATTTCATTTTATTACAAAGTTTGTATTATTTATGGGGTGTGCGGTAATGGTGAATTTTGAAATCTTATCGAATAGTGACGACACTGAATCTAATACCTTACAAAAAGTTTAGGAATAGTAAGGCAGCTGTTTTCTAAGATGCTCTAGAATTCTAGAGCATTTTCAGATGAATATCCACAAATTTTAACAAAGCAGTACGACTGGTACATTCCGCCTTTAAACACACACCACAGTTTAGTAAATTTAGGCAAGCTTGTTTCCTGCAGCAATGACAGCCTCAGTGATATTTTGCAACTGTAGGACAAAATATGTTGCCATAGAATTAAAAAAGGTATTTTGTCGCTAGCCTTTAAGTAAAGCTGAAAGGTAAAAATTAAACAGCGTTGAACTAAATGCCACGCATACAGCTAGATGTATATTGAAACAAACACGCTAGATATCACACCAATGGCCCCAAGTGCCGATGGCAGGTAAACGTCAGTGTTGAACAGTGCATCTCTACAAACAACACACACAAACACAATATTTACATCTTTTGTTACTCATGTTCGAAATTGCACTTTTGAAGCAGAGTGCAGCTGTCTCTGCCTTTCTATGATGATGACAGTTGGCTGAACCTTGGTGCAGCACAGAAAAAGACATAAGGACAAGGGACCAACAAAGATGGGTGCTGCTGGTTCCTTGTTTTTTCGTCTTTGTCTGCACTGTACGCTAGTACAATATGAAGATACCAACTAGCCTGTATCGATACACTACTTGAATTGGTTCAGGACACTTTCACTTTTGCAACGATGCAGCTTTAGAGAACGCTGTATTGTTGCTATCTTGATGGCCGGACAAAAACGCATTTGTCCAGTCCGAATAGCATTCATAGTCCCGTAAAAGCTTAGGGCTGCATGGATCTTGGTTGCTATGTGGGCTTGTTGGTTATTCGGCTCGCTATAAAAAAATTTTGCGAGTGTTCACACACTCCTACAATTTCAACATCCCTGTTTATGAAAATGTGCACTCATGCATGTGCTATAGCCTGAGTGAGGTAATGATTATGTTTGATGATGTTTGCTTCTTATTTTGTAGGCATTAAAGAGCAAGGCAGACATTGGTATTGCTAAGTTCTCACACTTGATTTATCCTATTCTTGCTTTAATTTTTCTGTCCTGCATTTTTGCTTGTTGTCATGCTCGGCTGCACCTTCAGTTGCATGAAATGGAACACACATTAGGATTGCTTCGTATTTCTTTTCCTCGCTACTTGTCTTCTGTGTTTGTTCTGTGCATGTGCAATCGCTGTGCAGTGACCTGTGTGTTTGACTAAACGAAGCCAAGTTCATAGTATTGCAGCTTTTTTTTTTCCTTATTAAAGATGGCATCATGTAATCATACACGCTTACTTGGTTTGTTTATCAGATTGTGCGATTGCTTAACCTAAGCTTTTAGTCTGTATTGATGAACCAAGGAAATAGTGAATGTTCAGAGTGTATAACGATGTCATAAAGTTTTATTAAGAAAAAGGCACTTTGTGCATTGCTACACTTTTCAGTGTTTAAAAGAACACACAGGTCAGCACACATATAGCTTGTGCATCTCACTTCTGCCTGCTTTGCTTGCCTTCTGTGCTTCCTCAAACGTTCTTACATGCAAGTTTGGACTATCTGGTGGCTGGTTGGCATGAAGTATAAAGAGTGGATAATACCTGTGTCGCATGGGTGTTTGGAAGGTCTTTCAACCAAAAGTGTAACATTGGACATTTTTAAGGACATCGAAGCAATATACTCTCTCGAGTAACCGGAGCATCCCACAACTCTATCGAAACCTTAATAGCCACTGAGCAACGGAAGCTGAAACGGCATGAATATGTCCTTTTGTTCAGTGTGCTCATATTTTCGATTAGAAAGAAAAAAGTCTAACCAGTATGTCTTAAAAGCAATACTACGGAAGTGTTGTGCATGATTCAATGAAGTATTTATACCACTCAAAATGTTCACACTGCACCTACTATTGGCAACAGCCACGTTACCGTGTGCCGATTACAGTGTTTCACTCTCCACAGTTTCACTGCTCACCAACTAAAGAACTAAATATGCATTCATAATCACGAATAAACATGCTACTAAAATGTTCTAATAAGAACAACTGACGAATTCAGTTTTTCAATATATTTAATACATTCAACGTTGGGGATGGGGGGGGAGGAGAGGGGGGCATGTATATGAAAATAATTATTTGCAGTGCCACGAGATTTCTGTGAAAAATGCCTAAACCACTTAATGGCTGTTCAAAACCGCCGTGTAGCAGCGAAACAACTTTGTCGAGTTTGTAGAGTTGTGGCAGTTCGGTGGCCATTGACTGGCCTTTCAAAAGTGCCCACGTGACACAGGTGTAGAAGGGTGTGGGGATATAAGCCAAAGCAGCAAACGGTGACAAGGATGCATCGAAGGTATGCAAACGAAGTGGAAACAGTTTCGCCACTGTTGGTACTACTCGGGAGCGCGCACTAGCTTCGCTGCTCACTCTTTCACCATTTCTTCACGCGCAGGTCAGTTACCTTTTCGACAAAACGATTCCACTTCCTGGAGCTCCGAAGCAAAAGGTTATTAAAAAAGACCCACCGCCTGCTCCCAAGCCGGTAAATTATTTGCGCGTGTGTGTGTTTGAAGAGGCAGCGCAGCCTTTAGGGACATGTTTACCGTTTGACGATGAAGACGTCAAGTGCTCTTTTGTACATTCGAGACAAAAAGTTGAAGCCGTAATTATTTCGGAAGTTAAGATTCTTATTTATGTTGGCATACAAAGTGGTGATGTATTCGTATCTATAAGCGAAATTAAATTATTGGTACCTCTGGAACTAAATTTCTATGCACGGGATTTACTGCCGTGAATATTTGCACAAAGTGAATGTTCTTTTAAAGTTGTGATTTAATAACTCGCAAGGAACGCAGACTGTCAGTCTTTGTGAGCTATCCACATAACGAATTTAAGATTTTTTTTTATGTTACTGTCTGATGCTTGTATTAGGTGCGATAGGAAGGCATCTATTCAGAGAGACATTACTCTACTCAATAAATGTGAACGAAATGATGCTCTGTGTAACACCAGCATGCTTGCAAGGGTCTGCTACTTCTGTGATCCTTGGGTTCTGGGTGTTGTACTCCTCAAAGGCAATATTGGTCTTGTTGTATTGACCTGGTGGTGTACTGGTTCCTTTGAGATGTTGAGTTTCAACAACAAATCCAGCAAACTGTTTTGGAAAATTGTAAGACGAGGTGCACCTACTAGCTTAAGATTCAATGCTGTGTGCAGTAGGTCTGAGGAGCTTCTTTTGCAGAGAACATTTTCTCGCACATGGCAATACTCAAAGCGCATGGCATTACTCGTAGCTGTTACATTAGGCACTACTAACAACAGCACCGTGTGGTGACGCTTGCAATGAATATGTTGGGCTGAAATGTTGTGCATTCGTGAAGTATTTCTGTTCTTCATAGATTTGAGAGCGTTGAGATTCTGCAGCAGGAAATCTGTGGATGTGACGCTTAGTAGGAGGATTGTCATTGTGACAATCCTTTTACTTGCAGGCATTTGTGGCATTTGTTGCTACACTTACAATGTCACAACATCATACTAATTATTATGGAACAGGCCTTAGTATATAAGTATGCTTGTGTTGCTTTTCTCTGGAAGTGTATTGATTTGTTTATCTTAACGATGAAACAATTTTTTTAGACATTTCCTAATGTATGGATCACATGTGTTCCTGAAACAAATTTGGCGTGTCTGTTTTGGACTGAGGTTTAGCTAAATGAAGCATATATCCTTATGGAAGGCTGCGTTCTATTGGGAATTTTGACATTTTACTGAAACAACTGTGCGTGAAATTTCAGTTCTTGTAATTGGACTAATTACACATGCTAATTGTATATATTTACCAAACTTGAACCAACACTTTCTTAGGCTCCTTCATATGGGATGACCTATAGTGTTAAAGGCCAACTCTGGCGATTTTTTTTTTTACCATGCCAAGATAATGATGCTTTCATGTTCCTTAGACACTCTTCTCACACGCCCAATAACCGAAATGCTAAAAAAATTTGAAAATAATTTTTAATTACCGAAAAACCGCAAAACTGAAACCCAACCGAGTGCGCTTCTACGTGTGACATGAAGATTTGCCTGACGCTTCCGGAACCTGCCTGATTGCACATAATGCATGTCGGATGGTACTACCTGTCCACGCCGTCCGCGGCGATCGGCTAAAACGCTTACACTGTTATGGTGAATATATGGCAAATCGTGTGTGACTCACAACGGAACACCACCTGGCACCTATCACACGCCCACCAACACGGGAAAGGAAATCGCACGCTCAACCAAGGAAGCGTCGGCCAAACTCACACAATCCATAGCAGACAAGCAGACGCTGCAGTGGCACATCAGTTCGTTGCTTCTGCCTGGCAAAACTCAACACCAGACACACAATGTTGCCGTGAATTCTGTCAAGCGAGGTGAGCGTTTCGAGGCAAGCTATAAGTCATTTGAAAAAAAAATCTGCGAAACTCTCAAGTCTTCGATTCGACCAAGTGAATTTCATTGACCTCGAAAAATTGCCGGAGGTGGCCTTTAAGTAGCATCCACCACAGTGGCGAGCGATCACGGTGCTTGGCCGCTGACATGAAGGTTGTGGGTTCAGTCTCGGCTCTGGTGGTCACATTTCAATTTATTTATTAATTTTATTTTATTTGGTTACATACTGCCGGCCTCCCATGAAGGCCTTAGGCAGGAGTGGGGCATAAATAAGCAACACAACACAAGCTCGGAAAAAAGAAGATAAGAAAAAGAAGTACATAAAGTGATATATTGTGAAATAGTGACATTGAAAGATATGCAAAAACAAGATGAAACGAACTTTGTGGCATTAAGAGGTTACAAAGCCCAAACCACCCATATTACAATAACCCGCACAGCATAGAGCCCATACAAGCACTGATCCCGCACTCTCATGGCACAAAAAAAATTGAGGCACAATGCTTGAGGCCTGTGTGCTGTACAATGTCGGTGCCCATTAAAGAACACCAGATGTTCATAATTTCCAGAGCCCACCGCTATGGTGTGTCTCATAATTGTATTGTGGCTTTGGCATGTGAAACAACTATTATACTAGTCTTAAAAGGCCAGTCAACAGGCTCCGACTTTTTTGTTACACCCCCCAAACAAGCTCGGTAATAGGTAGAGTAGACCGCAGCGATCACGTTTTCTGAATATTACAGAGCTGCGCGCCGCGCACAGCCTTCATTTCAGAAAACAATTCCCGCGCTCCTTTCCTATGCCTGACCAATCTCATTGCGCGCGCAGTGACGGCAACTCGGCGATCGGCGACGTGACGCAGCACGTCGATTGGTCTAAACCAGGTCTGGACAAACAGTAGTGAAGTCAACGGCAGTTCCTGTTCCCACCCACAGCTACAACAGATGTGTTGCGACTGATGGAGTTCGCCAACGATGTCAATCGCTCGCGTCTTGTCACATTGCCGAAGTGTGCAGAGTCACGATGTTGGGCCATGCTTTCCCCTTCCTCTGAAGGAGAAGGGTGGCGAGACCGTGCGAAAATGTGAAATCAGCTGAACTTCTAGCTTCTGTAACTTCCTTAATATAGCACGTATTTGTAGAATTCTTGCGGCAGCATGTTGACGAAGTAAAAGTGCCTATTCTATTTTTCTTTACAATTTTTGAACCTTGGGGTTGTGTACTGGCCCTTTAAATAGCGGTTTTTATCATAATCATTAGACCATGTCATGAACTGTGGCTTTATTACAATTTTTTTTAAGAGCAACTTTCTGAATTCTTTTTTTGGTGTCGCCACGAAATGATTCATTTAACTCGCCCCCTATATGAGTTAGTCATTGTTCTGCTTTATCTGGGGTTTACAGGCAGAGGCGACCTTTGAGAAGACGGTTGAGGAAGTGGTTCCTCCCGCCGAGGAGTCGACCCTGTCACGACTAGGAAGCACCCTGGGAAAATTGTTTTCTGGAAGTTCAGATGAGTCTGCAAAGGTGAGAAAACTGCTGCTGTCACCTGCTGTGGCAGCCCAGAGGCTATGGCATTTGTTGCGATAAGGGAAAAGCATGAGGGCATGGGTTTGATTTCCGGCCATGGTGGCTGCATTTTGATAGTGATGGAATGTGAAATGGGCCTCTTTACTTAGGTTTTAGTCCTCAACCCCTGGATCTTCAATGGCACTTAATAACTCAGTCTGGTGCATGCGCTTTAGTGCAAGAATAAGGCGGAATGCAGTCATTTAGTAGACACGGTGAGACGGCAGGCTGTGAAATCTTCTGTGAAAACACTGTAGTAAAGGTGGGGCAGATTAGCACATTTAGAGAAACTTGCAATGCATGGAAGCATCGAAAGATCAAAGCTACTGTAGCTACTGCCGTGGCGGAACAGAGGTCCTGGTGCTCGGCTGCTATGCCGAAGGTCCCATCTCAAATTCAATAAAACACAATTTGCATGGTTTTTGTGAAACCAATGTAAACATACCTTTCGCACGTGACAGCTACGTTTATAAAAATAAAAATTTGACCACTTTTTTTTTCATTGCTGTGTGCATTCTAATTGTATTTTGGTTTTGGCATGTAAAGCTGAAGAATTGCGTTTATCTCCTCGTCAATGAGTAAGACGCTTGTAGTCATCTGTGCAGTGGCTTGCATCCACGTCTCCTGCATGTAAAAATTTTCTCTTGTGCAGGAGGAGGGTGGCCAAGAAGCGGACAATAGTACTGCACAGGCCCACGAGAACACCACTGCCAGCCATGATAGCGAGAACAGGATGCAGGTAAAGTGCTTGGTGCTTCCGGTTCGACCGTGACTTGTTCTGACCTTCTCGGATCTTGTGGGAGGGCCTAGTTTCATTGCTGCTTAATCTATGGGCTATGATGCACCATATTCAGTGCAATTGTTTCATCTTTGTCATAGTTTATAGGAAAGACTTATGGTGTGTTCTTTAGAAAGATGTGGGGGGGGGGGGGGGGACGAGACCGTGATTTCATTTCATCGACTGAGTGAATTATCAAGTGTAATCTTTTTGCTGCCATGAACTTGTGATTAACTCTTTCTCTACTATTGACGTCTGTAGTCATGAGGTTTCGTATCAAAACGACCGGTTACAACTAAACTCGTCGCCGGCAAAAATCGTTCTCTCACGTTACCAATGATTACTATACTTTTCATAGTGGTGTTACTTGGTGCTAGATGGCTGTACTTGTCCATTTTGTGCCATCTGTGTCTCGGCTTTCATTAAAATGAAAGCCGAGACACCAAATATGGTGTATTTTCTTTGAGTTATTCTTTGTTATTCAATAGAGAAATAAATGAACCCTATTGTTGAAAGGATGGTATCATTTCATTCAGAAAAAGAAAAAAGCTGTACCAATTGAGCAAAAATTTTTTTTGCTATCTTTTGGTACCACTTTCTTTTTGGTAGTTGGGAAAGGGCTTTGAACTTTTTAAATTTCAGTGTGGAAAATGTTCTTGAATTTCATATTCAGTCTACTTTCCTTATTTTAAGTCTTGGCTGAAGTTTGAATCATCTAGAGTTGAATAAAATGTGGTGGTTAGCGTAATTATTGGTCCCGTCAAAGTACCCAGCAGTAGGAATTATGAAAGTGTGAGCATGTGTTGGCTTCTTGAAACCACGTTGTCATTTGTGAGCTCCCACAATCTCTTTTTTTTTAAACAATGCTCATCTGTCTTCGCGAAGCCAAAATGTTAAAAAAACTGGAACCCTTGTTTGACTACCTGACTTCAGCTATGTAAGCTTTGAAGTGTGCTCAAGTAGGCGAATCATATTTTGAAGTTTGTTTGAGATAATGTTGGAACTGGTGTTAAAATTGTTGCTTGCAATCTGCACTTGTCCTTCGTGAGGATTGTTATGTCATAAGCGGTAATTTGTTTCTAATGAGTACGGCACCTGTGCCTTCTTTCGAAACTGTCAGAAAAAAGAAAATTGGTAACTGGTATATTATATATGGTGTAGTTTGAAAAAGTAAAGGATTGCCCAGGAAAGTCAAGTATGCTAGTTCAGAAGCATCTAGGGGTAAAAATGCTGCTGAGGAGAAAACAACTTGTGAAATAAAGAAAGCTAATTTTCCTTTCAGTTTGTATCGCATTGTCCAGAAGCTTGCAATGTGTCCGTTTCCATGTTTAATGCATATATTTTCTAAACGTATACAGGCTGAGCAGAGAAGCTTGGATGGCGATGCTGCCGGCAATGAAACTGTCAAGACTAAAGTGGTCACAATCAAAGAGCCGGTGGCCATTCGCTTGACTCTCGTGGACCGCATGGAAATGAACGCTGAGCAGCTTGCAGAGTCCATCAAGAAGTAAGTGTGCAGAAGTTTGAGCAAACAGGGAAGTGATAGACATGGTACAAATGCACGGCTGTTCAACTAAAATGCAGGCTACGGGGTTTATAGATCAAGACTGTGATTCTCCAGTAGCCACAGCAACAGTTTAGGACATCTCAGCGCGAGTGAACAAGATGTTCTCGGGTTTCCTTTTAACAGCTTTGCCGTAAAAAGGGCCCACACGTGCAGCTATGTCAAGAAAGAAAGGAAGTACGAAGGTTTCAAAAGCTTTATCGGACGTGTGTTCCTTTGCAGGCTCTCTGACCTGGAAAACAAGGATAAGGCAAAGCTTGCAAGGGACCACGCAAGGAATGCCTTGGAGTCGTTCCTGCATGAAACCAAAGACAAGATGTACAGCGAGGAGTACGAGAAGGCCTCCACCGAGGTGGAGCGCCAGAACATCATTGCCAAGCTCACAGAGGGTTCGGACTGGCTTGAGTACGAATCGGACAATGCCGAGACCAAGGCAAGAATGCACTTGCTTCACAGTTTGGTTGTCGAAGTGATGTGTCGTCTGTTCTGGTACTGTTCATGTTGGAGCACCTCAAGCATCAAGATAGGAGGTGTTGGTTGTGTGGCAGAATGACGAAGCTTGCACTAATTATACTGTTGAAACACGGACTTGCTTAATGAAAGGTGTTTCATTCAGAAGGCGAGTTTTGCATATGCATTTTAAGAAAAATGTGTGTATATTATGTCTCCACAATAAAGAAACCCTTCTGTGTGGGGAAGACTTAATAAGACTGTAGTTGTAGTGGCACGACTATAAAGTTTGGCACTTAACATCTTCACTGCATGAGAGAGAGGTGTAATAATTTAATGTGAGGTGTAGTTGCAGAGTAGGGTAAGTGACTGCGGAGCTAGGTTTTTTCTGTTTTATGCTAAGCCTTGTGGTTTATTAAGAAACAGATGGTTTCCCCCTTTTGATTGTACACTCAAACCTCGTTATAACAAATCTGGATATAAGGAAATATTAATTATAATGAAGTAAGTGAAAAAAGTCTTGCAATAGTGCTAAACTATACCTTTATAATGAATTTTTGGATATAGCAAACCTATTTTTCTGCAAAATGTAATATTGTTGTCAGGAGCTTTGAGTGTACTAGTTTTCAGATATAACAAACTTATTTTGTGTGAGATGCAATTTTGTTATAAGGAGGTTTGGGTGTACTAGTCTGTTCTAGTTTTGATTCCTGGGAAACACTCAGAGTTGCAGCACCTATAATACACTCGAGGTCGTGATATTTTTGTGCATCTTTCATACAACTTTTGTCGCAGACTTTCATTCGTAAAATATGGTCAGAAAAATTTATTCGAATGTGTGTATTGTGTGTGCTTGTCTGAACATAAGCAAGATATTGTTTTTTATATAGGCCTTCAAGGAGAAGCTGTCTGGCTTGACACGGCTTGTCAAGGACCTGTTCGACCGTGTACAAGAACACCGGGAGCGACCAGGAGCCCTGGTTGCTCTGAACAACATGCTGAATGCCAGCGAGGTGTACCTGTCGGCCATCACTGGCCTCCAGGACCAGGTCTTCACTGTCGTTGAGATTGAAACGCTGTCTAGGATCATCAACGAAACTAAGGTGAATATAGTCTGTTGATTAATCGTATTGTTGTGGCATTCTGTCTTGCCCCGCCACGGTGGTGTAGTGGCTAAGGTACTCGGCTGCTGACTCGCAGGTCACGGGTTCCAATCCCGACTGCGGCGGCTGCATTTCCGATGGAGGCGGAAATGTTGTAGGCCCGTGTGCTCAGATTTGGGTGCACGTTAAAGAACCCCAGGTGGTCGAAATTTCCGGAGCCCTTTACTACGGCGTCTCTCATAATCGTATGGTGGCTTTGGGACGTTAAACCCCACATATCAATCAATGGCATTCTGTCTTGGCAAGATGTGTAACATGTACACTGCCCATACATTGAAACCAAACTGCAATATAGTTAAGCCTGCTTATAACAAATCTCCATATAATGAATTTCACGATATAATAATGTTTTGCTATTCCCAGCCATTTCTCCGTAGGAGCACATGTATTTGCAACCTCTATGTAATAAAGTAACAGCTGGAGACAACCTTTATATAACGAATTGACCCCACGGAAAACCTATAGAGCGAACAAGAAAACGAAGTGGTCGCAAATTCTAACACCTGCGAGAAGACTACTATAGACTTACCTTAATAAAACCAAAGTTTTAGCACGAAGCAAAATTTATTTAAGACACAAAAGCCGCAAGCAAATAGAGAAATACTGTATGCAAAGCTTGCAGCGCTGCAGCCATTGCGCTAGCGTTTGTCACTCAACAAGAGCATGCGAAAGGCTAGTGTGCGACGTCGGCCTTGGGCTGATGGCTATCTAACACAGAATTGTCCAACAGTTGCCTTCTAGCAAAAAAAAAGCTTTACCATCCATTTCAGTCTCAGGCAGGCGAAAGGCCCAACGCATCTTGGTAGCTTTCGACTGCTCGTGCTGCCGTCGCCAGTAGCAAACACAAACTCGTCGACTCCAAGGTGCTTACAAGCAGCCCTGTGGCCATTGTTTAGTGCATGGTTAATCACTTTCAACTTGAAAGCAGCCGTGGAACTTTCGTGTCGCCCCATAGCGTAACCACAGAACTAACCATGCCAGAGGAGGTCATGGAACGGACACAATGTACTACAATACACGTGGCAATGCGCCTCTTTAGCTTAGCTTGAATTAAACGGTGGCTCGTGTTATAACCTCTGAGATCGGCAGCACGCGCCTTTATCTCGGAGGCCATGCTTGTGCGTTGATAGTACGCATCATGCTTAAGAGATAGTGCCAGGCTTTTGTGCACTATCATCATTAGTTGTTTGAAGGAGCAGACAACATTTCTTCTTCAATTTTTGGGGGGTGCGATAATTGCTCGCGGGAAAAAGAAATCGCTTTTTTGCTGGGCAGTGCGAGGGGTGCGAGAATTATGCGAATGTGAAGATTACATGAGTAGATACGGCACTAGTAATTATCGTTTAGGAGATAATTAGGGCTGCAGAAGTTGCGTCTTTTACTTTTCTCAACCTCTCTCTCTATGCTTCAGCACTAACAATCATAAACTGGAGATGGCAGTCGGGCTTAAGGGGATTACCGTATTTACTCGATTCTACTGCGCCCTCGATTGTAACGCGCACCCGATTTCCACGACGAAAAAAAAAGAAAAAAGTAAGACATCAATTGCATCGCGCACCCATTTTTCTCGCTGGCCCGCACGATCACACCACTCGAAAAAACAACTCCTTTCCGGAGCATCTTCCAAATAAATATGAGATACGGGGGAAGCTCGTGCCCATCTCACGTGTAACAGAGCATTGCCGTCACTGTAGTTTTACCGTGGACCGATGTCGGCACGTGAACTTGCTTCGCCCCCTTCTTCTCGATGGTTGTGGTGCCAGGTATGTCGAAGTGAAGAGGCGTCTGATCGGCATTTCCGATTTGCCCAAGCAGGTAGCCGTTGTTGTGCCGCAAGTTTAGAACGAACCTCTGAAAACTGTGAAGCTTTTCATCGTACTCCTCCGCAAAACTTTTTCGCATATGCCCGTTCACCTTCGGAGGGAAAAGCCTTTCCTCTTCATAAAGTTAGTTAGCCAGCACCTGCTCGCTTTAAACTGGCTCCGCATTAGACCTTTTTCTAAGGCTAATTGCATAGCCCCCACTTGGAGCAGTTCTGTCGTCACGGGCCGCTGTGCTGCTCGCTGCTCAAGCACATACTCGCCAAGCAGTTCTTCAATTTGCGGAAAGCGACCCTGCTGTGGTCCACTGAAGCCTTTGCGTGACGCTTTGCTGTCGACAATCTTTTGCTTTTGTTTCCGCAAGTCCGGCACGCACGTTTCGGGAACTCCGAACGACCGTGATGCGGCCCGATTTCCATCCGTTTCTGCACACGTGATGATTTTTCTTTTAAAAGCGGCATCGTGGTGCACTCGTCGAGTTTTTGGAGTCTGCCCTTTCATGCCGTCGATGCTAATGCACTACAAGATGACGAAGTCCTCAGCACACGTACGAAGTGCTGCACAAGGGAAACACATAGGCAGAAATGGCCGACGCGCCATGCAGACGCACGTAGGGGGCGGCCATTTCGGAAATACCGATGGCAATAGAATGACTGTATTCATTTTTTTTCGTACTCGATTCTAACGCGCATGCGATTTATGAACTCGCTTAACCGGAAAAAAGGTGCGTGTTAGATTCGAGTAATTACGGTATCTTTACTACAGTCGAATCTCGATAATTCAAACTCGAAGCGGCCCAAAAATTTGTTCGAATTAAAAGAAGTTCGAATTAATGAAAGCTAAATAAACAGAGCGCTCTTTATGCAGTGGCGCATGTGCACTGAGCTAACACACGAGGAAGAAGTTTCAGAAGACTTACATTTATTCACAAATCGCAGGACAAGTAATCGGTGATGTGTCTGCACACGTTTGCCTTGCAGCGAGTCAATCAGTTTCGCACGCAGCTTGCAAAGCATTTCTACTTCGGCTTCAGCATTCTCCTGGCAAGAGAAGTTATGCGTGGAGATGTCCAATGTGGACACTTTCTAAAGAGGACGACAACGATAACTGCGTAGTGGACGCAGAGAGAAGCAGATCGGCATTTGAAAGAAAACCAACACTTCACGGCAGCTTTTTTTTTCTCTCTCTTTCTTTGCACGTGTCGTTGAAAGGAGAAAGGTTACATGGCAGGGATGGGAAAGGGGGACGTGTGGCACCAGCCAACACCACCTAGAGGAAATTCTTTCCAGGCCGGGGGCTGCCTCTGTGACGTAGCCGGGATGGGGCCGACGGAAGCGGGGGAACGCTTGAACAGAAGTCCTTATATTATTTATTCAGACACCCTAAGGGCGCCGGAGGGCATTACGGAGGGCATAAGTTGTGCGCTTGGCTGACTTTTTTTGCTGCTACACGTGTAATATACTTATATAATAATATCTGGGGTTTAACGTCCCAAAACCAAGATATGATTATGAGAGACGCTGTAGTGGAGGGCTCTGGAAATTTTGACCACTTGGGGTTCTTTAACGTGCACCTAAATCTAAGTACTACACGTGTAATATACTGAATAAAATTAGGAAGGGAAAGACAAAAGAGACCACTCATATTTACACCCATCGCCGTTTTATTCATTTATTTGTTAGAGTTTGCAGCTTCCGCTTTTTAGACTTGTTGTCCGGGTCCGAAACTTTGTTGTTCAATCGCCGGCAAAAGTTCTTCAGCAGAATGTTCGTGCTGCACCACAATATATATTTGAGCGCCACTTCACTTGCGTGTCCCTTTTCACAAACGTCGAAATCTGAAGGCTCCTCGTCGCTGAGCAGTTGCAATGTTAGTTCTGTGGCCACTTGACGTTGGTTTCGAACTTTTAAAAATTCGGCACATTTGGAAAGCTCTTCCACAACAACGTAATTATGAGCCACCGCATTCACAGCTGGCATTGCTGGGTAAACCAGCCCTCCCCTGTCAATTTCTTTGACAAGACTGTACATGCGATTTTCCGGAGAAACTGCGACAGTGTTGTCAATTGTGAGGAGCTCTCTGAATTTGTCACATTTTAACCTCTTCACAGCGATGTGCACCGAGTAACCAGCAACATAGGTAACCACTGGAATGACATCCTTCAGTTTTGATAGCGCCTCCTGGGTCACAACAACGTTGAATTTTCCACTTGGCACTGCTGCCTGCGTTTGGAGCTCTTCCCAATTTTGATTTTAGTCGTTGTCGATTGCGGACGCCGTGCTGATTTGTGGTAGTGTGGTTTGCAGTCGCAACTTGTTCTCGCACTCGTAAATCTGTCTTACGGACAAATGATACTGCGAGCCAGCCAGTCGTCGGTAACAACCAAAACGTTCTTCCAGAAGGCCTGTTTGGAAATTCCCAAGAAGCGCAAAGGACATCTTGAGCTCCTCAAAGCAATATGCGCAGATTTCAATGAACGCCCGAGTCATCTGAATAAGAGCCCCATGTGTCTCATCAAACAACTTACAGGCATCCGCTCTCCTTTCCTTCCACTCCTCCAACCAGTCCAAAAAATCGTTCAAGAAGGAATTTCCACCTTGGGGTCGAATGGAGAAGGGTAGACAGGCTTTTGCAAGTCATCCCTTAGTCTCAGTCCTTTGAAAGGAGTCGTTACGTTGACAACCTTCCACCATCTCACTATTATGTCAATGAATCTGGCGGTTTCTTCGTAGTGCTTCAGGTTGTGCTTGGCTCCAATGACTCGAAGTGCATTCGGTCCGTACTCGCTGAATACCTGCAAAGCAGGTTTAACATCCTGTTTCTTGATGTCTGTTCGGGAAACAGCTTTTCTGGACAAAGTGTAGCCGTACCGGAGTAACTGCTCACTCTCTAAATTATATGCGTCTTTAACTGTCTTGAAATACGCATGCTGCATGCACCGCCGCCCCGTTGTGCTTGGTTCGAACTGAGGTAACCAGAAACACTGGTCATTTTGTTTTAACCAGGTGTTGCGCACGCACTTGAGTAAATGCACTGGGTCGATGACGAAGAACAATGGCCTGTGGGGATCTGATGGGTGCAGAAACACGAAATCATTTGCCAGTGATTTTTTTGAAACGGCTTGAGGGGCCTTGCTCACTGAATACACGGCACCATTGCGCTTCGATTCACGGCGTTGTCGGTCACGACACACATTACTTTGTATCCAATTTTTTCTAAGCCGCGAATGACATCTCCTGAAATGTGCAGAAATTCTCCATTAGCCTTTTGAACGGGAACAATGTGCGCTACCTCCTTAAACTTACACATGAGGCTGTGTACCATAAATACAAATGCACTATTTGCTGCTTCTGCGTTGTTCAACGCGATACCAGCGATGTTGCCTCCCTTATAGTCAAAAAATAGCTTTAGATGAATTTCGTCCACCATCAAAGTCGCGTAGCCTTGCTGCTCGTTCAACTCGGATATCTTCTTGGCCATGTAGCGGAGGAATGTATTGTCTTGATGCTCTAGTTGAGGGTTCATTCCGAAAGACTAACATATTGACCTAATGGTTCTTGGGTGTGCAATGATGATGCTCCCGTGACTGCGCATGTATTGTACGCATGAGGCGATATAGTAAATAGTATGCAGCAGTACACCATAAATTCTACAGAGTAGCGCCGTCGTTCTGTTTTTGTTGACATTAACTTCACTTGTTCAGCGAGCAGTTGAATGATCGGGGTGTTATCGCTTTCTTGTGCTGTGTATAGTTCGTTCAGAAGAGAAGCGACAGTCTCGAAGATGTCTGCGGTTGAGTTTTCAGAGCTTGACCTCTGGGCACTGTCGAACCCCTCGACTCCTTCCAGCAATTCCAGCAGCCGTCGTTTGCTGTCGATCATGGGCGGAACTACCATTTTGGATCCGAGCCGCTTCACTGATGCTTTTGCGACGTTTACCGTAAGAGTTAGGTCGGTTTTTACGACAACAGAGTACCTAATCCAAGGAGCGTCATCATTACAAATGTGAGCCAAAATGACGTGGTCACTGCATTCGATGACATGCCAAAATGTCGGCTTCTTGCCTCGAACGAAGTTTGCGACATCTTTCAAATTGCAAAGCTTATCTGCTTCTTCCTCTTTTTCGGCAGTGAGAATTGACTCGGCGAGCACTTTCTCAAGGGAAGCAGCCTCTAAGCGCGTTCGCTTGCTCTCTGGGTCCTCTCTTCTAGAGCTTTCTATAGACAGGTAGCTTGGGCAATCAGGGATTACAGTTGGTACTGCCTCAGCTCGAAGCCGCAAACGTGAGAGCGGTGCGGTCACTGTGCGGCCGGTGGCTTGGTCAATATAGCTTGTTTCCCGAACGATGTCTTCGGCTTTAAAGTGACGTCTCACACCTAAACAAAAGAAACATATCCTAGCATCAGTACGGCTAGCTCGTAGCAGCAACAGTACATTCAGGGCTTTGCGTGACGCGTTTAGGCGTAACGTGCTACAAACTACAAGGCTCGCCACGCAACGGTAGGAGCAACCTCCATGAGAAAATTATAAAGCATTCAAAATTTCTTACCCTGGCATTCGCTGACATGACCAGGTTTTCTCGTGGAATGGCACATATCCACGCTTGTCTTGCTTCGTCGGCTTGAGGGAACGAAAAAACGTGCACCTTGGGGCCTGTCTTGTAATTGCCGTTGCACCGTGGCACACAACACTTTCCTGGCATTTCGGCGCTGATTCTAACTCTGCACGAGCCTGTTCGCCACACATAACACGCGATAAACACTTAGGTCACTCGCCGTTGCCCAACTACGCACAGAAACGAATATCCAAGCAGCAACGTGCATCCGCGCCACGAACGCTCACAGCGCGTCCAAACGTGCCCGCCGCGCCGAGGCCCCGCCACTCAGGGGACCAACGCCATCTAGCGAAGACGTGAGACTGGGCCCCTTACTGATGACGTATATTCACGGCCCCACGGGAGCCCCCCGGCCTTGAGTCAGTCTCGGTGGCATTGCACCAGCGCGTGAAAGACCCCCTCACCCTCAAGGTGCAGAGCAGTGCTCGCGCAAGGGGCAAGGGCTGCGGAAGATAGTGCCTTTTTCCTTTCCTTCAACCACACATTCATTCAACCCAGCGACAGCTTTTCTCTCTCTCTCTCTTCGCGCACAGCGTTAGAAGGAGAAGGGTCTTTACGTGGCAGGGACGGAAAAGGGAGAAGCGTGGTACGGGCACGTCGCAGATCGGCATTTGAGAGAGAGCAAACATTCCACCGCAGCCTTTTCTTTCTTTTGCAGTTCCTTCGCGCGCAGCGTTTAGATGTTGCAGGTGCTGCCGCGGGATCGGGCGGGGTGCTGAGAGCATTTTTGGAGCGCGGTATGTTCGAAATAACCGTCGCAAGTGCTTACGCGTTCAAATTAACAGGCATTTTTGCCCATTGGAATACACATAGCTTTGACGGGACCTCATCGTGAGTTCGAATTAACCGAAAGTTCAAATTAAGCGTGTTCGAATGAATGAGATTAGACTGTATTAGGCTATTACTGTTTACAGAAATTTATGACGTAATTGTTACATTTGCTTCTTCCAATCGCAGGACTGGCAAACGGAGCATGTGACACTGCAAGAACAGACTCCGCTGCACGAAACCCCTAAACTGACCTTGCGCATGATCTTCGACAAGATCCAGATTTTGGACCGAGAAACCAAGTACCTCTTGAACAAGGCTCAGCGTGCACCACCGCCAAAGCAGACGACCAAGAAGCCTGAAACACCAGGCAAGTTTTGTAACATTGACGATGGCACGTATGATCTGTTTGGCAGAATTGAGGGCTACTTCTACTGCCACTTTTAACTGCACCAAAATATCTTGTGTCAAGAGAACTACTTGTGTTAATTAAGCAGCACTATTTTGGTTAGGTCCTGCAGGAACAATAAGCACAATGTGTTTCTTGAAATACAAGACTTGCTTTAAAAATTTCGACCTACCTGAATGTTTGCTACAAATCGCATAAAAATCGGAGAATTTTCAACAAAAGTACAGCCCAGTGAAATAGGTCAGTTCTAAATTAATTGCCCTGTACTACCTGAAAGGTCTCATTGTCTAATGAAGTGTACAACCTGAGAGTGTATATTTCTCTTAATCATGTTTAATAGTGTGTAATACAGCAAATAATTACTCTGGCCTGTTTGTGGTTCACCTAGCCTTTTACAGAGCCACTTATGCCCCAGTTGCGCTAGTTTTTAGTAGGCTTTGAATTTTCACTGCAAGCTACTTTAATGTCGATAATAATTAACTCCTCCTGCGTTAAGGATGAGCTTTGCGGGTGCGAGTCTTCTAGTGAAGGTCCATCGACGAGTGCAGCTCCTCTGCAGCACTTTTCCCTTTCTCAGAGTGCCATGGACAAACTGGCTTCGTGTCTATGCTTTGGGGTGCTTTATTAGATATGGTAGTACATACCTTGTTTTTCAGCTGAAGCAGGAGGAAGTTTGTTCGTGAGGAGCAGTTGAAACATGTTAAGAGAAGTACAAAATGAACAAAATCTGCCCTTTTGGTCAGAATGTGGAATAATAGCATGAAGTTGTTAACGGCTTGCTCTCGCCAACTTCTGAAAAGAGCAGAAAACTATGCCACAACTCCTCCGATATCATTTGTTGGACCACCTTCTCGCCTCGGTTGTAAGCATCGCTGCTTATGACGTGTTCAAATTTGTGGCTCGTGGTTGTTTTTGGTGCATTGTTCCACTGACATAACTGTGGCTTAGCTTGCACATTGTTCACCAGTTTCTTATTTTTGCCCCATTTAGAACCCACGAAAGAGGCCGAGGAGGAGGTTGTGGCAGACGTGGAGATGCCCGAGGGACCAATACCAGTGGAACAGCCGGCAACAGGTGAGTTCTCCTGAATGGTTGAAGATTGGCCTCTTCGAAGTTTATAGATGAGCTTGAATTAGGAAAACATGCCAATCTAAACTACAGTGTTTTCCACACACACACACACACACACACACACACAAAATTGATGAAATAGTGCTTGCCTAAAAGGTGTGCAGGTAAATGAAAGAGGTTTCAGCTTTTTTCCACCTGAGCACAGACACACAATGACAAAAGTGAGTTCCAGTCCCTGGCTACGATGGCCTTATTTTCAACAGGACGAAATGCAAATATGCCCGTGTCCTGGATGTTACATAGTGGACATCGGAGAATATCAGCTGGTCTAAATGAATCCAGAGCCCCCTACATCAACATGCTCCATAACCTTGTGTTGTTCTGTGCCTGTAGAAACCCCGATTATTTTTCACTTTGACACAAGTGCTTATGAGCCACTACATAAATATGACAGCTGCAAAGGCCGATGCTGTCATCCTCGTGAGTTTTTCATACCCTTCGAAGTAGTAACATAAACACGTGAGCAGTTGTATTTCTGCATCACTTTTATACGCCTAGTAGCGCTCTTAGGTGTAAAAGTTGGGAATGCAACAACTGTCTGTGGTACAGCAGTGAGCATGAATGTATGCCTGCACATGCAGATGCCTTTTTTTCAACAATGAAAGGCATGCGAACGATGCAAACTGCATTTGTAACTGTGCACTGTTCGGCATTTAGACTACAGTGAAACTCCAATTATACGACTTTAAGGGGACCACGCAAAGCAGTCGTATAATCCGGGCGTTGTATAATCGAGAAACTAAGAATATAGCAATGACACTCAGCCTTGCCTCAAAAAATGGGTATAGACTGCCTGCATAAGCCCACGGCTTGACCTTGTGCCTCTGCTAGAAAGGTAGATTAAATTATTCTTGTCAGCTACAGCTAATGGCAGTGTAACTTAGTTGAAAGAGGTGCGAGTGCATCTCTATTTTCAAGTTTAAAAAGAATTGAATCCAACACGCATCCTTCTACCGATAAATAGAATCCGAAAATTGCCTGCACGTGAAAGTGAAAATGAAACCGTGTTGCCAATAGCCTCCCGTCAGAAGAGTCGGACACAGTGTCATCGCTATCGCATATGGCAACCGACCACAAGTGCATAGAATGCCTTCGTGTGCGACTGAGCTATGCACGTTGCGATTTGTGGCCTTGTGAAGTGCAACTAGTGATGTCCCGCTGTTAGTAAGAACGTCGACGTGAAGTAAAAGTAATCTTTCACAGTGAAAACAGCGGCGTCGTGCCCTTATGTGTCCACAAGACTGTGACTGCGAATGCGACAAAGGCGGGAGATCAGCTGTATGTCGACCAGAAAATGTTTCCATGGACTGAAAACGTGGAAATATCAGCTTTTAGGCCGGCTGCAGCTACTTTGTGGGGATAGAGCTTGACTAGGTAGCGACCCCAGATACGTGCACACGCGATTGCGCCGTTTGTAGAAGCACATGAACTTCCAGGAGAATAAATTTTCCATTCTAAGAAGACATCCGTCTCGCTCTCTACTTTTCCAATCGTCAACCTAGGGGAACCCAAGTTTATATTTTGCACTTGTGAATAATTTGGTCGACGCTTGATTCGACTAAAGGCGTTCTTTTTCCTTTTGGACGAAATCTGAATGTCGTAAGATGCGAGGTCGGCGTAAAACTGCGTCGTATAACGAAGGTTTTTAATACATTATTCCTATGGGGATTTCGGCGGGACCTAACCGATTCACCGTAAAGTGTGGGTCGTCGCGAAATTGGGGTACATATAATCGAAGTTCCTTTGTGTTATGATATTGTGACACATAACCAGCTGTGCCGATTTAGTATGGTAGAATGTAATAACGAAGCTTACCAGATTACACTCAAACCTTGATATAACAAACCCGGATATAATGAAATACTGGTTATAACAAAGTAAATTAAAAGTAGTCTTGCAATAGATATTGTCGAGAATACTATTTCTTTACAAAGATATAAAAAACTAACTTATTTTCGTGTAAGATGCAACTTTGTTATAATGAGGTTTGTCTGTACCTGTGCCAGCAACGAGTGGGCACTGTAGACACTTCGTTCCTGTAAATTTTCATTTGATGCCCATCAGAAAGTTGGCTGCGAGGAAAGTGTACCATAGGCAAATACATCATCATCATCATCCTGACTACGTCCACTGCAGGACAAAGGCCTCTCCCATGTTCCGCCAGTTAACCCAGTCCTGTGCTTGCTGCTGCCAATTTATACCCGCAAACTTCTTAATCTCATCTGCCCACCTAACCTTCTGTCTCCCCCTAACCCGCTTCCCTTCTCTGGGAATCCAGTTAGTTACCCTTAATGACCAGCGGTTATCCTGTCTACGCGCTACATGCCCGGCCCATGTCCATTTCCTCTTCTTTATTTTAACTATGATATCCTTAACCCCCGTTTGTTCCCCCAATCCACTCTGCTCTCCTCTTGTCTCTTAAGGCAAATACAACCTAAGCTAAAACGACGACTCCGCCCACAGCCATCACTTTCCTTCCTACAGAGAATTTGCAGAGGGGCTCTGTCCAATAGGGCTTGCTCGTTTTTTTGATGTCAAGCACTTGAACTTTCAGGTATAGATGCAGCCATGCGTTTGTGTCGTGGGTTTTACATCAGAAACTAGTGTCTCGGTAAGCTTCGTTGAGGATTCCGACATCGCTGCTCAGGTAAACGTAATTTTTTTGATAGCAACGATGAACCTTTAACTCTTAATATGCGTAGTACACTCGGACTTTATTACAGTCAAACCCCTTTATAAGAGACGCTGATATTAGAGACGAATGCTTATAAGAGGCACCAGTGTGCCTACAGTAAATTACAGGTGGATAAGAAAATGCATACGAAGTACCCTGCTTATAAGAGACATCTTATATAAAAGACAAGAATTGCTGCTTGAAGCATGCCTCTTATAAAGGGGTTCAACTGCATAACGAAATCGTATCTTACATGAAAATAGGTTCATTATATCCCAAAATTCGTTGAAAAGGTGTACAGTCGAACACGAATATATTGAATCGTGAATTGGTTTGATATATTTAATGTTTGATATAAAAAAAATAGAGGCCGTGAGAGCTTACCTGTAGCTGATCATCACCTACAATAGTTGCATACAAGAATGACAACTCATTCCGCACCCACACCACAACAGAATGATTTATTTGCGTGAAAAAAATCGCTGTGTTGGCCTGCTTCTTCGATTTTATAATGTTGAAGACTCTAATCTCGATCTTATCAAGGCTGTCTAGGTGCGACAGCCTGGTTCTCTTCATGCGACCAATACAACGGTGAACGACGCTGAACGCTGTTGCCACTTCAGCGGCGGAGTACGCGCGTATAGCCAGTGCCTTATTTAGACAAGCTTCCTTGTCACGTGAGCTGTCAGCCTGGACATTGCAGTCTGCTCCCACGAATTCATCCGTGCACTTCGTGTAAAACTGCTGCCGGGAAGCGGGACGACAACTCGCGAAACGCATTATCGATGTTCTCGTCGTCATCTTCACCGGCTTCCGCAAGTTCCGCCGTTTTAAAGCCTGCCTTGCGGAAGCAGTTGACCACTGTGTCTGTCTTCATGTCTTGCTAGGCATTGAAGATCTTCGCGGAAGAAAACTTCGCAGAGATTTTCGGCCACTCCTTAGTCATCCATGTCCTGGCTGCTGACAGCTTCGCTTTCGCCAGAATTGGTTTTGCCAATGATGTAGTGCTGCTTAAATCGGTGAAGCTACCCGCTGTTGTTGGCAAAGTTGATTCACCAATTGCAGCAGCAAACCATTTGGCCTTTGTGATCAGTATCGGTCCATCCACCGGAATGTCCTTCACGTGCCCTTCTAAAAACCAGGCATAGAGTGCCTTTTCTACATTCCCGTGGGCAGAAGCGCACACATGACAGGTTCCCAATGTTCGCTGCTCCACCACCTTTGCCTTCATTATCTGCTTTGTATTTCAACAAGGTACTCGAGTGCTCCGTGGTATCCTGAAGTCGTTCGCGGAACATTTCTCGCCCGCCTCAACACACTGAATAGCCTTCGACTTCGTCGCTAAGTTAACGGTCTTGCGCTTCTTGACGCTTGCTATAGCTACACGAGAAGTCGACAATTCAAGGAGTCTGCAGCGGCTTTGCACACCGCACATGCAAAAAAGTAATGCTGCACATGCAGTGCTGCATAGGGGTCGAAAGCGCTCGCAAGGCAATTGCCGCCTGCGAGGGCAACAGCAAAAGGCGCGAGTTGTGGTTGAGTGATAAAAACTCGCAAAACAGAAAAAAAAACTAAAAGGCAAAAGGGGGAGGACATTTGCTCCTTCGTTCCTGCTCTCGGAGTCGACGGGTACGCAGAGAAAGCTTGAAAGGGAGAAAGAGAAACGAAAAAAAAAAAGCTGTTTGCAAGTTGGAGATTGTGCAGTCCGAGTCCTCTCGCCCTTATCTTTTTTCGAGCGTTTCGAATTTTGGTGGAGGTGTGGTGCTGCGTGGAGGTCACCGGGTGCTGCGAGTCCCAAAGCGCACCTTCCAACTCGCGCACAGAGCCGCGCTGCTGCGAAGATTGCGGAGGGGGTGGGGGGGGGGGGGGGGGGGGCGAGTGTGAAGTGCACTTCTAGCTCGCGCAGTGTTCGGTATATACGAAGGTGGGTAAAATTACCGTTTGATATAAACGTGCTAATTTCTATACTTTAACAAAGGAATTTCAAGGGGATAACTTGAGAGTTCGATATACCCGAAAATTTAAACTATGTGGGTTCGATATAACAGTGTTTCACTGTATTCCTATTGCAAGTCTATTTATTTGCTTCGTTATATCCGGGTCCGCCATATTGAGGTTTGAGTGTACTTGCATTAGCCAAGAAAAAGCACTTACGATACAAGCAGAAACCAGCAGCTAGCACGACTGTATTACACAGGCATGCCAAGATTCTGTCAGAGGAGCTTGAATACTTTTTACTACAGAATGTAAGATTGTTTTTGATTTGTCGAAAGGCAAAGATCCCCTTTTTTTTCTTAACTTTGACTTGGTGGTGCCTTTACCCAAGGAAGGGCAATTTGGTCAAGTTTTTTTAACAATGAGTATGAAGCCCACTCTCATTTGCTGTATCGCTCTATGATTACACAACTGTCCGTAACATTTATGTTGCTTAGCAGGTTGTACTTTCACGCGCACTGAAATTCCCTCTCGCTCTGGTATTGCAGAAGCCGAAGGTGCTGTTCCCTTGGAACCCATTGAGCCGACACCTGAACAGCCCGAAGACGGCCCACACACCGAACTTTGATGGATCACAGAACACTGCACTCTAATTTATAGACTCGTCGCTCTCAGTTTGCGGCTCATTGGCAGCCCAGACAAAACTGTTTGAGAGAGGGTTCCTTTGTTTTTCTCCTCCTCCATTGTGGAAGTTGTTTTGTACATATATAGCCAGAGTTATTTAATGACAGTGGGGTGTAAGATTACCTGCGTGCCCATTGAAAAGCGCAGCAGGAGAATGTTTCCATGAAATAGTCTCGGTGCTAGCTTCTCCAGAGGTGTATTGCTCGGAGCGCTTGGGAACATCACATCAGAAAATGCAGTAGGAGTGTTGAGAATGTGAAAATTTCATTCTTTTTTTCTCGTCCTCATTTGTAGTGTTAGTGATAGCAGCTGCCAGCAAGCTGATATTGATCACATTCTTGTTAGTGTTTTGTGCAGAAATATATTTGCTGGAAGCCCCCACGACATTTTGCATCTAGCTTGTACAATGACGAGCTGTGCTGCACGAAGATTTGTAATGTTGCAGTTATGCGTTAAGTGGAATAGGTGGACAAAATTGTAGAAAACTTTTTTTATGCTTCCGTGCGTAGGCGACTGTTCAAATAGATAGTGACAGTTGAAAAATGGAGCGGGTGAATGAGCGCACGTCGAAGCATGATTTGCAGAACCTGGTGAAAGTGCTTTCTGGTTATCCGAACCAGCAGCAGCCGGTGAGCTAATGTAATCTTTGATAATTTGTAGGCACTAACTGTCGAAGTTGGCAGCACTTTACAAAAGACCCTGTAGACTAGTACTCAATGTAGTGTCATAAATATTGCCACAGAAACATTCATTTTTCATGTTCAGCTAAGCTAAGGTGCATTGGACCACTTGTTTGCGTTGGATGTGCTGCTGAACAGTATATAAAGGCATGCACAAAGGTGTGTTTGTTATTTGTGTTCAATTTTTTTTTTTTATGGTGTTGTCATGGTGTATAGAGAAAAAAAAATTTTTTTTCGAGACTTTCAATTTTGCACTTTGTGTATGGGCTGGTAGCTACTCTTACAACTTATATTATCTGTTTTCAGGCAAGTATTTGATCAGGGAGCCTCAGTTTGCGATATGTGGCACTTTTTTTTTAGTACTTGCACATTTGATTGCACATTGCCTCTTGTGTGAGATATCATTTAAGAGTGGCAGTCATGGAAATGAATTCCTTTCACGTGTGCTGAGTACAAAGAGCGTCTTCGAAAATTTCATTTGCATATGAAAAGTGCGGTGGCCACAGAAGCGTGTTGTTGAAGTGAGAGACCACGAGCAAGACTGAGTGAATGACACCCCCCTCCTTCCTCCCCTGACCAGATGCAGAATGCTGGCTGCTGTGTATTTTCTTCAATGTTGGTTCTCTACACCATGTACATATTGAACGACAAATGTCCTGTTTGCAAATAAAGGCTTGTGGTCTCGTCATATCGGTGACATTTTTTGGCTTTCTCATGACAGCTATGGTGGGAATTGTAAGGTCTCTTTAAAAGTGTTTTAGAAAGTGGAGTTGAGAGATATGAATGATGACCTATTTGATAAGCCTAAGGCAATTTTTACAAAATTGTGGAGTAGTATATGTTTTACTAAGATTGGTTAGAAGGAGCCAACTTTATCGGGTTCTGCGATGCATACAGCTGAGAACTAGGTACAGTAAGTAGAAATCGCTGTTGGGCTATAAGATAGTTGTTGCATGTGTGAATTGGTCAATTTCGCACCAAAATAACGACCACACAAAGGATTGCCTGTCCTGTCTGTGTTTTCTTTTTTTGTGTAGTGATTTTGGTGCGAAATTAACTATTTAATTCACAATAGGTGCAATATTTATGTAACTTGAAGACTAGCTGTTTTTTTTTTTCTTTGGACAGGTAACTTTGATAAGAGTTTGGGTGAGGCATGCTTAACATGCTTTCTTGTTTGATGAGGCCATCCCTCAGAATTAATCATATGGATGAAAGGGTAATGAAGTGGGTTTTATGGGTTTAGCATTTGGTGATGGCGAGTGATGCAAACCAGAGGAGCATCTGTACAGATTTCGGGGAAAACGTTGAGGCTTTGGACATGGTTATTTGAACCATTTTTAAACACAAATCTGGCCGGTAAAGGCTATAAATTATGATACAGTGGATGTAAATAATGTTAGTGTCTTGCTTTGTTTCAGCTTTAGATTGGATTTGGCTATTATGCTGTCTGTGTGTGTTGCAACTAAGGAATTGTAAATGCCTGGATATCGCATGTGGCATTATATTCTCTTAATTAAGCCCCCCCCACCCCCCCAACTCCTCTTATTTCTTGTATTTATTTTCTTCTTGTATTTTCTTCTTGTATTTATTTTCTGACACCAAAGCTGTTTAAGCCCACTGTTTATTTTTTTTGGAAATTGAAATGATTGTCGTGATACGTCGTTTTAGTCCACTTCTGCTTCTCTGTCCAGAACACGTACCTCGATTTCTCTGGCGTGCTTTAAACACTGATGGGCTAGAGAATGAGTGCACAGATAGATTTCTTGGCCAAAAAAAATAAAATAAAAATAAATCCTTCATGAGAGTGGATTCAAAAAACATGCATGCCCTTGATCTGAAGGCCATATCCTAACTACTTATCTACCTAGGCACGCTAGCAGAGCAAAGCACAGCCTTGTATAGTTCATCAAGGAGTGGGATAACGAAATGTGTGCGAGGAGGTGATGAAGAGAGAAGAGAGACAAGCACAGCATAAAGGAAGGAGAAATAAACAGTAATGAAGAAAGAAGGAAAGAATGTCATTGAGTAAGAAAGATATAAAGCGAGAGACAGAGAGGAAATGACAGAAGCAAGAGAAAAATAGAAAGAAATGAAAGAGGAACAAAGAGAAAGATTGAGCAAGCAAAAGAGATAAAGAAATAAATGAAAATAAACAAAAACACAATAAAAAGTAGGAAGAAATGAGAAAATTTACAGAACTCAGCAAGAACCAGCTCTGCTGGCTAGCATTCTTCTTCTTCTTATTATTATTATCGTTATTATTATGTTTTAATTTTTTAAGGAGGCATAATGCTAGGAGCCCATGGGCTTATGTCATAAGGTGGCCTTGGGCTTAAAACCTCAACTATATTGATTTGATTTAATGAGTTTTTTTCGGTTGTCCCTTCGAGGGGCATACTGCCGACCTGAAACTTTATTTCAGTCAACATGTGTATCATTTATACGGGCCTGAATGGCTGATAGTAACCTGAAATAAATTCGGCTAACCGCTGAAACCTGGCGCATCTCGTTCATCCTCGTTTTATGAGCACGTATACCGCTGTCAGGTGGGATTAAAACGGCGTGCAGCTGCGTAGAGTGCCTCTTGGAATGCGTTTTTTTTTTCCTTCTCACGCACAGATTCATGGGTGGTTGCCCTTTGAACGAATTGGAGTGCTACTTTGAGAAGTTTAGCAAAGGAGGAGCTTCTATGCAATCGTCTGCTATTTTAGGAGTCATGTCGTGGCTTCCGAGATCACTGTGAGTATAACAACCATATAGTTTCCCAATATTTGAGAAACTTTATGATAACAACGAGACATACGAGCCATAAAATGCAAGCTAGAAGATTGATCTAGAAACGTCGAATTTAGCATTTTTGCCAGCTTGATATTGTTAAATCGACATCTCAAACAGGCTTACAAACACACTTCTCAAAGACCACATTTTTGCTAACTTTTATATATTTTTAAAAAGGCCTAGTATTTTGTATTTAAAATAAATAAAAAACGTTTGTTAGCAATAAAAGTTAAAAATAATACAGGACAGGCAGGTGTACGTAACTTTCGCGTAAGTGTCTGTGACTTCGCGGCTTCACCACATTTCGGCGTCTGTTTTGTTTGTGCGGGCGCGAGCGGCAGGCAGGTTCATATTTTTGTTTACCAAGTTGATGCGGCTACCGCGCAACCAGCTCCTCGACGTTGTTACGTTTTTTTATCTCGCCCGGCTGTCCTCGTTCGGGCTTTCCACAGATGGCACGAGTTGCTCGAGACGGCAAGCCTGCTGCCTAAGCTCTGCGAGCGGTGTGTGCCCGCCATCGGGCTGACCGGCTGCTGCAAGTAAGCGCGCGTTGCCTGTAACCGATTGTGTCGCACGTCTGTTGGCGTCTCAAGCGTGTTTCCTGTGCGTTGGCCGACCATCGACGATGCTTCTCACGTTCTACAGTGACGAGGAGTCTGCTAGGTGCATCGATCTAGGCGAATCCATCCCAAACACGCTGGCGCGTACTTACCGTTGGTATCTCTGCAAGACGTGAATGAACCCTTCGTACCTTACTCCCACTACATTGCGAGAGATTTTTGATAACATTCTTCAAGATCTTAATTGGTTTTTCTGTCGCAGAGTCGCTGATCTTCGCGGTAAAACGAACACCGCGAACATATGGAGCGAGTTATCCGAATCAGTTGTTGTGCAGAGAAAACAGCCGCGGCTACAGGTGGGCATACGGCGGTCGTGTTCAGAAATGGAAGGCTGTGCCTTCGGACGACTCGCATAGACAGCCGACTCCGTATTTCGGCAGCGCTTATGCAAAACACGATCGGCTGCAAAACGCCGAAATTCGCATCGATGCCGAGTGATCGTGAGCAGCACCGCGCGTGCCGTGATACTCGTGCTTCGTACGCGTTTTCACGTAAAAATCGGTAGGTTTTCTTTATTGACTTTGCGTTGAAGAAATACATCAGTGAGCATACGTAATTTATAATCGGAAACTCGTTTTTGAGAACTGGGCATCCTGTGCAAGAAACTGACCGATGCTTCACACACCTGCTGCAGTTTCGGAACATGTTTAGTAACGTAAAAAAAAAAAAACGAGACTTATTCAGCCAAATGTCGACAAGCTCGGCTGCAAACTTTACGTGGAAGTAGGCTGGTCTTGCGTGGTATCCAATTTTCATATGGTTTTCTGCATTGTTAATATACAAGCAGAGTAGTCGACTTGTGTTGCAGTTTGGACAAACGAAGCATATAAAAAAACAATAATCATCCTGTGATTATGACTTGTGTAAACTTTTTGACTTTCGCGCTCCATGGCCTCAAAAAAAAAAAAAAGATCACTTTGACAAACACTGACATTGTATTGCACTGAAACTGCACACCGAGACCTACTTTTGGGTCCTGTGCAGTCATCAGGTCTGTTGCAACAGCATGCTATCAAATGTTGCCTCGCTAAAATACGTACATATGAACCTCTTGTAATAGTATTAGATCTGTTAGCGTTATCTGTGCATCTACTCCTTGTACTCACCAACTTGATACACCATGCCATATGTCGAAATGACATGCCAACACAAGTGCTTACCTGTTGTTTGATGTTCACTTTTAGTGGAGCCGGGCATGAGCTTGCTTGGTGCCGCTGACGAACTGAAGTTCGACATCGACCATGATGAAGAAGACGAGGCTTCTGCCGAAGTTAGGAGAAAAGCAGAAGAGGTCTGTCTATCGATTTTGGTATAGTAAGGAAGCGAATATGTATCGGGCAGCTGCTGTATCATAATATGCTAGAGCTTAGCCTACACCATAACAAAAAAAAAGTCAAGCATTTGTATATAATGAAATACTTGTAACGCTGTCCGAGACGGAAGGTACTTTGTGTAACACTGTTTATCCAGTTTACTGGCAAAATGTTGATTCTATGGCGAAATTCTGGTCAGTTTGGCTGAAATACCAAAAGAGAAACTGTTGCTTGGGAGCAGGGTTGACTGCAAAACTTAAGTTTATTCTAGTTTCTGGTTATAGATTTTACCAGCCTCTACTAAATATCAGTAAAGAATGACTACAATGTTCTAAAAAAAAAAACGAAACGCTTAGTAAGTTTCATGAGCTGCTCTTACACTGAAGCAGTTCACGTACAAAAGAATACATTCAACTCCGTCATTTCTTGTAGTGGTAAAACTTGTTCATCTGGCATAAAAGGGTTTGTTGTTCAGCATGCACTGGCCGGTAGACACAGGATGGTCCACTGTGTCAGCAAATACTTCAAGCTCTGTGAAATCTTCGTTGGAAATTCATCGAATCATGTTTTCACCATTGTAGACATGAGAAAGGCACATATTAATGATGTTTCGTTGTAAAAATGAGTACGTGTAGCACTTGTAATTTGGGCATGTTCGAATATTCAAATTTCTGCAAATCGTTGCCTTCTTAACTACCTGTTTGGTCATGGCTGAATATTTGGGAAAATCAGAATATGCATTTTGGTATCAAATGTGTTTCGAGCAAAGAAACTATTTTTGTACATCCCTACTGATAACTGAATTTCATTCGCTTTATAGCTGCAACAAGCAGTTGCAAATGGCTTTGATGACTTGGAGGGACTGTCAGATGATGATGAAGACCTTTCTGCTGACCAGTGAGTTGTCTTGCATTTCTTTGCAATCAGCATGATGAGCGAAAGAGAAATACTATTGTAATTAATCTTGTTTGATGTGATAGAAAGTTGATGGAAATGTTCCTTTTATTTTTTTCTTGTCCAAGTGTAAAACGTTGGAATGCATGTGCATGAAAGAGCTTATGTGCAGTGTGCACTTGGTCATCTGTGTTTTGTCATGTATTGTTGTCTTAGTGGGCCCATGCCGTGGTGTTTTTTTTAAAATTCTTATGATGGTTTTCTCAGTGCACTTCACGCAACAACAGCTTATTCATGCCCCTTGTTGTGATGTTTCTTGTGATCTCAATTGTACACATAAAATTTGAAACTACCAGATTCTGCTTGGTTACCAGAGTCCTGCATTTCTAGGTACTTCAAGCCCCCTGGGGTTATTGGTTATGGTGCGACAACCTCTACTCCGAATCAGGACGGACAGGTAAGATTGTTGCTTTTACATTAATAACAATGTCTCATTCACTAATTATTTGAGAAAAAAGAAAGCCGTGAAAGAACTGGTAACTGGCTTGTTGGTTCTGTAACTTGCCTAGTTGGTTCTGAATGCTTTCGATATTGCGTGAAAATGGTTATTCTTCGTATGTCTCGGGGAAAATAGCTCTTGCCAGTTTGAAAAGTACTCCAGCATGCATTGCAGCATACCAAAGTTTGCACAAGGAGCTTTCCAAGAAACATATGTGGTGGTGCAACGGAAATATGTTGGAATGAATCGAAATGTGAAAAGTTTTGTTTGCCAGCTGGTAATTGATCAGCGAAGCTCCTGAGAAATGGGACGAAAACCACTATGCGCGTGATCTCGCTGCTGGCTTTCATGAATTCGGTCGGGTGGAGAGCTGGTGGTGGGAGTATAAAGTATGGTAAACAGTGCAATAAAAAGCGCTATATATGCAAAAATATTCAAAACAAAGAAAATTCAGAATATACATATTGAAGACAAATGACCCAGAAACAGTATGAAAATTCTACACAATGTTTTTATTAACATCTACAAAGAAAATCGGAACCAAGGTGCTTCTTCATTGCTCGTGCCATGTGGTCAGGCATTACATTTTTATTTTTTTTTTGAGATACAGGTGAACTCGTGCACTTCTCTCATTAACTTCTCTTTTTATGATAAGAGCCTGCAGGTGTTACAATATAAATGCATGTTTGTAATGCGAACAATCCCTCCATAGATCAGATATCCGCTGAATTGCCTGAATCACTGAATCAAATGTCCACTGTTTGCTATGTGCCATATCGTTTAAAAATTTTGTTTACAGACTGTGAATGCTAATTGTTATAGTTATATTTTTTGTTATGTTATTGTATACTATCACAGAAATGTCATTAACTGTACTGACTTTGTATGTCCCCCCCCCCCCCCCCTTGCAGTAATGCCACTGCGGCATTGCAGGAACTATGTAAATAAAATAAAAGCTTGACCAGTCTAGCATCGCCTCTTTCCATTGGCCACCTCTCGCTGCATAGGTTGGCGTTCCTATACGAGCATTCAGGTATATTTATTTGTACTTCTGCAGATAATTATGAAGAAAAAAAAAAGAATATCACACACAGTCCTAAAACGTCTCACGGCGCTCTGTAGTGTGGGGTCGAGATGTGCTCTGGTGGCTTTCCTGTCATGAGGGGAGGCTGTGCTGCCGGCATCGGCACACCACACTACGACGTGTGGGCCTCGCACGCAACCAGAGGCACGAAGGTCAGCAGCCATGCACTTTCGGGGGAGGAGACATCTTAAAAGAGGCCGTAAACAAAGCAGAGCCATGAATGACTGCGGATGTCTTCGGTTGACGCAAAACATCCTTGCCATACTACTTTAAGTCGAAGTGCGGTAATTCAGATGTGATTGCAAGAATGTTTCGGGCAGTGCGTGTTTTTGCAGCACAGGTGTGTATCCATGCGGGCGTGACGATGACGGCATAGGTGCGACTAGTGACACTAGATGCAATACAAACGAAATAAAAGCTGCTGGAAACTGGCTGAAAAGGCCACCTTAACACTTTACACATGCAACGGACCTTTGGAAACATTTTTTGTTGAATAATTTTTCCCCTGCTCCAATCAACTGCTCCCTGTTCTATAGCTGGCATAAATTTCTGGCAGTTACTACTACTCAACATTATCAGATTTTGAAGCTGACACTTTAATTTAGTATTTGACTTGCAAAGCTTCTTTTTATTACAAAAATTTATGTTACTGCAATATAACTATGAGGGGCAAGCACTTCTGTCAAGTTTGCCAGCCAAGTGCACTCTCCCAACAACATACCCACACTCATTCGCACAAAGGTCTGTCAAAAATCACTGTGTTGCCAAAATGGGCGAATTACAATTGATTAAGAAATTTGAATGGCTGGACTAACTACTAGAAAGTGCTCGGTGCAAGAGAAACAAATTCAACATGTTAAAATTAATGATCCAAAGTGCTAATCACCAGGGATTGATTTGAATAGGGGTAGTAACGAAAGCGTTAAGCTCATGACTGCTTAAATTGTACTGGCACTACAGGCACTGGCAGGTGATTTCTGGGTCAAATGCATTAGTAATCGCATTTCTATGCGTCTAATGCACTACTTCCTTCGGTGTCTTTATGCTGACCATCATAGACGATAAAATTGCTTGCCGTTTATTTTGCTGCAGAACTACGTGGGTAAGCCTTTCTCCACACCATACTATGGAATGGGCACCCACCAGAATGTGCCCACAACTCGTGCAACTCATGTCCCGGAGCTCAACACGTATTCCGACAACTACACCAATGGCCTGGATTTCGGGAGTCCTATGCTGCAAGGCTATGGCAAGGGTGATGGCTTGAATGGAGGGAGCAATGGCATCCACCAGAATTCTGCTATGCCCCCAAATGGTCAACACCCCCCTCATTCCCACGGGACCGCCTTCACAAAGCAGTCAGGTGAGTGCAGTGTAGTTATTGATGTATCCAACTGCTAGCTTTTGTTAACTAACATTGGCTCATGTTGGCTGCTAAGGCAGTTGAAGGTAATTAGAGGTGGTCAAAGTATTGGTAATATATTTCTCTCTGATGTACCACTAAATACCTGCCAAATCTTTTGTAATCATTGGTCATGCTTACAACCAGAAGGTTTGCACCCTACCACAAATCGTGAATCCTTTCGTGAAGTGAAAATTATCAGCCACGGCCTAGTATTTATTTTCCTACCTGTTTTACACGTTTGTATAGTTCCTTTAAATGTTAATCTCACATTGTGCATATTGACGAAAAACAACTATTGTGCATTATTGTTACTATAGGTAGAGTACTTGCCTATACACTCTGTTCGTGTTACCAGGTAGTTTCCTCAGCAGCGCCATGTGCTCATTCCAGGCATAGAGAATCACAGAAATGTAGAATGTGCCGTCTTTTTTTCAGATGAGTTTGTTCAGCTCGAAGTGATGTACAAGGCACGAATGAGGGAAGTCGAACGACTCAAGTTCGAGCTGGAAAACCTTCGAGAGTCATCTAGAGCAGAGATCACCTCTTTGCAGGACAAGGTGACTACTTTGCAAGGTCTGTGGCAACTCGTATGTTCTCCTTGCATTCGGCAGCCCAGTAAAGGTGAATTTGCACGTGCAGGACGAGAAGGGGAAATGCACAGAAGTGCTTTCAGGTTGTTTTGTGTCTGTATCTCCCTTGGATCCGTCTTCATCTGAGTATTCATCATATGTTCCTGTAAGGTCCACCTTTTTTTCATGATTGGGTAAAGGGCACTCCTGCACAGGTTAATACAGTATGTTCTGCCTAGCACAATAAATTTGGCAAGTTAACTAGTAGAAGAAAGAGAGTGTGAGTACAGTACACTTAACTGTACAAGCAGTGATAAACCTGGTATAATAAATGGATATCTTTGTCTTCATTGAAAATAGGTAAGCGGTGTAATTCATCTGAAAGCCTTCGCGTCATGTCTTTGTAATAATTAACGGCCAAATATTGAATGCACTTTTCTTTTAAAACTAGAATTTATCATGTCTTGATGCACTCCATAGTTCATTAGCTAAATAAATTTTGTGAATACCAGCTAGGGGGTGATGATTTCATGTGTATGTAAATTTGCCATTTTGTTAGTTTTTTTAACCTTTACCTGCTGGATTAAGTGTGAAATTGATTACAACGAATATGTCAACGTGGCACACCCGCTCAAACATTTTTTTTTTGGTATGTTGTGGTCTATATACTTCTTACTGCTATATCGCTTTCTGCAGTGGTGTGTACAATGGTACACATCAACTTTGGAGGCGTGTCACACACCACGTCTTTCTTCAAATAGCTTGAAACGCAGTGTGCATATTCGTACGGGCCTCTAGAGTGGGCAGCTAGCATTCACTTAACTTTATTTTGCTACATAATAATGCAGAAGGTCACTTTGCTGGAGACACTACCATGTTCAACAACTGTTCGGTGTGCCCCGTTTCAGGACCAATGTCAAGAGTTTTCTTTCTTTTTTCTTAGCTCTAAATGAATATGACCAGAGAACCAACTGTGATGGCATTTTGGGTATAATATTTGGATTTCTTTAGCACAAGGATTGAGGCTGACCGCTTTTGGAATAATTAAGTAGTTGATCACATTAACTACTGAAACTCGCACAAAACAACATTCCTTCATTTTCTTTCTTGGAATGTAATACCAGGTGCCTTGGAATTATTCCACGCGAATTTCATGCATTTGCAGGCAGTGGATCATAATTCGTGCCTGAAGGGGACTTGACAGCTTGCCCCAAAAAGTGTAGTTTGTTGGCTGATTCATGAAGCGAAGTAACTGAGCTAAGTTTGATAGATTGATTGATATGTGGGGTTTAACATCCTAAAACCACCATATGATTATGAGAGACGCCTGGGGGCTTCAGAAATTTTTAGCATCTGGTGTTCTTTAACGTGTGCCCAAATCTGAGAACATGGGCCTACAGCATTTCTGCTTCCATCGGAAATGCCAGTTGCCGCAGCCGGAATTCGATCCCGCGACCTGCGGTTCAGCAGCCGAGTACCTTATCCACTAGATTACAGAGGCGAGGCAACTGAGCTAAGTTTATCGAATAACTTGCCCCCATGCTGAAATATGCAAGTCTCCTGGTTAGCTCAGCTGGACAACTCCTTGGAACGGAAGTATATCTGTGATACTCGTGTATAGCCGCCATGTAACGCTATGTGCAGCTTCCTAATTGGAGCATCATAAACATAACTATTTTGTCATAGTGCATTACCACATAATTTCTATAGGCTATTCTATCCCCATTCTGCTACGTTTCTAGACAACTCTCAAAGCCTCTCCTTTTGGACACTGCTTTAGGTTAACATATGTAAATCAAGCATTTTGGCGGGTTCAGTCTGCCTTAATGCAGTATAATACCACCACAGGCATGGAACATTTTCCGAAATATGATATGTGGAGAACTTCAGCTTGCCTACTCTCTTATTTTTTATTGCCACTTTTAGTTTTTTTTGGGCCATTTCTGCATGCATATCTGGCAGAGTTCGAAGCACTGTTGTACTGACAGCAGTATTATTGAAAGATATTTTGTCATGTGCCTTATTTCTCTCCTGTTTCTTGCGCAGCCAGTGCAAAGATGTACATGGAGAACTGGAACCAAGCAAACCAGGCCTTGGCAAACAAGACCACTGAGAATGCCGAGCTTTCTGTCAGGCTTTCCACACTCCAGAACCAGCTGGAAATCGAAACTAAATGCAGAGAAGAGGTTAGTTTCATTTGTGAAGTTTGGAGAACTGATCCTCTGCTGCAGCACAGTAGAGAATTGATATAAGACCTGTCGATATGTTTTCGCCTAGGTGGAGCTTTCTTCAAAATAACGAGAACCAAAAAGATTATGTTTGGTACAGTAGGCTGTCAGTAAACATGAAATCTTTTAAAATGAACAACTGACTGTTATGATTGATTTTGTAGTTGTATTTTGCACCTCTGTTCATCTCACAGTAAATGGAACTCCTGTTATGTAGAACATATTTTTCTGTCCCCTCAGGTTCGATTTTATGAGAGTCTACCGTTCATTGCACTATTCGCATGACTGGAAGAAGTTGTGTAAGATGCCAGTATGCGGCATAAGCGATGGTCAGACGATAATTTAGTGTAAGTGATAAATATTTAAGTGTATTTGATAACAACGATGAGACACAGAGACGTCTCGCAGCTAATCTGCTACATTATTCACATACCTGCCAACTCTTTCGATTTTTCCGTAAAATGTACGAATTTTGACCGTGCTTTTGATTTTACAAATCTTGCCTGAAATTTTATAAAAAATATATAATTTCCGACAGAAAAAATAAATGAAGCGTGGCCTTCGCAATTGCCTACGGTGCATTGCCGTAGCTAGTCGTAGAGGCCATATAAATGGCGTTGTGTTATATTCCGCCACCAGGAGAGAAGAATATGTATTGGTGTTATCATCATCATATACTTGCCAAGTCTCTCGTTTGTACGGTTCATGAAAATCTCTCGGAAATCGAAATTTGTGTGCGAAATCTGGCCGCATTGATTAAAATGCAGGTCAGCCCATTCCAGGCTTTTTGGGAGCCCACCGCATTTTATTATAATTGAATTTGAAAGGCGCTCATCTAAACGTGCAGTAGAGTTTCAGTGATGTGAAACCGTGGCAAATACGAATTCGTGAAATTCCCAGCCAAATTCATGTCTCGACAGGGCCGAAATTCAAATGTTCTGAACACTTTTTTCTGATCGCCGCGTGTAATATGAACTTCAGTACCGAAACCATCGAACGAAGGCCGATCGAGAGCAGTGTGCTCGAACCTTCGAAAGTACGCGTGCGACCAGCGCACGCATTGTCTTCTACAGTGCGTGTGGTTGTCGTTGCCACAACCGCTGTGGACGAAACCGTGGTCGTTTGACACGGTCATGTTTGGTAGAGTGCCTCGATGGCACTCTAATGACGATAGTTATAGCGCGAGAACAAAACGATGACACAGAGACAAGAAGGACACGAAAGACACCAGCGCTAACTTCCAACTGAGTTTATTGCGCAGAGCACGAAAATATATAGAGGAGACAGTAACCATGTGATAAAAACCATATTGCACAAAGAGCAGAACATGAGTAAAAAGAAAAACAAAGACAAAAAACAAAAGCACAGAAAAACGGCAAAGAAAAATCTATCAGAAAACGAAACAGAAAAGTAAATATAATATAACTACTTGCGCGCACCGAAACCTTCGAGGAACCTGAGTTTCTTCTCGGACAGAGCCACGGAGGGCTTGCTAATACAAGGCACCTGTTCGCGTGCCATCTGCACGGCCTCGACAATGACTCGGGTGCGCTCATCTCTGTGCATGTACAGCGTCGCTGTGTCCTTGAAAAGGGCGACACAATAGCACTCAGTGCAGTGCTGAGCAAGAAAACCCTTTTTCCCGTTTCTAACATTGTTTGCGTGTTCTCCCAGCCGATCGATCGTTCAGACACCTTCCGGTCGTTCCGACATAACAAGCACCTTTTCTGTTTCGTTTTCTTATAGATTTTTCTTTGCCGTTTTTCTGTGCTTTTGTTTTTTGTATTTGTTTTTATCTTACTCATGTTCTGCCCTTTGTGCCATATGGTTTTTATCACATGGTTACTGTCTCCTCTATATATTTTCGTGCTCTGCGCAATAAACTCAGTTAGAAGTTAGCGCTCGTGTCTTTGGTGTCCTTCTTGTCTCTGTGTCGTCGTTTTGTTCTCGCGCTATAACTACCGACATGCCATACCGAATAGCCCAAGCTGCCACACTTCTAAGGCACTCTAATGTATTGCTGACAGAACTCTGAAAGTGTGGGTGCGGCCAACACTCGACCAGTCCAAGCAATGCTGCTTCCAGCAAACTCTGTTCACAAAACCGTGGCAGTTGCGATCATAGATAGCATAAAACAACTTAGTTTTAAAGGCTTGTGGATTGAAAACAAAACTACCGTTTGATGCAACCGCCGAGCACAAAACCGTGATCGCGGCGATGCGATAGCAATCTACGAGCTGCGAGGGCATGTGGCTGACAAATCGGCAGATCAAAAGCAGTAAAGATGTAAGAAAGGCTTGAAGCATTTTGGCGTTCTTGTTCAAAGAACCTAGTAGTGGCGAGCAAAGCCAAAGCTATCACCTGCGCTTTCGTGGCAGCCAACTGAGCCGTCCCATCCGTTCACTCGTGAAGACATATGCGAGTTGTTTTGACGGAGATACATTTTTTGCTAGTTGTTTTGATGACGCGAAATTTCGGAAGCATTTGCGCTCCCCCTTTGAGACTCTCACCTTAGTGAGGAACCCTACCCTTGTGTGTTCGGCCACTTCAAGGCATTATGAGACCGCAACGCCGATGGCGCCGATGTTTGGGCTTGTGTTTGGGGACACCCCCCCTCCCCCCACTCTTGTTTTTAGCAATTTTTTTTCTTTTGGTGTGAGAAATAGGGGAAAATAATTCAGCGAGTCAATTTGATTTATGGTGGCAAAACATTATTATGCTTGTCACTAAAGCCAAATCTATCACAGCTACAAATTAAAAAAAAAAAATATCCGGTGACCCCCCGCCCCCTTCTCCTCTCGGAGGTTTTACAAATTTCTCTGTTGCCAGGTCGGCAGGTATGTATTCATGTTATTCAACTGGCTTGAGAAATATGCGTCCTGTTCACAGTATATGTGAGCTTTCCCACAGAGAATTTTGGTTACACTGGTAATAATTAAATGAATAAAAGAATTACTGAACACTACATGTAAATTTTGATTCCATTAGTGTGTATAATTTTCGTGTTCAGTATTAGCTCTACTGTCTTGGGTCAGGCAATCGGTACTAATGCCTCATTTTCTCTTGCATATTTAAAGTACGGGTGTGAGGATTGAAAGGGTGCTACAGTGAAATGTGAGGTTCGACCATAGATTTTTTATGTTTGCCTGTATGGTTCTTATATATGTGTATCCTTCAATAAACTTTCAGTTGCTAGTCTGTGCTTGTGTGTGTGCCTTCTCTGTTTCTTGCTGCTTTTTCGCACAGTTTTGTAGTTATGAATTACCAACTTGCCCAGCATTCAGTACTCTTATGGTTCTTTTAATGCACATTTGGACTGCCTTACAGTATTATTTACTTGATGGTCAGTTAACATGAGCATTTTAGCAGCATTGGAGTAATTGCGGCACGAGGTTGCAAAATCGATTGCTGATCCTTGAAGTTGCATTTCAGTTGAAGCTAATTGAAAATACACATGCATAATGCACATACACAATACATGGATTTAGAGTCATGTTAAAAAACTTTGGTTGGTGAAAACTAACTCAAAGCCTTAGTTAAATGAATGAACTAATCAGTTTATGGCGCGTCTAAAAATGCAGGAAACAGCATTGAGATGTGTAAAAGCGTCACTTCCATTCCATTGTGATTGAGACGATAAGCTATCCAGAAGTACTGACAGGTGTCTCGAATCGTTGAGAGAGCTTGCTGTGATAAAGCAGAGTTTCTGTATTTAACTTTTGCTGTTGACACTTAAAACAGCTTTTTGTGGATGCATTCACTTGCAGCACATTGAGAAGATGAAAGTGGCAGAGGCCACCATCAGAATGCTGCAAGAGCAGGTTTCAGAGTTGAGCAGTTCAGATGCCCTCGTGCACCTGAAGAGAGACTACGATAATTTGCTGCAAACACGGAAGCAGAAGCATCAGGCCGAAGTGTACAACCTGAACGAGAAAATTGATGAACTAAGCAGAAGCTTGGCTGCAAAAGTGAGCTTTTTTTCCTTCTCTCTTTTTTTGACACCCTCTCATTGACTGTGATGAGTGCTTTTACGTCCATCTTCTTCATTTTGCCACATTTACTCTATGTAACATGGCCACAGTGGTAACGCGAGGGGCGACTTTTTTATTGTGTTAAAAAAAGTGAAAATGAAAGAAATGTGTGTATCATTGAACTTTTTAGACAACTTGCATTTCGATATTTGATTGTAACGCGAGGGTCGACCTCAGGTAGCAAAAATCTGGAGAAAAGCTGGCTATAACTTTAAGTAAATATGGTAGTTGCGAGTTTTGCTGCTGTGCGTCATTCATCATTATTGACACCAGCTTATTTCAATCCCACTTCCAAGGTTTTGGCTTCTCGCACAATGCCATCAACAACATTTGTCCTTATCTACTGAACCCTCTTGTTGGCTCTCACAATTTCTCATTTTGTCATCCTTGCTGGGAATTTATTACTTTCTCCAGAGAGTCCACAATAAATCTTTTTTTTTTTTTACTTATTATGGAGAGTGACCTCTGTTATGTCCAGAAACAGGCAGTGACGTGCTTTATATTGAAGTTTATTACACCAAGGTTTAACTGCGTATGCCAGCAGAGCCATATTGTTGGCACTCTTGATTGCAGCGTTTGCCCTTCGAAGTTGCACCTCTCGTCCACCTGCAGTAATGTCAGTAGCTGAATGTATCTACTGATCTTCCTTACCTATTTCTGTTAGCACCCCAGAACAATTGGAAGACTCTGCTCAGACGTGCTAATCTCTTTGCCTTGGTTATAAATTCTGGCTACGCTCATGGTTGCAGGGTGACGAACTGCGGATGTGCAAGGCTCGTTTCGAGGAGCGCGAGAGGCAGTTTGAAGCGACGCTTTTGGAAAAAGCTGACACCATCAACCAACTTACGCTATCCCTGAGCAGCAGTCAGAAGCAGTGCCAAGAACTCTTGGAAAACCGTGAGTGTGAGAGCTTTTGTGCTTCCAGAGGCTTGGCTGGGTTAGCCTCTATTCCACAGTTCAAAATTGGATCAATGCTTGAGGTGCATCTGAACATCAAGGGAGCTGTAGTATCCTTGCAGTCATGTCATACTGTCACTAAAAATGTACACCTATGTCCAAGCTATGCTGCTCAAGGCATGTAGGTGTCGGACATCTCAGATGGCACAGGTGCTGCTGAAAATCAGATGCTCCAGACAGTTAAGGGGGTCACTGCACCTGAAAACGTTTTGAAAACTTCTTTATCGATTTATATTAAACTCGCTGAGTTTACATATCATTGTGTGCTGATTTCAAATATGCAATTATTTTCCTAGCACTATATGCATTTTTAAATATAAAGCCACAGTCATCCTAAACTGAAGGAGTCGCAAAGTAAGTAGCATGTCAGAATGACCTGGAATGAGTAGAAAGTGTGAGAAAATAAGAATCGATGTTGTGAGGCCATGTGAGCAAAACTTACGGTACATTAAATATTTGTGACAGAAAACCATTTATTTAGATGTGTTTAGATTATTCATTATTGTTTTCTTGCATTAAGTGCTCTTTTCAAGTTGTTTTGGATTGCTTATTTACTGTGTAACTCTCAGTTTTGGCAAAATATGTCTCCCAAAAAACATATCAAATGTTTAATATTTAAAAAAACTGCATATTATGCTAGAAAAAAATAATTGCACATTTGAAATCTGCATACAAGTACATATAAACTTAGCAAGCTTCACCTCAATAGACAAAGAATTAAAAAAAAAAAAATTCAGGACCCACGTTCTCTCTTAATAGCGATGTAAGGTTCCAGCAGTAGAGAACAGAAGTGCTTGGTCAGCACTTCAGCAAAGGTACCATAAATTTTGTTTTTCAAGGTTTGAAGAATCGCTATTTATTTCTCTCTTGCTATCAAAAGCTAAAGAGTAACAGCATTGCATTGCCCCGCCACGGTGGTCTAGTGGCTAAGGTACTCGGCTGCTGACCCGCAGGTCGCGGGATCAAATCCCGGCTGTGGCCGCTGCATTTCCGATGGACGCGGAAAAGTTGTAGGCCCGTGTACTCAGATTTAGGTGCACGTTAAAAAACCCCAGGTGATAGAAATTTCCGGAGCCCTCCACTACGGCGTCTCTCATAATCATATGTTGGTTTTGGGACATTAAACCTCACAAATCAATCAACAGCATTGCATTTATAACTGGAGTGCACATTAGGATCGAAGATGCTGCATCTTTAATTGCTGTTCATGAGCAGCAGTCAAGTGCACGTAAGAGTTAAGTACATGCAGTAACTTGATGGGCTATTGTAAAGTTCCTACTCATGATTTTAATCATCCAAAATAAGCTACATGCTTTTCATTTGCCTTGTATACACGTAATCGACGATTTTCTTGTATCAAGGCACACCCCATGAATCAAGACAGCTCCTTGAGCAGTTCCAGACCCTTCAAGAGGAAAGGGGCAAGGAGAGACAGAGATTGAAACGACTAGAGGTTGGTAATCACTCTTTGTCATGCCTTCCAATAGTACCTTTGCCACTGCATCTTCCGAAACGCACATTTGAAACTTGGACATTGAAGCTTTTTCGTAACTATTTCAGGAGGGAGTTGATGACCTCTATCAGCTTCTTGTACCCAAGGCAAACATGGCCCTCTGCAATCCTGAAATATCGAAGAGGTGAGGGGGAAAATGGACTTCCGGACGGTGCACTGGTGTTTGATTCGCTCGGCACATCAGAGCCCGCCGTAATGTCATTTTACGTATCAGATTATCTGTAGACTTGTCACAGGAATGGACCTCAAGTGAAAAAAAAGAAAAAAAGTGAAAGCATTGCACTAGCGGTTCCAAGCCTGTAGGAATAGTGGAACTGAGTGGTCTTTTTGTTTATTTTTCTCTTTGTTTTTTCGTCCTCCTTTTCTCTCTCATTGTTCTATTTTTATCTCATTCTTATCATTTTTCCTATTGCTTTGTTGTCTATATTTCTTGCTCTTTGTATTCTCTTGTCTTTCTTCCATTTTTTGCTTCCTCTTTCTATCTCTTCCTCCCTCTGTTATTTCTTTTTCAGCCTTTCTTCCCATTATTATATTGCTCTCTCTCTTTCAGCGGTGACTTTTGCTTTGTCCTCTCCTTCTTTCCCTTGCTTCCATTTCCAACCCGCCTCTGCTATACTATACAACGTTATATAATTCTCTGCTAGCAACCCTAAGTAGCCCGAGTGGTTATGATGACCTTTAGATGGTGGGTACACGGGCTCAAATATCACCTTGTCAAGAAATATCTTTACAAAGAATTTTTCTTTTTATGTCTCTTTCTGTCTCTCTCCTGTTCTTTCTCTGTCTCATTCTCTCACCCATCGGAGTTATCAGAATCGTCCGTCGGACAGATTGGCGCAGTGTTCTGTGACTGTAGCACAAGAAGAGGATGAATGTAGTGTGTGCTTGTTCATAATGTTGATAATTTTCTGGAAACAGATTACAACCAATGGCTGGTGTAAACAGCTTTGCTGTTAGAAGAAATGAGAAAATGTTTTTGTGTTAACTGCTTTTTGTTTAATCTTCAGACGTAAAAAAAAATAAAAATAAAATGCAGCACCAAGTGCTTCTTGCATTCTTCTCAAACCCTGTCCATGTGGACGAAATAACTGTGTAGTTTTCTCGAACTGGTCGCCACCTTCGGAAGATGTCAACACTTCATCTCATTGTTGGCAACTAGTTATCGCATTAGGAGGTGCTTTTTGGTGTCAAAGGATTCTGTCATGAATGTACTTGTCATTTACAATGTATCAGCATGTTGGCTAGACAAGTGGAGGGAAATGACTATAAGTGTGGTTGAGGTGGATTGAACGCTTCACAAGGCTCTGCAACCCACTGCCCGTGTGTCGCTCCAGGCTGGTCGATCACTCACCGGTATGTTATAATTTGTTTTTTGTTTTTTTTTCACATCTATTTGCAGTGATGACAGTCTAGCAGCTCGGTCGCTCAGTAAGCCTTCCTCTGAGGATCCGATGTGGAAGGTCCGTCTGTGCTGCCGTGAGGTTGGCCACCTTCGCTCTGAGATCCTGAGGGCGAGGGATGGGCTCTCGCTCGCTGACAAAGAGCTTGACCAGCTCAGGGGAAAGCTGCAAATGGCAGAGGTATCTTTTTTTGTTTGTCTTACATTATTGCTTCTAACAGGAAGCCATGTATGATATAATAATGATAATCAGGGTTTTATGTCCCAAAACCTTGATACAATTACAGCCGCACCCCTTTATCAAGACGCGCACATGGGAGTATTTCTTGCCCCTTACATGAGGTGTCTTACAAGCAAAGTACCACATTCTCATTGTCTAATCAACTCCTATTGTGATGCTGAACACGGTAGTGTCACTTATAACCAGTTGTTTCCCACATCAGTTGCTCCCATAAAAGGGTCCAACTATACGAGAGACGCCATAGTGGAGGGATTTGAAAGTATCGACCACCTGGGGTTCTTGAACATGCACCTAAATCTAAGTACTGTTAAGACGTTTATTAGCGGACACTCGGCGATGATGCACGACAGTGACAGTCAATGTGGGGACCGACTCTCTGCACGAGCTACTCTTCTTTTCACGAAAAGAGTGATTCACTAGAAGGCACTGGAGAGTACGACCCACTGTTCAAAGGCTTCGCTACAACAACCCCGGGTACGAAAAAGGAGCCGCCTGGTGACCTAACAGCTGGTTACTATGAGCGAATCATGGTAGGCCTTGAGACGCTCCACGTTGACAATGTCACGCCCTCGACGGCGCATGTCCGAAGATGGTTCGATGGGTTCGATCGAGTAGTTTACAGAGAAAGTGAGTTCGACAACACGGTAGGGGCCTTCGTATTTGGGCAACGGTTTTGAAGATAGGCCAGTTGCAGTGGTAGGGATCGCGAGCCAGACGAGCGCTCCAGGGAGGAACGAGGGCGCAGTAGTGCTGGCGTCAACGTGAATGCTTTTTTGCCGCTCTTGATCATGCACAGTAAAGGTCTTTGCAAGCAACTTGACACTTTTCAGCAAGCTTGGCTTTAGCAGAAATAGGCGCACAGTCAGACGGACCTGACTTGTATGGAAGTATCGTGTCGATGGTGTGCGACGGGTGCCTTCCATATAATAAAAGGGGGAAAAGCCAGTAGTGCTTTGAGGGGCGGTATTATATGCATAGCTGAGGGCAGAATGGCATCCTAATTTGTGTAATCGGCAGCGACGTACTTGGAGAGCATGTCGCCGAACGTACGGTTGAAGCGTTCGGTGAGGCCATTCATCTGCGGGTGTTAAGCAGCAGTTTTGTGGGGAACAACGTTGCACTCTTTAAGAATGACTTCGACGACTTCAGACAGGGAGACGCGGCCTCGATCACTGAGCAGTTCCTGGGGTGGACCATGTCACAGCATGAATGGTTGGAGCAGTAAGGAGGCCACATCGCTCGCTGTAGCCGCGGGGAGAGCGGCATTTTCGGCGTATCGCGTGAGGTGGTCCATAGCGACAATGGCTCAGCGGTTGCCAGCCAATGTTGGTGGAAGTGGCCCATACAAATCGATGTCAACCCGCACAAACGGCCTGGCAGGGCAAGGTAGAGGTTGCAGACCTACTGGCGACAGGTGCATTGAAGTTTTGCGGCGCTGACAATCTATGCAGGAGCGAACGAATTTCTGCATGCAGCAGTACATGCCGCGCCAAAAGTACCGTTGGCGAACGTGGTGGTAAGTCTTTACCCCAGAGTGCACACATTGCTTATCAGAATGAAAGCACATGTCATAGCGCAGACTGCAGGGGGTATGACTAGTAGCCACTGGCGGCCGTCACCATTGTAATTGCGTCAATGGAAAAGGTCGTCGTGAACGGCGAACTTTGACCTCTAGCATGTTGTCGCTGTTGAAATGTGGCTGCCATGGCTGGGATTCAATCCCGCGACTTTAGGTTCAGCAGCTGAGTACGATGACCTCTAGCAGCAGGTGTGATCAGGTGAAACCGGGACAGTAAATAAATGGCTGCTTGGAAAGGCTTTTTTGATTGTTTATTTTCTAAAGATTTGTATACTGCATAACTGCATGCTTCTTAATGTGATGGCCTGTAAAGCGATTATGACATGTGTAGGCTTGAATGAACATGAATGAGTTTTATTTCTTTTTCTCAGTTTTCTGAAAACATGCTTTTTGGTGACTTTATTAGTTTGTCGGATTGATATCTTGCAATCTAGAACACCTACAGCAATAATTTTTTCATTAACCTAATGCCCGATCTGTGTATTACAAAGTGCTGAGAGTAGAATTTCCATTTGCTTCTCATATAAATTTAGAAGGTATTAAATTTCTTTCTAAGTGATAACCATGAGATGACTCCTCAACTTTCATCATCTGCAGAATCACTAGTTTTTCTTTAATTTGAAATCTGCTTGCAGCATTGCATTTATTGCTAATTGCACTGTATAGATATGCAATAATATTTACTTTTTGATAAGCCCTTTCTTTTCTATAGTCTCCGAAAACAATAGAGTGGCAGCATTGTGTATCTTCTAAATTATTTGACCTACAATGAAATTTTTTTGCATATTTGAAATCAGCAGGAGAAACTACATAAGCATGTATATTTTCATCATATTTGGTCCACAAATACAGAATATATGTCCACACACCATGTCCCCCCTTAAACAAAAATTAACGTGTTTAAAACGCGTCGGACTGGAAACCACGAGCCTGCTTAAAGAACAGAGCGTGAGGTTCCTTGCAAAAGTTCAGCCTGCAATGCAGCCAGCATGAAGAGTTCTTTAAAGAAAACCACCTAGGCACATTAAAGACTGGTAGGTTTATCTACACGAATCAAAGGTTTTGCCTCCATCATGCCTAAAATCAATTTACCTGGCACAAAAGATAGGTTAAATTAGTCAATCTGAAAGTGCACTGAGCAGCCTATTGTTTGTAATATGTATTCCATAACCCCTTTCTTTCTTTTCTCCTTTCAGAATGAAGTAGCTAGGTTACAGGAAAAGCTTCAGGGTAGAGATGGTTCGGAAACAGAGTCCCAGTTTCAAGACATGAAGGATGAACTGACAAGGCAGGTCCAGGTAAGAGTTTGACTTCAAGTGTATATACTCATTGGGAATGCACAGAGCATCCTTACAACCACAATCTAAGGTTAGTCAGGTCTTTCCCCCGAGATGTAACAAACCATTATCGTTCTGCAAATAGCCTATAATACAGCATCCAAAAGGTGGATGGGCCGTTCATAATTCACAGCAAAGAATTCAAACCATTGAGGGGCATGAAGCTAGGGGTATGCTCCCTGTGAAACAACCATAGAATAATTTGTAGTACTTTTACATTCTTGTGTTTCGAGTAAACGTCTTGGTAACAAGAGGCAAGAACAAGATAATAAAGGTATTAGAATGTCACGCAAACTGATTTTGGATGCCAAAGAATGGCAGGTATACATTACTTTCAGCCAATTAGTATAGACTAAGGAGTCCTGCAACACTTTTCCAAGTAACCATTAAATGATTTCACAAAAGAAATTTATTGCTTTATTAATTGACCGCCACAAAAATTTTGAGAATCTGTCACGTATGAGCGGAGTTGGAGCTGTGTCACTCACTGTAATTGCTTTCTCTCTTCTCATCCTGACGAAAGCATTGGAAGCTGAGCAGGGTAAATAAGTCGCCATGTGCACGTTGTGACCGTTAGCACTTTTTTTTGGGGTGGGGAGAGGGGTTAGGATCATGAGCAAGCATGCAGGCATGTGGCGGTCTCTTGTGGTGGCTGCAGTAACTATGCAGTCCATGATGCTCAATTCAGCCAATGGCCATCAATTCGGGTACTCACACCTCATTATAACAAAGTTGCACTGTACATGAAAGTAAGTTCATTATGTAAGAAACGACAACAAAATATTTCCGGATCTCCGGCGAACGTTCATAAAAGCCCATGTATTACATATCTCGCGGCAACGAAATGTTTTTGCACAGCGATCTCGCATTAACGAATTTTCTACCACGGTTCGGGCCTTATTTTACCCTCCCACCAAAGGTTAATTGTCAAAAATATGCTCGTATGCGCACTCAAAATTTGTAAACGTCTGCTTTCGCTGCGCTAGCGTGGGTACCGCCATTTTTGTTTACTTAAATCGGCGATGGAGTCTTTGTCCGGCAACACGCCTGGCCACACTGCAGCAAGCGATGGAAAATGATCATGCTGCGATGGCAAATGATCACGCGGGCTTCACCACCGCTGTGCGAGCATCACGCACGGATTGCGCTTCGGCCTCACCAGACGAAGATTTGGACGAAGGCGCACCTGACGGCGAGATTGGTGGCAGTGCAGTGCCTCTATCCTCTGACCAACGCCTGGGGGGAACTTCGAGTCATGGACATCGACATCCCAGATGAACTCACCGTTGATGCGTTCGTTCGCAGCCGATGACGACGTATTCGTGTGCGAGGAAGTGACCGACGAGGCCATTATCGAAAGCGTGCGTGAAGCTGACGACACCGAGGACCAAGAAGAACGCAGGTGGAGAAACCCAAACCGCGGGTTGTTTTGGATACGCTGGACACCCTTCGCTCCTTCTTTGGCATACTTGACGACGACGTAGCATTGGACCACTTTTTTCAGTGCCAAGGGAGAGCTTTGAAGTTGTTGCATGGCAAGGGTCGGCAAAGTAAGTTGACCGACTACTGGCAATAAATTTTCGTTTTGCTGGCTGTATGGCTGTTTTTATGTCTCACACTCACAGGCAACGAAATTCTCGCGAAAACGAAATTTTTCGGTTTCCCCGGCGATTTCATTATTGCGGGTTTCGACTGTATTTGCATTTGAGTATAGTATGGTCTGGTCGTTTGGGTATATAACACCATTTTTTTAAAGTGAAGGGATTAATTTCTAACTGACTAAGAATTAATTGTGAATTCTGGACTGTGTGCTGCGCTGGAATGTTTGGCTGGCATCCTCTCGGAGCCTCGATTACTGATTTGCAGCGATTTCTGACCATGCCGGAAAAGTGTTGTAGGGCCCTTTTAATGAAGCTTTGTCATCCACAGATTAGAGCTGGAAATTGACAATTTGCCCCGAAAGTGATGGCTTTGACACCTATTCAAGGTCTTCTACTGTACAGTATACCAATGAAGTTTGGTGTTGAAACTGTTGCTTCTGAAGTTCGTTGATGGACTCGTTTCCTTCCATCTAGACCTTGGAGGCCAAGCTGTCTCAGGCCGAGGCTGCCTGTGAGCATCTGAAACAGCAAGAACGCCAGCTCCTGCTTGAAAGAGAGTCTTTGCTAAGGACCTGTGCCGAAGACAAGGCTCAGGCGATTGAAATGTAAGCAAGATCGCACTAGCTCTTTTTACAGCTCAGCTGTTGTAAAGCTTATTTCTCTATACCTTCATGGTCCTGAATCACGCCACATTTTTCCAGAGATGTCATTAAAAGAAAAAGTTTACTGAACCCAAAAGAAAAGATAGAGAGATGTTCTTCACACATACATCAATAAGCATATGCTGCCTTTGTCCACGCCAGCGTTGTGATATATCTGTCAGCGAGCATGCCTTGTTTGTCTGCAGATAAATTTTTCGTTCTGTTCCCATCAAGTGGAACTCTGTGCGCCAAATTGAAGAAGAAGTTTTGAGAAATTTCTCGGGAACAAGTTCAGTGGCACCTGCTTTTAATGATAATTCACAGCTGTTGAATGGCTTCAGCACTGCTTTACTACTACTACTATGCTACATGTTTTGATGTTGATGTTCAGGTGCAAGAACTCGATCCTGGAAATGCACCATGGTGCGATGAAGAGGTTAAGGGAAGAGCTGCTGTCCTTGTCGGAACGTGAAAAGGAACAGGTCATCCAAGAATACGAGGCAAGATTACAGGAGCTGAAGTAAGTTTTGTCTTTTCTTGACGTTAAATCCAAACAACAGAGAAGTTCTGGGAAAGATTGGAGTTCAAAAAGGAAAAAAAAAAAATCTTTGAGCCTACATTTTGACAAGTTGGCTTGTCTTCATTCGCTGTGGGCAAGTCCATTTGTCAAAATCTTTGCTTCAGGGACACCCTCCTCCCCATTTTAAGAATGTTTTCTCTTCATAAGTTTAGATGCCTAATATCAGACATTCTTAAAGGCAGTGCTAAAGGATGCTTATTATGCCTAAAGGTAGTTTTAAAGCAATACAGTATCCTTACACAGAGTGCTAAAAGAAGGTATTATCCTTTTAATGTTTGGTTCTTGTGATGATTTGAGTTGACCATAATTGGTTCTCTGGAAATACATTTTAAAAAATTTTAATCATGTATGGTTCCCAACACTTCCTAGGATTTCAGAAAGTATCAGAAACTGTATATCAATTAAACAGTGTTGCAGATACAACATAGAGCAGAAATTTGTTAATACCATGGCATCAGGAAATATATTGCAATTTTAGGAGAGTTCTACAACCGATACGGTGTGTTATATTGGTTGACTTCACGCACATATGCTTCATCACCTTTTTCAGTTAGCATGGCCAAACTTGAAAGTAAAATTGAGCAAAAACTGTAGCATTGCAGTATTGTTGGCATTTGTACTTACGCTTGCAGCTATGGGAGTCATTCATTTCTTCTTTTCATTTCCAGCTCCAATTACAGTACCTTGCAGCAGACCATCAGTGACGTGAAAGAGCTCTACATACGGAGTTGTGAAGAAAAACGTATGCTTGAGTCCCAGATCCAAGATCTGACTAGGAGAGAGCAAAATATTAAGCAGGACACTGAAGAGAGGCTTCACAAAGAGTTCAAGGAAGTCCTGCAGAACGGTGATTACCTGATCTCAGATTTTTGTCCGAGAAACTTGACTTGAATCAGGAGCTAGCAGACACATTTCTCTCTGTCCTTGTCTGCTGTTGACTTCCATGTAGTATTTACATTCATGTTACATATTCATGTTACTATCCATACATGTCAGCTCATGAATTGACAGTAAAGTTTGCGAATATTGCATTGACTTTTTTAAAAGATCTGGTCTCAGAAATGCTATGCTCCTTGGTCTCCAAATGTTTCGTTGTAATGTGTGTATAGTCAAAGAACATAGCAACAGTACTTGCTTTGAATGAGTTTATGCAGTAAGTTCTTTAAATAGAGTAAAAACTGACAGCAGTTATGTGAGTAGTATGCAAAGACTGCACAGCAAGAACCATGACTTTGTGTCCACGTCTTAACACCCAAGTTTTTTACATTGTGAACCCTGTCAACTTGTGTCTAGATTATGTCATTATAAAGAAAGTGTGTCTTTTTCCCGGTCTGTGCTGTTCCAAGTTTCCTAGTACGTTATGTCATAAGGCAAACTACTGCTAACGAAATGTGTGTGTGTGTGTGTATCGCACAAAGGTGATGCACTGGGGACAATTTTTTAGAGCATGCTTTCCGCCTTCCTTTTCATTGTTACAACTGAAGGGTTTTAAGATTTTTACCATTCACAAATTGATAGGCATGAATGTACATAAAAGTAAGTTTTTAACCGTGTGGTTACACTTTGGCACTTTTGAACTTAGTCACAGGTATATACGTCAAAGGCATTTCAAGAAATGTATCGAAAATCTTCTAAACATCTGGGAAATGCAATAGTTTTTTTATGCCTTCAGAATTACTTTTGTAGCTGTGGGTGTCTTGAAATAATTAAGGACATCACTTGGGACAGTAATCAAGAAAGCTATATTAATTCACTTTGTTAATTAGTACCCTGGCAGCAGCTTGCATAAGCAAAGATGCTTCTAGGGCCTAGTGTTGACACCTGTCATCTCTTACGGGTAGTCGAGCTTCCCACATTTTCAGTAAGCGTGCTAATTTCAGGGGCAGTGCTCGGACCCCGAGCACATCCTGCACACATGCCTCACAGAGTGAGGAAATGCGCACACAGAGTGAGGGAATATAGTGCACGTTCCAGTACCCTGGCTTTTTAGGTGAACGAAGGAAGTGTGCTGTCAAAAAGGCTTGTAGAACCCGACCTTTGCGAATGAAGACTTGGAGATTGGCATCGCAAGACTTTTCGGAAAGATCATGAAATCCAAACTTGTGCCTGGAAATAGCGCATATGCTTTCAGAAAATGTGGTCAGCACACGCTGTCATAGCAGAGGACGTGGTCCGAGACCTCTTCTCAAGTGTTTGTGCATGTTCGAGCTGTTGCTGCTGGCATTCGCCGCCTCGCAATGTCGCGTACTCCAAGTTCCCCATAAGTGTGAAACAGCCTGTACGTGACATGGAAGGCATACGTTTACGACATAAGGGGTCTACTTTTTTGCGCGATACCTCACGAGCTGGTTTTGTTAACCATCAGCCGTTACAATAACTCAAGCAATGTGTATTTTCTGTCTGCTTGCCTTGTTTTTTTAGCTCGGCCGGTGTGGGAGGAAGAGATGATGAAAGACTTCAAGCAGCAGCTCGAGCAGGAAAAACAAAAGTGGCGGAAAGACTTTGACGCTGAAAAACAGGCTGCCCTGGCAGAACTGACGGAGCGGCTTGGCAGAGAATATGGGCAGCGCCATTCTGAAAGGGTACAATTTCTGTAATGCTTCTTTTTTGTAGAGCGATAGTGCTATTCCTTCTGCTACAAATCCAGAAAATGATCTTGTGCGTGCTTTTGACTTTGAAGCTCGCCAAAGCCAATTTTCTCCTCTTCCTCCTTATATTTCCATTGTCATAGCAACAAGCCTGCCCATTGTTTCTTTGCTCTCCTCTTTCGCGGGCTCCTCTTAGTCAGTTGAGCTCCGAAGTGATGTGCAGGCGCCCTTCGGGCCATCAGCTTTTGTTACATGGCTCCTGTTCCAGCATTACAAAGATAAATGTAAACAGCGTGCCTCTGCTTGCCATGGAGGGATACCGACACAGGAATGATGCCATGGAATGCTTTCCAGGGTTGTCGCTACTATGCTGGACGTGTTTTTTTTTACCATGTTCAAATTCAGCGTTATCTTTTTCCCTTCAATCATATGCTCCCAAAGGGTAAGCGAATTTGTTAACACAGTTTGCAGTGAAGATGACAGAAGTTGACTATAAGCGTCATCATCAGCATTAGGCAGTCGTTCGCCACTTGTGCTCGGACTTAGTGTTGTGTTCTTGACTGGTACATCAGTGGTTCCTAAGTCCTAGTAAATATGAAACTGCTTCACATGTCATTGATCTTTAGACGGTATGGTGGGCTCAGAAGCTTACTCTCCTGGTCATCTAATGCTTTTAAGAGTTGTTAGGATGAATGAGAGGAAGAATAAAGTGTTCTTGGTATATTCAAATGAATTTACTGAAAATTGTTCTCACATGACTATACAAGCTCATTACCTCGAATTTCGCGGGACCAGAAAAAAAAATGTCCGAACTAGCCGAATGCCAAATTATCTAAAGTATAAAAAAACAAAACAATATAGATGTCTATTACATCAAAGCACTTTCATTTTCCTAATGAGTACGTAAATCGTGTACCAAGTTTGCATAAGAGTTATCCAGAACTCATTATTTTTGTCAACCTGTGACTTCTTTCAAAACGTGATAATGGTTCAGGACCCCATGTTTCAACTAGCATAAAACCTGCTTGGCACCTCTCCCTTATTATGTGCAGCGACCACCACCAACACTACCATGCGCACGTGATGATACGTATCTCGGCAATAAAATGGCTGGCAACTGATCGTTCGTCTGTCGCGATGTAGCAAGCTCACGGACTGTGGCTGAAGTTCTTCATCTTCAACAGCTTCTGTCATGTTTGAGTTTTTTTTTTACACTGCGCGCTCATCGCCCTTTAGTCAAGACAAAGTTGCTAATTGCTACCTCGGTTGTGATGCCATTATGGTATCCACACACTTCTGAAGGCATGGTGCAGTCTACACTCGGAGCAGAAGCAAAACTGCTCTGCCGTGGAAGAAACCCGACTCGTTGGTGCCTAATCATGGGTGGCAACAACGCAGCCTGAAAACAATGCAGGTGGAAACAAAACTACTGCTTGGCGCAGCTGTGTCCTTAGTCTCTATTTACGTGAGTGTGGAGTCCAGGTTGTTCACGTATGCTGAAAAGTTTGCCGCAGCTATTGAAGCCTCAATTGGTCACCAACGACGTGATTGTGGATGGTGACCATGCCTCTCTGAAGGCCTGCGGCCGTTTCAGTTGTGCGTGAATGTCGTTTTCGATCCTTTGCGTTGCACATTTGCAGGTGCTTCACACTGCAAGGTATGTCCGGAATGACCTGGTTGCAGCCAGATATGTCCTAATTAACGAGAGCTTGATATTATTAAACTATGCACATGCTTCTTGTGACCAGAGAACATGTTTTAATCATCTGACTTTCCAAATGAATGTAGGTTGAATTAACAAGCTTTTACTGTACCTTGCCTCCTGCCTTACGGGCTTCCACAGAAATGATTTACTCTATTCCGAGAAAAGTGTTCCACAGCGTAGAAGTTTTAAAGCTGAGTAGAAAGACATGTTTCGATGGTTTGGTGTGATGCATGTCTGTTACGTGTGTCTGGTGACGAATGTCTTTATGTTAGATCAGTGGTTCTAAATTGGGGGTTCGCGGATCCTAGGGGGCCCATTTCTAAGATCCGCGAAACCCCAGCCCACTTTTTGTCTTGATTTTTTTATTGTTTTTACGTATACAACTCTGTTTAAGCGCAACTGTGCCACGTATTGGTGAACTGTCCAAAATTAAGTGATGTGGCACACTTGTTTGATGTTTTGGTAGCAATAAAAGGCACCTGTTGCATGCTCTAGTTGTGGTAATTTACGTATGTACCCTCTCCTCCACTGCAAGGAGTCCCCCCATCATTTCGACCAGTCCACAAGGGGTCCTTGACACATCCATGGCTGAGAACCACTGTATTAGATGTATTTTTTAATTATATATAAACATCTTTAGCACATTCTGACAAGAAAGAAGCAGCACATGTTACAGTCTTATGACAGGTTTATCTTTTAAAATTGAAACTGTGCTGTAACATACAAGGTCATGAGATGTCAACCAAAAGTGACTCAGTGCTGTGTCAGGAAATGAAAAGCTTAGCAAGGAACGCCCTCTTGGAAAGTTTTGGCTTCATCTGTGTCGTTTATCATTGAGTCATTACTTTAGTTTCCAATAGTAACTGAACTTGTGCTGATCGTGAAGGACCCCGGGACGGGTGAATTGCAACTTAGCCACATTTGGATGGTACTGTATGTCTTTTCTAACTCGTGACTGTGCACTAATGTTTCAGGATGAAAAAGGTGAAAAACAAAAGGAAGCTTTGGATCAAGAGAGAAACCAGCAGATTCACCACTGGAAAGAGGTACGCTCGTGTATCATGTACACAGCTTGATATTCCTACAACTTGCAGTAACATGTCAGAATAGCAATGTGCAATATCTCACCTAATGCATTGCATGCTAATGCATATTTAAAAATGAATAAATATGTGCACTTCCACTACTTTGGCAATACTGCTGGTGTTGATAATTGGCCAACTCATCGTTAATAGACAGTCATGTTGAAGAATTGCTAGTTGGCATATTGCTACCTGTTGATGAAGTCTGTGTTAGTTTAGCAATTCATCGCTTTCTGGTTGTAATAAAGCAAAAAATGTTGGTGTGGTAAATGGCACCTAGATTTCGCGAGTGAATTTGCCTGAATGGTGTTAACAAGCAACCATATTTCAAAGCAAAAAGGAGGCTATTTTTAAATTATTTTTTTTTTATGTCGCACACTTTCAGCCAAGTATAGGGCATCTTATTCTTTTCGCTTGGTTGTTACTTATTACTGCATTGTGATTTTTTTTTATCAAGTGAGTTTTGTACAACAGTAAGTACTGAACTTACTCAATTCACTGCAACAGTAAATTAAGTCAGTATTCGGAATTCTTCTCTTGTGTGAGTAGCATCCCTGATTAGTCATTAGGATGTGATCATGTGGCCACGTCACCCGTTATTAGTCAATAATCTCGCATAATAGATTTTTGTTTTTGAAGCCCATGTTATGAACTGTGTCCATTTTTGATATTCAAGACAAAAACATTGCTTTTGAAGAAATTCGACAGCTTACTCATAATCTTAAGTTGTCGCCATCAGCCTATTGTTTTTAAATGACCACTGCGGGAGAAAGACCTCTCCTGATGATGCAGGCTGATTTGATTTTCAAATCTAAAGTATCTTATTTTTGTTTACAGTAGTTATTTATGAAGCAGAGAGAGACAAAGAATTTTTCGTGATATGCATATCTGTAATGAAAAATGACTGACACAAGTGACTGAGGCGCATGATAGAAAAACTGCAACATGTGATGCTCTTGTTCCTGTGAACACTTGATAGGCACTCTCATTATCAGAGTTCCTGGGAACAAGTGTGCCACATGTCACAATTTTCTCTCTCTCTGGTCGTTGGTCACTGTTGCCAGTTTGTTTTTCGTTGCAGCCGTTCAGCGAAGATGAATAAAGCTTACCATCTCGTAAAACTGCTGGTTTTCAGACGGTTTCTAAGCTGCAAACTCTGGTTGATGAAAAGGATGGTGAGCTGCAGCAAGTTCTGGCTGCATCAGCAGAGAGGGAGTCACAGCTTAAGCAGAAGCTGCTGAAGTATCATAAGAAGGTGCAGCAGCAGAAGCGCGAGAACAAGGAGGAGCGGCTTGCTCAGGAGAGGCAGCATGCTGACAAACTGGCGACGCTCACAGCGCAGCTGCAGCAGCTGCACATCCATCCGCACGACGGCCTCACTAGTAGCAATCAGGTACGTTCTCTTTGCTCCTTAATTCAGGCCTTAGAAACGACAGTGGCTAGTTCAAGTACTGAAACTCGTCAAACAATGCACAAAGCAAGAAGTATTTGAGGACAAGAATCTGTTAGTTTGCAACAACATGCACAGATGGCACGATAGTATTGTGGCAGGACAAGAAGGAAGCTTAGGTTTTATCACTGCATTGTCAGATGGTGCGTTTCGGTGTGCTCCGATTGTTGACGCGCTCTTCCACGAATACTGCGCATGATGGTTGCCATATCGTCTGTCTTATATGGCATCTTTTCCCCTGGTTTCATTCGGTGATCTCAAGAAACATGCCACAGACATTTTATTGATAGTGATCACTAATTATATCCCTAAGCCACATACTGAGCTAGCAGCAACAACTATAGAGCAGGCAATGACCACCGATTAAATAGCACTGAATGGCCTTCCATTATTGAGTTAATGGAAAGTTTAATTTACTCGAGCTGACTCTCAACAAGGCATGTAGTGGCACCATGCCTATTTCCGTGTCTTCATTGCTCAAGCGACGGCTGTTGTGTGTACAGAGTATGTTCAGTAAATAATGGTGTGGCAGCATTCGACGTGACATAATAGCGACAAAGAAACTTTTTCACACACAGAATTAACTTTCAACAACAACAAAAACAAGTAAAATTTTAGTGTTGTGTGAGAGAGTCACTTAACACATGAGGTTTCTTGGAAAGCTTGTGCTAATTATGGCATATATGACAAGGGAAGAACAAGAAACACTCCTCTTCCCTGTCATGTTGCTTTTTCACAGCATTTCAGTTTTTGCAGAAAAAAAAAACAAATTATATTATTTAAATTGGTGCAGTCCTAGTGCACGGTTATAGCATGAGCTTGATTTGCAGTTGGTCCTTTCTTGTGTATGTGTGCGTTTTTCCAAGCTGCAGTTCAATGCACTGTGAGTGAATGAAGTGTTATGTAAAACACATTTTGAACTACTGCATAGTATTGGTGATATCATCTCTTCTATCTTGCAGAAGAGCATGGTGGAAATGATAGATAAATGGAGTGCCTGGTTTGTAGAGTGCCTGGAAAATGTTTACAGTAAGTAAAACGTCACTTTCTTTCTCTGCCCTCCAATCATAGCTCTCGATAACTTCTCTTTTTCTGGCTCAATGACGATCTCCATTGCAAGTAGTAGTAGATACACCAAAAGTGAACACTTTTTTTCATTCTTTTTATTAGAAGCCATATTTTCATGTAATTTATTATACATATTATACATGACTAAGGTGAATTAATTTGTCACACTAATTGTACATTCTTCTAATATTTTGCACTGGTGTTAAGACTAGACGTGCACACACGGACACAAGAGAAATGTGTAGACCGCACTTCTCTTGCAGCATGTGCCTTTACATTTCTACTTACCCTTGATAGTGGATTACTACTAGAGAGAAAAATGTCTACGATGAAAAAAAAAAAAAAAAAGCTGAGAGGTCGACCTGAATCAGGATTAGTAGTAGTAGAAGTAGTAACCGTACTACGTATTAGATGGGGTGGCGTAATTCAACATTAAGTCGCAAGTTCAATTTTCAGTTTTCTGCGATCACGTGTTGATACTAACATAATGGCAAGAACCACTGGGTACATATGAAAGAATCCCAGATGGTCAGAGCTAACCTGGAGTGCTCTCAATAAGACACTTCTCATAGCTGGTAAAATCAAGTCAACAAATAATTCTAGGTGGCGGGAAAAAAACTGCATGTTGTGATGTCCAATGCCATCCATGTTTCCTCTTTTTACAGAGGACATCTGCATTTACACAGAGCAAGTGGAAAAAGCGAAAAGTTCCGAGATGCGTCAGCTTCTCCACGGCTACCATCAGTACCTTCTCACGCAACGATTGCAAAGTGAAGAAAACGTTCCACGAAGACCAGCGATGACACCACCGTTGCAACGGTTGCAGCCACAGCCACGAACCACGCCTCCAGAAAGACTTTTCACCGGGAAGTCCGAGCACACATGCCCGACATTTCCCTCTCGTCTCCCCTCCAAGAGTGTGAAAGACTCTGCGGTGAAGTCACACTGCAAGCCAGTGGACTTGGACCTTTCCGGTGTTTCGGACGGAAGTGTGTTCCTGCCACCGCCGTCTCCCGTCAAAACGTCGTAGTTCTGCGTGAGGGCGTCAGCTTGGGTTCCCGCAGTGCGTGAAGTGCTTGCGTGTGTGCAGAATCCCGACTTCGCTTCTTGCTTTCCTGTGCACATTTCTAAAAGCGTAGCACCGAACAATACACCTAATTGCAGTTTCTGGAGGTCGTAGATGCGGAATCGTGTGTGATTTCCATTCAAGCAATAGAAATATGCAGTTATGACAATGTGTGGTGTTCCATTTCATTTGGTGTGATGAGTGATTACCCTGGTGCCAAGAAGGTGATCGCACTCTTTGAACAAGTGCCACGAAGCCTGACGTTGTAAGTTGAGTGAGTACAAATGCATTGGTACTGCCTTTTGAGCAGGCTGTTTGTTGTGCATGGCTAGCTCGTGTAAAATGTCTGTACAGCCGCTGCACAGTTTTGCCTCTCTGCCATGGTTTCTGTGTTGGTTGCCAAGCATAGTTAATAGCATTGTACATATGGGCAGCCGTTATTTATGACATTTTTATATAAAAAGAAAAAAAATAAGCCTGAAATGTTCACTATTGAAGCAGTTGCTATTTCCTGTTGTATGCTGCACTGTATGGAACGAAGGTTCCGGTTGGCTAGCATGTGTGATTGTAAATATGCTGATGTTAAAACACCACTGTCATATTCTGTTTGGCATAGAACATTGAGCACTCCCATTTTATGACTGTAAAAATGTATTATAGAAACTGTGATCAAGCTGTGTGCAAACCTGGTGATGAGCCATTTACTCGCTTTCTGTAGTTCATCTGTACTCATCAGTAATGTTCACGCATTTCTACTCCTGTGTCATTTCCTTGCACGTATTTTAAAAGACTACATACTCATCGGGGCTCCTAGAACATGTGGGTATGTTCACAAGGCCATATTAATGACCCATATTTTGCATTGTAGTTACATAGTCTTCTTGTTTTACTGTATCTCGGTGGTGAACTGAACTAGTTTTACTTGTTCACTTTATGTGTAAGACATGTGCTCACATTTCCTTATTTATCACGTGTACTTTAGGCAGTATACTGAATGCATTGATCAGTTTGGTGCCAAGGGAAAAACCCCTTATTCTAGTACTTTTATGTCTAAACCCTATGTTGTACATACCTTCTTCTACTATTTGTACATGCTTTTGTCTTTATTGTCAACTATCGGGAGTTTTAAAATTTTTGCTTTACACATTTTCCTAGTTATCTTTGGGCTTATAGTGAAATATAAGTTGTGGGAAAAGCAAGTGAATAAAATAACATTATGACGATGTTGTTTTAATTTTTAAAATGGGACAGGTAGATCTATTTTTTGCTTTTTTTTTCTGTTTTAATGCTTAATACAGGGATCACAGGATATCGTACATGTTGCAGGTTTTATGCTTGAATACACACACTAGTTTGCCAGTTTAAAATCCGTCAATTAGCAGTATTAAAGATAGTTGTTTGCTTCCACATACACTCATTGGATCACCCTATGTGCCAAATTTCACGCATTTAAAGCCGCGAGCGCAACGCTTTACGAGTACTTTTTCATTAAAAAAATGATGGTCTGTAATGCCTTCTTAATGCCATGGTCACTGGTTTCCGTTTTAGTTTATAGCCAGGAAAAACAAAAGTGAATGGACTGCGCAGTACCATTTTAGATTTACTTGCTTGTGTTTGCGGCTCGACGCGTATGAATAAACCATTGTTACGAAACTTGCCAAGCGTCCTTTCTTTTCCCCGCCGCCTGGAACGCGACATAAAGTGCCCAAATTTCTCACCGAGTGAAACGGAAGTTTGGATTGCAAGAAAATATTCGTTCTGTGGGCAATCAACGGGAGGCCGGCATCAGCTGGGTGACGGGAGCTCACGTGCCACTATTTACATACGGGCACTTTGAAATCAACTTCCGGTCGTGTACATCCGTTTCGTTCGGAGAGTGCGCAGAAGCTGGGGGCGTCGAACGCGTAGCCATCTTGGTGTTTTGGGTGTTGTTGTAGGGTATTATATCTGTGATAATCGGCCGGCAGCGAAGCGCTGTGCGTTCGTCCGAAGTGTATTTTATGATTTGAGAGGCTACTCGTCGTCGCGAGATATTTATTGCAGCTGATTTCAGCCTCATTGTTCACTCGTCGCCAGTGGGGCACAGGAGTCAGCGGCTTAGGATGGCCAATAAAGATGATGAATACGATTATCTTTTCAAAGGTAAGCCAATTTTCTGCTCCGCTTACCGTTGCTAGTTAACAGCAGCGCGTAAATTGTGTGCCTCTGCCGCGCTTTCTAATTTTTACTTTCGTACCTGTCCTCGTTTGCCGGATCTGCTCCCCGAGTCCGTTCTCAACTGGGTGAGGCTTCCATAGGCTTAATTTCGTGGCCCAACTTTTATTTCCTTAACTTCCCGAGTGATTCTATGCTTTGCTTTATTCACCAGTCGTCCCTGAATTCACCTCTCGACTTTTCCGTCTCGGAGATTTTAATTTCGCTGCGCCGTTTCCCCGTGTTATGAGTGGGGCGGACAGTAGACGGTGACGTTTGTAGCAGGCACTGTTTGACTGTGTCATGACTTATTTCGGCTACAGCGGCAACTGCCTCTTAAACAGAAGCACAGTCGCAACATTCGTTTCGCGTCCCTTACAGCGACGATCGTCGTAAACGCTCTCCTTGTTCGTTTAGCGACGATGTACAACGCCTACTTGTCCATAAGCCTAGTTCGCTCGACCCGCTTTGACGTTGAGTGTGTGCGTGTCGCGATTCTGCCCGTTGATGTCATCCTGTGCGGAAGATGACTGTATGGTAGTTGCTTGTGCGCGGCCGTCGGCACTTTTTTTGTGGTCAACTTTAATCTACCGCGCCCGTGAAATATTGGCCCAGTGCTGTCGACCGGGAAACCGCTTCATTCGCTGTGCTCATTCAAGGACACGACTGAAGGAAAACATTGAGGACGTTAGTCGGTTTCGCTCCGCGTCTAGGCGGTAGTATACGCGACGATGGCAAGGTTCGTATCGGAAGGAAGATCTGCTGGCGTTGCCACCCACCGCGCTTTGTGAGGGTCGTATGAAGTGTACCAGGCGAAACCGATGTGAGACGTGTCAGTTTGGCCATCAAATGCGTCTGCTCATACATTGCCTGCCCTGCTACCGAGCTTACGATGTGGTACGAGGGCTCAGGTTTACTCCCACAAAAGTAGTGCCGGAATCCCAACTGTATCGCTCCTGATAACGCGCCCCCACGTCATCTGAATTCCGACATTCGCTCCTGGCACATTACCGTTTATCAGCTGCTGTTCGTGGCACAGTACAGACCAATACTGACCTGCTGACCCGAAAATCGGGCTGTGAAGTCGAAAGATACGACCCAGCGCATACACCCATCGTGTAGCATTTTAATTTAATCACCTCTGATAACATGTATTTCATTATTGACGTGCGATGGCATTTAAGCATCCTACTCCCTCACCAGAATGATTGTCATTTGAGTAAGGTGCACACAGTCCTATCAATTTATAATCCTTTGATTTGAACCTTTCAACGTAATTCAAGGGCGATGTGTCAAATCGCGCACAGAACACATCACTAAAAGATGACGTCGCCGGCTTTTTACTCTTGCTATATTTGTTGGCAGATTGTGCAACTTCTGGGCCTGTGAAATACACTTTAGGAGCGGGAGCTGTTGATGCTGTCTGTAAACTGTTCACTGTTGAGCAGGGTCTTGCACAGTACAAATGGCATGGCCTACTTTTGACATGTCAGTCGGCGTTTGTAGCTCTAATAGCTCCCACATTATCATGTTGTGCGACTTAGTAAAAGTTTTTTGCTTGTGTAGAAAATGCTATGCAGTCGACAGTAATAGCCAAGGCTTTCTTGCCCAAGAACATGTCATTTTGTTGTTCTGATGTGCTGGCCTTGAAATGTGAGTGAGTGCTGTGAAAGAACTTCAGTACGACTGCACAACAAAGGCAGCCCCGCCGTGGTGGTCTAGTGGCTAAGGCACTCGGCTGCTGACCCGCAGGTCGTGGGATCGAATTCCGGCTGCGGCGGCTGCGTTTCCGATGGAGGCGGAAATGTTGTAGGCCAGTGTGCTCAGATTTGGGTGCACGTTAAAGTACCCCAGGTGGTCGAAATTTCCAGAGCCCACCACTATGGCGTCTCTCATAATCATATGGTGGTTTTAGATTGTTAAACCCCACATATCATGACGATAGTTATAGTGCGATAACTGAATGACGACGCAGAGACAAGGACACGAAGGACAACAGCTGTCTGTGTCATTCTGTTCTCACGCTATAACTATCGTCATGTCATCCCAACTAGCCCAAGCTGCCACCCTTTTACCCACATATCAATCAATCAAATCAACAAAGAAAGGCACGTACAGCGAAAACTGTTTTTCTTTTTTTTTGATCTGCAGTTGCACTTAAATTGTGGCCAATTTGTCTGAAATGCTGCTTTGCAAAACTAATGCAATGTTTAGGACCTCTGTCTGCTAACAGCAACACCAGGCATTAATACTTTCACAACATATTCTACAATTTCAAAGAAAGCCTCTTGGGGAGTTCTGCCAAACGCGCTTCATTTGGTTGTGCTACATCTAAATCTGTGCTTTAACCTTTGCACAGGGATTATTTCCATTATCAACAAGAAGGCAGACTCTTGAAACATTAAAGCTCTGAAAAAAACGAAACAAGAAAACTAAGCTTTGGTTTGTAAACTTCTGGTCCAAGGCCCACGAACAGTCGAGGCAACATATCATGCTCTTGCACTAAAGCTGCCAGAAAGTGGCTGTGTGTGCAACTGGGTTTTGTCAGCGGGTCCTCTAATCATTGACATCATTTCTTCTCGCCAAATTAACCTTGCTCATAATTTTGTTTCATTGAACTGTTCACACTTTATTTGCGAGTTGTCACATGTTAATTCTAAGTACTCGCATCAGTATACTGACAGTGTGAGCATTGTAACAGCGACATAGCTTAGGGTGCAATGATGATGACTTGATTTTATCAGTATATTTTTCATTTTGGAGAACTAGCTCTAGTCACATGATGTGTGGGCATAGGTTTCTCAGCTTGTAGAAATAATTCTTGAAAAGTGTCGTAGTACTGGCGATGCAGCTGCTATTTTTTTTAATTTTCGGTGGGGGGGGGGGGTCAAATATTGCAATAATTGTTGCATATATCAAATGTTTAACTGTGACTAGACTCGTTACATGCCTATTCACATATTAAAATTTCTTGCTAGAACAAGAACTCGCCAGATTGGTCTAGTGGCTAAGGCACTCTGCTACCAACCCACAGGTCACAGTATCGAATCCTGGCTGCTGCAGACACATTTTGATAGAGGAAAAAATGCTGGAGGCCCCTGTGGTTAGATTTAAATGCATATTAAGAACCCTGAGGTGGCAGAAATTTCCGGAGCCCTCTACTACGGCATCTCTCATATGGTGGTTTTGGGACCTTAAATTATTAGGTTAGAACAAACAAATGAATTTATATGCACAGTGAAACGTGAGTAAAAGACAATGCTACCAGCAATTTGACTGCACACACCGTTGTTTCACACCATTGTGAGGTATGACATGGGGCAAGGATGTATGGGAGTCATTTTCTGGAAATATTCTTGTTTTAGAAATGACCAACATTCCACGTCCACTGTTCCTTGAGCGGTTCCTTGAGCTGCCTTCTAATTGGGCATTACAAAGAAATAAAATTTTAAAATGCCATTCCATATTGACCTAGAACATGTGAATAGGAATGCCATTTTTAAAATGCCATTTTATGTTGACCTAGAACATGTGAATAGGCATGCCAGTAATTAAGCTGCTGAAATCCATGCAAAGTGGTGCTGCCTGGCTCATAATGTCTACCTACGGAACATGCAGTGTGAAGGAGTTGCTTGAACTGCAATCTGTAGACATCATACAGACATCATCTTTCATAAATTGTATTACTACTTTCCCAAATTCCATGGCTCCTTTCTACTGCCTTTGGCCCATTATCCGCTTCATCTATCAGCGTCCAGTCACTTTTTGGTAGAACCACATTTGACAAATAATTTCGTTCTTTAACCAATGGGTATTCAATCTGCTTACCTAAATTGATTGTTCTGGAGTGCAACCTACTGAAAATTGAAGGAATAACAAACCATTCTTGTTTTGAACTGCGTTAATACTCCCCTCACACACCTTCCTCCCATTATCTATCCGACATTTATATACATTTATAATTGGCCTTATTTAAGCATTTCAATAATGAATGTCACTTTTGGAGCTTTTAGTTAAAACTGCGTTAATACTCCCCTCATACACCTGTATCCTATTATATACCTGACATTTATATACATTTATAATTGGCTTTATTAAAGTATTTCAGTGATAAATGTGTTACTTTTCGAGCATTCAGTGCACACGCGTTTCTTGTGTTAAACGTAAACATTTTTGACAGCAATCTGTCTGGCTGGGTAGAAAAGTTTAGAAAATTGAAATTGCTCCAGCCACAGTTCAAATAGAGTCCGACGTTTCGAGACCGACTCGGTCCCTTCCTCGGGGGGTGACTGTCTTGGTCATGGAAGTGTCGTCGCGTCGTGTTCTCTCACCACGGCTCCGGCTTTCCCTTTCCACCACGTTTCGGAGACCACGCTTCGAAGACGAATCCATGAGTGCCACAGCGTCATCAAGAAGAAGGAATTAGACCTGTTCTTTTCTACGACGGCAACTTCAACATCGACTGCCCGACATCTTTCCGTCACTGGAGGAGTTCGCACGAAATGTGGCTGCAACAACTGCGCAGAAACAACAAGTGACCCACAATAGTAAGCTTGCGACGCTTCAAGGAGAGAAACACCACCACAGTCCTGACAACGAGAATTTCGTCGTCAATCTGTCCTCCAAACAACTCTCCCCGACAGAGCACAGCGTGCTGGCAAAGGGACACAACTTCAACACGACCACGACACGTCCGTCACTGCCGAAGATCATCGCGGCTACGGAGGAAGGCATAAGGCGACTCGACAGCGGCATTCGGGAGAACTTGCGTCTCAAGGCTATCGGCGTACTATAAAAAATAGGAAAGCGCCGTGAGCACAACCTGTCGAGAGAGGAGTGTAAGGCGATCCATGCGCTCCGAAATGATAAGGTTGTCATCCTCCCGGCCGACAAAGGGAACGCAATGGTCCTGCTCGACAGGGAGGCATACAACGACAAGGTGCGAGACCTGCTGGACAGTCCGGCCTACGAAAAGCTGACGAAGGACCCCACACCAAGTGTCCAAAGGGAAATGAACAAGCTCCTGGCGGATATCTTTAAAGCGCACCCGAAGGCGAGAAACACATACCTCCAGCTCATCTGCCGGAACGGCTCTGCACCAGGATTTTACGGGCTTCCCAAGACCCACAAGCCCACAGTTCCGCTTCGTCCTATCGTGGATTTTACAACATCTCCACTCCGGGCGCTGTCCAAGTATCTCCACCGGACTCTCGCGCCGCTCGTGGGGCAAACACCGACCCACATACGCGACGCCAGCCACTTTTTGGAGCGCATGAGAGATGTGACCGTGAGCAGCGATGAGTGCTTCGTCTCGTTCGACGTCGTGTCCCTGTTCACCAGTGTGCCCGTAGCACTAGCGGTATCTAGCGCACGAGCAGCGTTGAACCAAGACGAGCTCTTGGATGAAAGAACCTGCCTGGGCGTCGACGAACTGTGTCGCCTACTGGAATACTGCCTCAAGGGGACGTATTTCAGCGTCAACGGGAGCTTCTACAGACAAGCCAGCGGGACCGCGATGGGAGTGGCGATCTCCGTTACGGCTGCGAACCTCACAATGGAACACATAGAAGAGACGGCACTGGGCTCCTTTATTGACAAGCCGAAAGTATTTGTGAGGTACGTGGATGACTGTTTTTGCATAATAAAGAAGGCAGCAGTAGACAGCTTCCTCGAACATCTAAACTCCATCGACCAAGCGATACAGTTCACGGTGGAACGAGAGCGAGACGGGGCGCTTCCGTTTCTCGATGTTTTAGTCAGACGACAGGGCGAGCGCATGACCTTTTCGGTGTATAGAAAGCCAACTCACACCGGCAGGTATTTGCATTTTGCGTCCTGTCATCCAACTGCCCACAAAGCTTCAGTGGTTTCGGCACTCCTTTCACGTGCACGAGTAATCTGCACGTCGGAGGGTGAGAGGAAGAAAGAAGAAAAGAGGATTGTCGCCGAGCTACGAAGGAATGGCTACACAGAAGCGTTCATCCGCCGGGCGTCACGCCGTTTGTCGAGACAACCACCGCACCGCGGAAAGACACCTGCAAGCGACACACCGCCCGACCCCCTTTCCGCCCTGGCCACACCACCGCACACGAGAAAAACGAAGGCGCCAAACAACCGCGTCACCATTCCATATGTGCCGGGCATAAGTGAACAGCTCTCGAGAATCCTAGGAAAAGCCGGGGTCGCGGTAATCCATAAACCTGTTTCGACGCTCGCTCGCTTGCTACCGCGGCCGAAAGACCGACCTCCGAGGGAGCTACACCCGGGCGTTGTCTACAAAGTGTCGTGTTCTGGGTGTCCAGCCTGCTACATAGGCGAGAGCAAGTGCATCCCGGAAAGAATGCGCCAACACAAGAACGACGTCAGGAAGATGGAAGTGCAACGTAGCGCTCTGGTGGAGCACTGCGAGAAGCACGACCATAAAATTGACTTAGACGGCGCTTCTGTTATTGAAACAGAACGGAATTTGGGAAGGAGGCTCTTGCTCGAGTCTTGGCACATTCAGCATACGCCTGCCAACGTGAACCGCTCGCTGGGAACAATGCCTTCGGTGTACGTTCACGGTCTCCGAAACGTGGTGGAAAGGGAAAGCCGGAGCCGTGGTGAGAGAACACGACGCGACGACAATTCCATGATCAAGACAGTCACCCCCTGAGGAAGGGACCGAGTCGGTCTCGAAACGTCTGACTCTATTTGAACTGTGGCTGGAGCAATTTCAATTTTCTAAACGTTTCTTGTGGCATTACTTCCGCATAAATTGCTCTTTTCTTTTATGCTGATCATGTCTTTTTCTTTTTTAGTTATTGCTGCAATTTTTCTTCTCTGATATGAGTGTAAGCACTGGGCATTAACTTGCATAATACTCCTTTGCAGTGGTCCTGATAGGGGATTCAGGTGTCGGCAAGAGTAACCTTCTTTCAAGGTTCACGAGGAATGAGTTCAACTTGGAAAGCAAGAGCACCATCGGGGTGGAGTTTGCCACGCGCTCGATCCAGGTGGACAACAAGACAGTCAAAGCTCAGATCTGGGACACAGCAGGCCAAGAACGCTACCGTGCCATCACTAGCGCGTGAGAATTTCACTTTGCACCTAAAGCTGTGCTCAGACTTAAGTGTTCTTGTGTATCAGTCCAGTTCAGGCCGAGTGGTTGTAAACCATCTGTCGCTAAAAGAGTGAACCACAGGCTTCCTATAGCCTGTGAGCTGTGAAGTTGTATTTTTATTACTGGGGAACTGTTCGTGATTGGGAGAGTTGGTATGGATTGGTACCTTACTGGCAGGTGGAAAGATTCAAACATGGTGGAGATATTTAGATATTAGGTGAGGACATTTCAGATGAAATTGACCAGATAATGCAACAATGCCTGCACCCTTTAGTCAGGTACTTGTAGTGGATGTTTATCAGCCATGTGGCTCCACTCTAAGACTGAAAAGGCATTGCCGTAGCAGCCAATGTGTCGTGGCAAACCTGAATTTCCTAGTCGGCAAATGTGCCTATGGTACTTGCAATTAAAGCTGGAAACCATCCCACCTTTTTCGTGAAGAAAGCAACAAGGGGCAAATGCTGGTGCAATCGCTGGCCACGTCTATTGCTGTAGCAACAGTGAAACATTTCTCTTGAAGTTTCTGCTGGTAGACATCCACTGCAGTCACTGGACCAATGCACCCGTGCCGTTTGTGGTCTGACGAACCTTGCAAACAAGCAGAGAAGCGGCTTCGCTTAGTGCGTATCTAACGCTATGTGCTTAAAAGTACAAAGAAAACTCCTCACAAGTGCCGACTTGCCACTGTGTCTTTTGTGAATGCCACATGTACAGACTGGCGTAACCATGTGCCAATATTTTTGTGGTGAATAATACGTACCAGCATGCTCTGGCACTGCAAACTAAACCATACTTATCGTTGAATTTATTGACGGCTCACTTGCTTGTCTTTTTTTTTTTTAGTACTTAGTCTCATCACGATATTAGTAAAGTATGCATATGTTTCCTCTTTGCATCACATTTCTTTAACCAGATTTGTACTTGATAATGAGATTTGTTACTCTGAAGCCATTTGTTCCAATCTCTGGTTGTTTTCCAAAACGTGGATGAGAATTCTGACCTCGAGGGTTGCACTTGTTAACGTTAATTGCAGCAGTGGCAGGGCTTGTTTTACTCTTTTATGGCTGTGCAGCATTCATGGGCAAAATAGTGTCGGCGTAAAATGAGAAGCAATGCTGTTTTTGCTGACAAGTCTTGTTTTCTTTGTGTTGCTTGCATATCTGAAGCAGTAATTTGAGCGAGAATGTGCATTACAGGCTCTTTTTTTTCCAAGACAGCACCCATGAAACCCCTTGGGTTTCACCAGCATCAAATAGAAGTTTCTGTGCAGTGTTTTTAGAGCTCTTAAAGAAAAAAAATTAGCTGCTGTATCTTTTTGCAGGCTATTTTGAAGGCAATTAGGGAGCTGTATCTTTTTGCAGGCTATTTTGAAGGCAATTAGGGAGAGTTGAACGTAATCAAATGTTAAAGCATAAGTGCTAATGCTTCAGAATGTTTAAAACACCAAGGCATCAGGTTTCATAATTGAGGGATGTGTGCGAACATAGCACATGACTTGTGCTACCGGTTCAGCTGGGTTGAAACCTGCCCTGCATCTACAATTTTCAATGCGCATGTTTGATTGCTCAGTTATGAAGCAAGTTGCTTGTTTCACTTGGGTGCGAGGTTATAAGTATAATTTTTTTCTTTTTGTATTTCCGAATAGAACTCGGATTCCACACTTTCAAACCAATCTGTGATTATGTGGTGTATAAGGCCCTTTCTATGTAGCTATTGTATAGAAGTAAACCAATATGAGTGGCTGCCCACAATTAGTGCAGTGGGAGCAGTAGTGATCCAGCTGCGCCATTTGCGCCAATTTGCTACAATTATACCTTCCTGCGCCTTACTGCGCAAGTGTTGTTTTGTTTGCGCCAAATGCGCCAAATTGCACGAAAGAACCCGACTTTAGCGGATGTTCATTTTGCAGTTGGCAACAAGTGAATTTTTTTCTAGGTTGGCAACTGTTTACCATGTGCTTTGCAGCTTTGGTATTCGTCGGTGTCGTTCGGGTGTTTTCTGTAGGTTTTCGCGCTCATGCACAGCACGTCGTGTCGTTGCATGTGCGCCATGTGCTTGTGAACAACCAGTCAGCGAATGTTTGTCATCCCCCCGCTGTTGAAATGGACAAAAGTAAGTCGCTTTCTTTTTAAATTTTGTGGCATTTCTTAATAGCGCCCGTGAAATACTTTAGTGAATGCTTAGGCGATCGCGTAGCGCTGCTGGCATTTATTACCGGCCGCACTTTGCTATTGAATCAGTACAGAAGTTGCAACTTGCCTATAGTTCTTCCGATTTCTCGCTACTGATGGTTTTTGTGTTCGGAGTGTCCGAGCGCTGTACGTAGGCTTAGGAATGTGCGCCGTGCCTTGTTTCGTAGTGCGGAATATCCGCATTTGAAACGCGCAATCGCTCGTACGGCATGCAGCAGTTACACCTCCTACATGCTACCGTTCGGAACATATAATAGTGCGAAACGAACGAGCGAGTGACGCGGAATACACAAAGAATTTCTGCAGGCGGGTCGCTTTTGTTGACGTTAGCAGATCGCTAGATGGGCCGTATGTGCTGCCGGCGCGTCACGGATCGGGCGCCCCACCGTGCGAGCTGCTTGTAGAATAGTCGGAAAAGAGTGATTGAGCGTCGACCATGTCAACACAAGCAAGTCAATAAGCACCGTAATGTTACCGCATTAGCGGCCGCCGATCGTTGGGAATCCGCTATTCGTGACGTGCCGTTCCCAATCAGCTTTTTTAAATATTTAATTTAAGGAAAACATTGCTGTCGATTTCTGCTCTGGTCATCGCGCGCCGCGCCGGAAGGAAGCAAACCTCCAACATACATTAGCGCCTTATGCCGCCTTGCCAGCTGGGGCAATGCGTTTGTCTGCGGCCGTCAGACCCACGCGTCATCCGCATGGCAACTTCCTGTAAGTTGGTCGCGAGTTTTAGGTGTGAATGGTCGACAGACAACTGGCATCCCGATTCGCGCCATTTGTCGAGGCTGTACCCAAAATGCTTGCGCAAATATTTGGTGTTGGCGCCTTAGAGTTGGTATTTAGATCTTCCAATGAAGTAAGGTTGGCATTATGTTACGGGCTACCCTAAAAATAAATCTAGTAGTTACGTGCTCTTTTTACTAGCGTGCCTTTGTCGTGGGAAAATTTACAAGAGCGGAACCTTGGGCTAGTTGGTGCGTAGTCACATTTGCAAGTTTTTTATACTGACGCATTGACTAGGCTTGTATTTTGTCATGTTTTTAATCATCCTTTTTTTGGGCATATATATTCTTGCCACTCTGTGATATAAAGTTAGAAGTCAGTGCTCTTTCTGTCTACCCTGTTGCTTTTACCTATATTCACGCTCTGAAAAAAAACTTGGCAAAGTTTACTGTCATAAAGTTCGTTTCGCTCATGTTTTCAGATCGCAACACCAAGTTCAACGCCTCTGTACTCAACGAGGTGGACTCCAATAATGATCCGATCAGTCGGTGGTGCAAGAGTGGAACCCGAAATACAGATGCATTTTGTATTCTTTGCAACTGCACCATTTCTTGCGCACAGCATGGAGCGGCAGCAGTGAAGCGTCATGCTGGGATGAAGAAACATATTGATGCAGCTGCTAGACACAGAGACAAGGACGGGAATCTTCTTCCACCCAAATTGGTGCAAGGCACACTGGACTTCTTCAACGGGTCTGCTAATACATCACTTGAGCACCAAGTCAGCAAGGCAGAAACTACTTTTGCTTTGTCTGTTGTGGCCAAGGGAATTCCTTTTTCATGGGGAGACACGGCAACTTCGATTTATCACTGCATGTTCCCCGACAGTGACATTGCCAAAAAGTTTAGTTGCGGCAGAATAAAGTTGGCCCGCATTGTATCAGATGGACTGGGTCCCTACTTTAAAGGACAAGTGGTGACTGAGCTGTGCCAGCCAAATGTCTATTTTTCCATTATGATTGATGAGACGCCAAAGCCAGAGCTAAGGGTGCAGCAACTAGATGTGCTGGTACGCTATTTTTCCAGCAGCCAACAGGAAGTTGTTGTTGAACATGTCCAGTCATTTGATCTTGGGCGTGCAACCGCTGAAATAATTGTTGGCTGCATAGAAGAAGCAATAGCAGATCTTCCAAAGCAAGGACTTGTTTGCTTTTTCAGTGATGGCCCTAATGTTATGAAGAGCGTAAGAAACAAGCTTCAGAAGCATGTGGCACCAAGTTTGATTGATATTGGCAACTGCAATCTTCATAAGGTTCACAATGCATTTGGCAGAGGCCTGGATGCATTTGGCTTAGATGTAGAAGAAGTAGTGAGAAATATTTACTACTACTTCAAAGGTGCTGTCCGCGCTGAAGCACTCAGAGAATGCCAGGATACTTTGGGAATCTCTTGTCATGTATTTCTGCGCCACGTTTCTAATCGCTGGCTGACGCTACAAGACTCACTTTGCCGAGTTGAGGAACAGTTTGAAGCGCTTCGCACCTATTTTTTTAAGGGCAATTCATCTCGTCAACGACCTGACACCCAAAGCCTACACAACAAGCTTGTGTCGGCATTTTCTGAGAAACAACTTTTGGCCAAAGTGTTGTTCCTTAAGAACTGTGCGCAGCTTTTCAGTGGATTTCAGCTGCTCTTCCAAAAGCAAGAGCCGCTCTTGCACATACTTCACGTTGAACTTATTGTTCTAGTCCAACGAGTCCTCAGTCGGTTTCTTCGTCATGAAGCCTTTGCAGACAAGACCGCTGAACAACTGAAAAGGCTAGATGTGATGGATGCATCCCTTTGGAAATCAAGGCCGGAAGTTGGTACAGATACTGAAAAATCAATGCTTGAGTGGGACTCTAGTGAGAAGAAGCGGTTTTATCTTGGAGCACGTGCTTTTTACTTGGCCTGTGCCAAGGATCTTCTTCAGAAGCTTCCACTCGACAATAGAGTTCTTCAATCTGCTAGCCTCCTCAATTGGCAGTCAACAAATGTTGAATCGGAAGTGCGAGCACTGAAGTACCTTGTGTCTCAGCTTCCACAGGTAATCAAACATGAAGAAGTTTCCTCAGCCATCGATGAGTGGCATATGTTAAAGTGTGACTCAAACAGTGACCTCCTGGCACTTGGAGGTGAAAGAATTGATGTTCGTTGGGGCAAAATATTTGAACTGAAGTCTCCTGGAGGTCAACCAAAGTATCCATTATTGTCGAGGCTTGTCAAGTGTCTGCTGTGCCTGCCACATGGCAACCCAGACTGCGAACGAGGATTTAGCGAAAATAAGCGCTTTTATGAGAACCGCTACTCATTATGCATTGCAAGCATTAACGGGTTGCGCCAGACAAAGACATACCTCCGCAGGTATGATGGAGATGCCACTAAAGTTCCCTTGTCTACAGAGCTTCTGCAAAGTGTAAGGAGATCTAGAGCCCGATACACAGAGAGAACTGCAAGTGCACAGCAGTCAGAAAGCAGGAAAAGGCTTGGAGACCAAGACACTGGTGCTGATGTCGACGAAAAGCGACTTCGTAAGAACTTGGAAGAAAAGGTCACCTCAAGTAGGGCATTGCTGAAACGAGCAGAAGACATAATTTCTTCTGGTCTGCGTTCTAAGAGCCTGGAACAAGTTGAAGCTGGGCAAACTTTATTAGCTGAAGGCAACTCCGCTTTGAGCCAAACCCTCTCACAGCTGGAAGAACTAAGCAAGAAGGTGAGCAAGAGGACGTAAATGCTGCAACATGCACATCTTTCTTCTGTAAATAAATGAAAGTTCAAAACTCTCCTTACAGTTCGGTTTCTGGGAATTTTCGTCGTAGCTTTTAGTGTACTTTAATAAACTAATGCTACACCTGCACTACCTTCATTTTCAGTAGTGCATTAAATCTGATGGACTGGTCCATTTCTTGGTGACTTTTAAAATCGGCATGCACGTGACACTCTAATTAATAATTGAGAATTGAGACAAATACGGTTTTATAGAACTGTGGTTGCTATCACAGCTTTAGTTTCAGCAATAATGAGAGATGTATTTTTGTAAAATAAGTTGCTGCTACAATTGCTGCTCCAAAATCGAGTGCCGATACAAAGGTGCTCCAAAAGAGCATTTTCTCTGCTCCAAAAATTGCTCCAAAAGTTGAAGTGGCTGGATCACCACTGTGGGAGCATAAGAAACAGATAAAAGGAAAATAGTGTTCGCAGTAACTACATAACTTACTGGACGAATAACTTGCGTTAGTGATGGTTTCCCGCAGCGGTGAGTAGGCGCTGCCACATTTGAACTTGTGAGCTAATGGCCTTCTCCTTTCCACTTCTTCGCCGTCGCTTATGGCCAGCCGATTCGCCACTGCCGCTCTAGGTTAAGGGCCAGCAAAGCGGGTGCAACGCGTAATGCGCATCGCCCGTTTCTCTTTTTTCTTTTTTTTCCCCTCTGAGGCACTGTGCCGTGCCGCCTTGCGGCTGACAGAAATTAGGTGACTTTTTCTTTATTCAAGAATCGCTACTACCACCGTTTCTTGCCGTAGGCTGCAGGACAACATCCGCCACATCGCGGCCGCACTGCGAGGAGAAGGCCGTGGCGCTTCGGAGCAGTGGCGGCATCAAGTTTTGTGTAGACAAACTAGCTGCGGGAAATAGTCTATATGGATCGATTACACTCTACTCAAGAAAACTTTATTTTCATGCATACGACTATTGATAATTCATCTTGATGATCACCCGGCGATGCGGCCGCCTTACAGTAGGTAGGCGGTACAGTAGGTAGTGAGCTATTTGGCTAAATACACATGGCCATCCTTGTACCTGCAGCCTACACTGTAGGATCTTGTTAGTAGATTATCTAGTGATGTGTCGTGTGTGCTAGTGTAATACCCACTCTGAACTACTTCATGCAAAACTGCCTCGTTAATATCAAACACCTGCCATCCTCGGGAAGTAGAACTCTAGCGATATTTAGCACAGGAGCATGGAGGCCCATTGCAAGGGGCCTCCATGCGGGGGGGGGGGGGGGGGGGGTGTGGAAGCTAGAGGGGAGTAGCATGCTGTTTTTATCGCGCTCTGTTCTTGGTGGCTATAAAAAGATCCTGGATGGGTCTTGGTTGTATCATCTATGACTAGAGGCTTTTAAGCACCATCCTGGTTGCAACTACTTGAAAACGAATGCAGAACAGTAGATGATGTTATCACATTTTCGCGTTGCTTGCCATCCCCCTGTATATGCACAGTTAAGTGATCTTGCTGTTCAGTTGTCAGACATTGGATTGTACTCATTGTCACTAGACGGGGCAGTAGGTATAACTGGGAAGCACAAACAAATTTGAAACTGCATGAAATTTTCAAAGCTCTCGCGGCACTGTTTTTCCCATTAACCTGAAGAATGCAGCCTCACAAAGTGCTGATAATGTGCACGTCAATGCACTTCTAGATGCCTTGTTTGGCAACATGATGGATACATTCTGCATGGTGGGTCCCTTGAGGGCTTCCCCAGTAACCACGTATCCTTTGCTACTGTATGTACTGTTTAAATAATCATTGTGCTTCAATCACTATGTAGAAACAGTCTACATGTGAAATTGACACACCGAATTTTCAATTTTCTGCAGGTAATTTAATCTGCATCACCTGTTTGCACTTGTGTAGAGTTTTCTTATGAGCCCACCTACATTGGGGGGGGGGGGGGGGGGGTGGTAATTTTTTCAGTGCTGCTGATCACTTCGATGCATATGGATGCCCATTGCACTTTTTCATGCTTGGACGTGTGCTGTGCACAGGTACTACAGGGGAGCTGTGGGTGCACTGTTGGTGTACGACATTGCGAAGCATCTGACCTACGAGAATGTGGAACGCTGGCTCAAGGAGCTGAAGGACCACGCTGACCAGAACATAGTCATCATGCTTGTGGGCAACAAGAACGACCTCAGACACCTTCGGGCTGTGCCCACCGACGAAGCGAAGGCCTTTGCTGGTCAGTGCATGTATCTTGAGTCATATCTAGGAGCCTGAATCGGTCACTAAGCCGGACATCGCAGTGCGGTTGCAAAAAAGATTGTTTGGTGCTTGGATTGACTCAAGCAGAAATGTCAGATTCATTCAAAACTGATCAGTAGGTTTATCTATAGTCAGTATTTTTTTTTCAGGGGTTAAGCAACATACGCATTAAGATAGAAAAGTAACATAGACATTAAAAAGAATGTGCCGCAGCTATGAACTAGATCAGCAATTATAAATGTAAAGGCCCTCAATATGGCAGAAAAAAGAACTGCTGCTGGGCCAAGTATGCAAAAAAAGTTTTGCTCTTCCTTTGTCTCTTTTACATATATTCCCTTCATTGCTTCTTTTTTTTTTATTTCAACTGATCGTTCTCTGTGGGAAGTAAGGTAGCAACTGCATATGTGTGTATATATGTAAATAATTCATCATGTGCAGTAAAATAATGTTGCTGGATATTTAATTAAATATTAAGTTATTATTAAATAATATAAATAACATTCTTTTCAGTTGAGCATTTCTCAAGGAGGCGACCAAGTTCGTTCGTATGCATCAGTGCATTCTATTTACTGAGTGGATAGAACGGCGATTTATGTGCTTGATATCCATGCTTCCCCATGGGTGCCTTGCACACATAAACTTGAGTAAAAGAAAAAAAAGCCTATGACCACGTAAAGTGGGGTGACAAAATCTTCAGTTGGTCATTTTAATATTTTGTGTGTGTGTGAGCGCACGCACACACACCTGTGTGCGATCATGCGGGCATTATTAGTATTATGAAGGTTTTTAAGAGTTAGAAGTGTCATTTGATGGTCCGTGGTCATTTTGTGTGAAAAGGAATTTTTTGGAACATCCGAGTAAAAATCTTGCAGTGTTGATTTGTGCGGGCAAGCTTTATTAAATGTTGTGTGTGTGTGTCTTTAGTCAAGGGGATTGTAATTTCATCACTCGTAGTATAGTGAGCATCTCCTATCTGTAGGAAGGACTTTGTCTTCTTTTGGACTTGTTGAACGTTTAACAAACCTCATTTCCGCCTAGCTTGAAGGCGCCACTTGTTGGCGTTTTTCTTGTGGTCATTTTGTTTGCAACTTGCTCGCCTGTCAACCATTTTGCTGAAGAACCCTTTGCACAATATGAATTATGCTTGGTAACCACAGAGGACGGAGCTTTCTAGGAGAAGACTATCAATTTGCCTGCTCTTGACTGTGCCTCTGTCATTATAAGTGGCCTTGGAGTGAGTCAGTGCTTCGAGTGTAGCTTTACTTTTAAGAAGACGGGAAATTGTGTAGTTATATTGCTTATTTGGTTAAGTGGTCCCTCCATGTTTTTTGTGCAGAGAAAAACAAGCTCTCGTTTATTGAAACATCGGCGTTAGACTCCACGAATGTAGAAGCAGCGTTCCATCAAATATTAACAGGTAAGGCAACTGATTCTTATTTTTTATGTGAAGATGCCGTTCATGCTTGTCCCCTATTTCGTTTCATGAAAGTTCGTGCTCTGTGTAATCACATGTGTGTGAACTTAAGAATATCTAAAACCTTGTTCAAATGTTAAATTCAAACTGCACAGTGCCTATATGAAGAAAGAAAATTATGCCTTTTGGGACTCTTCTGCGCAAACTTTCGTATTTTGCTATACACTGGATACTGTATAAAGCTTTGCCATGTGCAGCTTTCGTGCCATCTCAATTGGAGAAGACTTGCTGCAAAATTGTTTTGCACAGTCTTAAAGGGACAGTAAGGGCAAATAGCAAGTCGATGTTTATTGTTCAAATAGCCGTCCAGAAGGAAGTACTTAAATTGAAATAAAATCGCATTTTAATGGCCCTCATCGCGTTAGCGCTCTTTAAATCACCCGCCTGGAAGCGCTTTTTCAGGTGTCATTGTTACTACGCCCAACGTTGGCCGCCTGTACTACGCGGCCACCGACACCAGTAGCAGCAGAGCGAATGTAGCGGGAGCCACAGTAGCAACAATGGCCATTGAACAACTTTTTGCCATCGCGGCCATAGTTCTGCTTGCCTGGTTCAACTGGGCCCCACCAGATGGCACCACCTGTCCTTACTAACCAGATGAAAACAGCTTTTAAACCATTTCCCTCTTTCCACATAGTAATGCCAGTTTTTTTCTATGAATCTAACAAATGGACAAGCAGGATTTTATTACATTCCTTGATGCACTGAAAGTATTTTATTGCAGCTAGTTTGATTACTAGTGAATAATAGTAGACAGTCCATTTAGTTAATGAAGATCAACTATGTGGTGGTAATTATGACAATAGTGAAGAAATTAAGTTGAAGAAAACACAACTTGCTTACGATAGTAGCTGAATTTAGAACCTTTCAATAATGCGTCCAATACACTATCGAATGAGATACCGCATTGTTTGTGTTGCTCACTTTATCGGGTGTTTCTGTGCACGTAAGCTGAGGCCTGCTAAAAGAGTACTGACAGGGGTTTGAAGCAAAACTTTAAAGGCGCACTAAATACGGTACCCCGAAAGAAATGCCATATGTTCTCGTGTAACAAACCCACTTTCATTTCAGAAAAGTTGATGCCGATTTAGAGGGAGGGTTCATTACGCGGGAGAAAGTCCTGCAAGTTATAACAGCGAAAATTTTGGGTGACAACTTTGTTTTGACTCATGGAAATGCTCGACAAATTTTTTTTTGTAGCCCGAAGCTCTTTTTGTTTTGTCGCGTATTGAAAGTGCATGTATCGACGCCGAAATGTCGTCCAGCCGCTCGGTTCCGATGCTCCAGCGCATGCTGTTAGTAACCAGCCGTGTTGCTAGGTTACCAGCGAAACGCATCCTGCGCAGCAGGTGTCCCAACTAAGTTCACAATGACAAACCCAACAACGAAAATGCAGCTTCGAATGGTGGTGCACAATGTGCTGTCAGCGCGGTGGGTGCGCCGTGTTCCATGATGCAACGCTAGTGCCATTTTGGACGACATGGACTTTGTTTTTGTGCCGCTGTGTTTGCGTGGCGCTATCAGCAGAGGTTTCTTCTGCATTCGACAGATGGCGCTTTGCCGTACAAGGTGCGGCTTTCAAATTTTAATTGACGTCCGCGCTCGCACTGCTAGCAACTGTTTACCATGATTGCATAACTATCTTTGGCTTTCATTGCGTTATTTTGTCATATAATGGCTTGATTTAATGTTGTTTTGATCATTAACGGCACTGGCTATCGAACCGGAATAAAATGAACAGATACACTTAAAGTTTTTTTTTTTCCTTTTTTCAAGGATCAAGGTGGGTTCATTACGCGAGTAAATACGGTACCTTGTTTCCATGGTGTGCACTGTCAGTGCTTTCCACACACTGGAGCCTGGCAACAGGTATAAAATATCTTGCCCTGATTTTAAAGGGGTACTGACACAAAAACATTGGCCTCGTGTTTTTCTGCTGCAAAGTGTTGCTTGGGGCTTGTTGGTCATGACACGACACGTAGTTTGCTGCAGCACGCGACAAATAATTAATTACATGCCCCTCATTATCTGTCAGTTTCAGTTTTGGTTCGAGAGAACTCCAAATACTGGGTGCAACTGTTGCCACCTAGCGTGTACAGCTGCCCCGCCGCGTTGGTCTAGTGGCTAAGGTACTCGGCTGCATTTCCGATGGAGGTGGAAATGTTCTAGGCACGTGTGCTCAGATTTGGGTGCGCATTCAAGAACCCCAGGTGGTCTAAATTTTCGGAGCCCTCCACTATGGCGTCTCTCATAATCATATGGTGGTTTTCGTACGTTAAACCCCACGTATCATTCTAGCGTGTGCAGCTCTTGACCACGTCAGCACACAGAGCTGTGACATACTTCTGCACGGTCCGCATGAAGAATTACTTTCAAATAGGAAATGGGACTGCAGTGTCGCCAAACACAAAACTTCCTAAGCGTGCGCCATGACCACGCATTCGCAACCAGCTGCCGAGAAATATATATACTGCGGCAATAAACGCGGCAAAAAAAAAAAAAAAGCGGATATGACGTCATCATAACTTGTTTTCTTTTGTTGACTCGTGCGTAGTGGCGTGAGCGAAGTAGGGGGTCCCCAAAGGGTCCCCTTCAGTGGCGTCAATGGCACGATATAGTCAAAGGCTCGTGCAAACTTCAAAATTCTTTTCAAATACCTTTCCAGCTATATTCGCTGTCAATATTTTGTAGATGACATACGAATGTTTCTGAGAATGGATCCCACAGGCTATCTCGGCTGCGAAATTTTGTGTCGGTGCCCCTTTAAAGTTTTCGTCACCCAGCATCTGCAAGCCAGCCCCACCCACCACAATGCACATTATCACAAGGCAGCATGATTCACTTGGTTTGCAAAATCTGTCCGCACGAAGCTTAAATTGTGGAAATTGGTGTCAGGCTCCAGACTACAATTCACCTGTCATTTTTATCGGCCACGTGCCACTGACAAAGAACTGACAGCTGTTACTAGTACGTCGAGTTCCCGTGAAGTCACACTTGTATCGATATATGACTGCGAAGCCACCCGCTAAATAATGAAACCGAAATTGCTGGTTTAAGCTGGTGGTAATGAAAGTATTGTAAGAATTAAGTGGACTTCATTTCTCTCATCTGTAAATAACCTTCACCAGACTTTGTGCCGTCCCTCTTCGTCGTTGTACGCCGTCGTCCCAACAGTCTTTTTGGCCGAGCGCTAGATAATCGAGGATAACATGACCGATATGCTAAAAAGAAACATCACATGGCCCTCTGCCAGCTCTTGGTCATGGCCCGTTGCGTTGGTACAGAAGGATGGGTCGGTACGATTTTGTGTTGATTACTGCGCCCATCACGATTACAGTGAAACCTCGTTAGACCGTAGTTGGCCGGGAATGACGTTTTGGTACGCATTAAGCGATGTACGAATTAACCGTCAGTGCCAGTTTAGCGGCTACTTACCGGTCAGAAAAGAAGGCCACAATCCTCACAAACACGCGCGCGCACACACGCCGGCACGCCAGCTTTATTTATGGACAGGCAGCAAAAAAATCTGTGATCTTCACTTGCCGCCGTGGTGGCCTTGCCTCGACGACGGCATCTTCGAAGTCGGTGAGGCCGCGAGCCAGCCGGTCCATTAGGCCACGCTTCTCGGCGAAGGCTCGCATCACAGTCACAGCACGCGCAGCTTCGGATAACGAGGGGCCGTCGTCCACTTCGACATCGCCCTCCTCCTCACTTTCGCTTGAATCGGGACGAGGTGCGATGGCGGCAACAATGTCGCTGTCGGAAAAGTCCGGGGATGTAAGGACGTCTCCGTCCACATCTCGGAAAGTGCCGAAGTTGAACTTGTCGACTCCCTCTCCTTGCCGCTCGAGCACCTCAACAAGGAGGCTCTCGCAGTCTTCGGTGTCCTCACCATCCTCGTTATCCTCCATGTTCTCGTCGTTGCCTTCTTCTGGCATCTTGAATTGTGCTCGCGCGAAACAGTTCCGTATCGTTGCAGGCTGCACCTGCATCCATGAGTGTGCAAGCAGGTGTATAGCACCCAGGAGGTCTATACTGTACGTTTTGGCACTCTCCATGGCGATCAACATCCGCCGCAAAAGATTTTTGCGGTAAATCTGTTTGACAGAGCGGATGATGCCCTGATCGAGGGGCTGGGCGAGCGCTGTCGTGTTGGGCGGCAAAAACAACAGCTTAATAGCCGACAGGTTACCCACATCGACATGCGCCGACGCATTGTCAAGCACTATCAAAATGCTCCTTTTCTTGGCAGCAAAACGGCGGTCCAGCTGGCGCACGTACTCCTCGAACAGCTGGGCTGTCATCCAGGCTTTTTTGTTGTGCTTGTAAACAACACCGGATGGCAGCCGAGCGCCTTTGAAGCACCGCGGGTTTCCATACTTGCCAATGACCATCAGTGGCAGCTTCTCACTACCGGTCATATTTACGCCAAAAGCGACCGATATGCGATTTTTGGCGTGTTTCCCGCCGGTGCACGTCTCATTTTTAAATGCCAATGTCCTATTTGGAAGAAGGCAATAAAAAAGTGCCGACTCATCAAAATTAAAAATGTCGGCGGCATCGTAGGCTGTCAAGGCTTCCTGCAAAACGGTGTCCTGCCATTCAACAGCGCCTTCTTTGTCTGCTGCAGCAGCCTCACCACAAACAACCTTCCCCACGATGCCGTAGCGGGCTTTAAACCGCGACAACCAGCCGTTGCTGCAGGCAAAACCGGGGCAGTTCAGCTGATCTGCGAAAGTTAGGGCTTTTTCGGTCAGAAGGGGTCCGCTAACCGGCAGGTTCATGCTCCGCGCCTTCTTCAGCCAGAGAAGCAGGGCCTTTTCCACTTCGGGATAAGCTGAGTCTCTCATGCGGCACCTCTTCAAATCGCTGTCTGTGCCTCCCGTCAACTTTTCGCGAGCGTTCCAAATTCCGCATACAGTAGTCAGCGGCAAGTTCTTATC